AAATTCAATAGGAGTGACAGAAAAACGGTTCTTGATATAGAAAGGTAAATAAATTATTTAACCTATAAAGTAAAATCACTTTATTACAAATCAAAATAGTCCAATAGCTTTATTAACATGAGACAATTGTACGAGTGCTTAACATTATTTTACTGAAATCTCAGAAAGTTTTTTTTAAATAGAATAGGCGTGACAAACGAGCACACAGTCCACCTGATGGTAAGTGGTTGCTACGGCCCATACACATCTACATCTATTCTCGATTACGTATCGAAATGTAGATGCGTTGTCACCCGTGAGGACTAAGATGTAATGCCTCGTTTCCAGTAAAAAGGTTCTCCGGTTCTCTACACTCACCATACGAAACACAGCAGGGTTAAACTGCTATTTTACATGTTATTCCGTGAGAGCGTGGCCCTTCCCCGGTCGAGCCGACTCATTCGTGCTACAACTATACCTAATGAATATAGCTGTAGCATGGCTCTACCACGTAAAAAAAATTGACGTTGAAAATTGAAGTATTTTTAGAAGCAACTTTGCAATTATTTTCTATTGAGTTAATTTTTGTGGAATCGTGTTTTGCAAACCGCCACCTAAAATACGTACAATTTTTTTTCGATAATGACGTGAAATTACAAAACGATCCCCATGCATTTCAATGTGGCTCTATTCAGCCTCTTAATATGAACATACCTCGGATTTCAGAGATAATGGAAGATATAATATTATATTATTACTGTTCCGTGTGAGGAAACCTTTATACTTATATACATATTCTCATCATATTTTTATGGTTGGTTAAAAAATTTATATCTAAATGCAAACTTTCACAGGGTCAATTTTTTTTTTAATATTTTTACCCAGCAAGTAGTAAAGCAACTACAATCCCATCGGTAAGTGGTTATGTAGTCTAAGATGGTGAATTGCACTGACTTAACAAAAACCTATTCACTCTTGCCTAATAGTACTAGGTAAGTATTATTTGCGACCTATTTGTGTGTGTGTGTATGTGTGTGTGTGCGCGCGTGCGTGCATGCGCGCGTGTGCGTGTGTGTGTGTGTGTTTGTGTGTGTGTGTATGTGTGTATGTGTGAAGAAAAGTGTATGAGAATACGTGAATAGGAATAAAGGTTGAGTACTAATTCGCTTACCTGTACGAGGTTGCCACTCGAGGACCTTTCTTCCTATTTTTTATATGTTTTCCAAGTTATATAGCTAGCCCATTGCCATTTCACTGTAATATTCCGTTGAGCTATGTCAGTTACTCTGATTCTAATGCAAATACCTTCATTTCTAACTTTATCACGTAGAGAAACCCCTCTCCAATTTAAAATTTTTACATTTTTTAGATGATAGTTTGTCTAACATAAAAAAAACCATAAACCCAAGAATGTCTTTATATAGTTATTTATACTTAGGTAAGCACCATTATTTTATTTATTTAAATTGTTTGATTTTATTTGATAACAGTGTACCTAAATGAAAGTATCTGTATCTTTATTTCTCTCCCCAATAATATTTTATAAAGTCATACTTATAAAAACAGCGTTTTATTGTAATACATAATTATAAAATTCATTATCAACTAATTAATAAAAATATGCGACAATAAAATTACATAGGTATTAAAAACGATCGAAATCTAAGCAACGAGAGCATGTTCATCGTTCCACATCTAAATTATATAAAAATGCATTTTTCAATTTCACTAATCAACGTCGCCGCAAAAATTTCTTCTTCTTTGGGCACTTTAAAAATTCATTTATTTAGAAAATAATATTTACAGTTACCAGTGTACAAATATTAACTAAATTAGGTATTTCTAGTCATAAAAATATTTATAATTGAGTATAAACTTTTAAAAAACTAATATATATTTGAACGAAGTCGCTCCAACACCGACGTGCGGTCCACCCTCGACGATGTCCGAAAACGGACTGTGACAGAGCTTACATGGCGACGGAGCATGCGCGCTCGCGTAAATATATCCAATTTCAGGGAAAAATGATATATTCTCTTATAAAACGGGCAATAAAAATAAAACTCTCAATTAAAAATATTAATATTTTTAAGACCTTTTTTTTAGTGTAAGAACTATTTAAAAAGCTTGTGCCGTTTTGGAGAAATTTTGCAAAATATGACAAAGATAGGTACTCTTTGGGGATTTTTTTTTCTAATAAGGGGTTGACAAAAATACAATTTTGTTAAATTAAAAACATTAACCAAATCTTCTTCTGTTACTCTGTATTTTTTCTTTGTGGATTAAATGAACAGTTATTGAGATTTTTTTACTTAAATATCCTAGATTTAGGCATTTCAACCACTGTTAAGGCCTTAATAATTTATATTGAAGTCGGTTGTACAAAATTTTTGATTTTAAATTATGTAGGGCAATTTTGAGTGATGTTTCAGTGACGTACTCAAATGAATAATTGACGCACTCAGAGCACATGAGTAAGGAATCTGTCCAGAGGGGAAGCTACATACATACGGCTCGCTGCGAATACACCCATACATAGCGCAGCGATGTGTGCGTGAGCTCTCACCGACAGGTTCACTGACGCTCCGTCGGGGTACGAACCGGTGTGCGCCGACTCAGTCAGAGTATCCATGCAAGGGCTTCGTGCGCATTTAAATAAATAGACCAAGGATATTTCGAAATTTTATGCATCAATTAATTTATTAAGTTTTTTGCAATTATTAAATAATTATATTTAAGTATTTTAATTAAAATAATTAAGAATTACCTTATTATAAATTTATATAGTTAAATAATAAGTGTTCTGTATAAGCAAAAATGCCTAATAGTTGTACAGTATGCATGAATAATTCTAGAGAAAATAAGGGTATTTCCTTTTTTTTTGTACCCGAGAGATCAAGTGAAGTAAGTACCTTTTTACGTATTATATACACTATATTACATTTAATTTTTTTCCTTATTGTTTAAAATTAATCGATACGAAATAGCTCTTGATTTCGAACAATTAATAGATATTATGTTGTTACACCTATGCAACATATTAAGTAATAATTAATACGCATGTTATTTTATACACTAAATAATATTTAAATTCTTTCCTTGTTTAAAATTAATCGATACGAAACTGCTCTTGATTTCGAACAGTTAATAGATATGTTGTTACATTAATAAAAGTTATAAATAATACACATGTTGTCTTATGGTATACATTATTTTTATTGTTTCCTTAAAATTTTCACATGCATCATGTGACAACCCTATCAGAATAAGTATACATTTTCGACGTTGTTAAGAAGCTTCCCCTCTGGTCCTTACTCTTTACTCTGTGCTCAGAGAACATTACAGAATTTATACAAAATATGCGCTGAGAATGAAATTTTGTGACTTTTAAAACTGCTCTTTGTGTACGTTATAGTGGAATCAACAAATCAATAAATAATCAATAAACAACGTCCTGTAGAGCGAATTTCGATCACAGGACAGGTTTATAGTGGCCGACTGTACGCGCAAGCACAGGTGCACTCTATATTCCCTCACTCTCGTAGTCCTATGGGACGGTGATCCGACACGACCGGAAAGGGACCAGGCACAGGACCAACAGCTCGCCGTGCTTTCCGAAGCACGTGGGTGACACACTGCCAACTTTGACTCCTGGCTGCCGCTGAAAAGTTCTCGGCAGAAAAAACACAATAACTATCTTTGGCACGAAATCAGCAACCGCGTTTACGACAAATAGACCAAAGAAGCAGTCATTAGTGGAAGCAATATAAAATAGGCCGTATACAGGATGGCGGTAAAGTTATCACATTAAATGAAAAGACTCATCCTATATAACGTTCTTTGAACATGCACAAGTAAAAAAAAAATATAACAATTAACATTCTAGTCGCAATAGCCCTTTTTATCGTTTTTTGCCTAATTACTTATGAGTGGTGGCAGACCTGCTGTACACCTTGTTTAATTTATGTTGGGAACTTAAGCGGGTACCGGGAGACTGGTGCAAAGCCGTGATAGTCCCAATATATAAGGGAAAAGGATCACAGCAGGACTGTAAAAACTACCGTGGTATCAACCTTCTTAGCATTGTGGGAAAACTGTATGCTAAGGTACTAATTGAAAGAGTTATGAAAGAAATTGACGGAAAAATTTGGGATGTGCAAGCGGGATTTAGAAAGGGAATGGGATGTACGGATCAGGTCTTTTCCATGCGCATGATCGCGGAGAAGTTTTTGGCCAAAAACCAAAAAGTTTTTTGTGCGTTCATAGACTTGGATAAGGCTTATGACAGAGTGGACAGGGATGTGTTATGGCAAACACTGAACTCATTTGGGTTGACCGCTGGTCTGATACAGGCATTGAAGTGTCTATATAGGGACTCTAGTGCTTGTGTCAGGATCAATGGGGCCTACTCAGACTGGTTTGGCATCCATAAAGGTGTCAGACAGGGTGACAAAGCAAATTTATGTTGCAGAGGTGAACGGCATAGTCGGGAAAGGTCGCCCTAGGCGAAAGTTTATCGACCAAATTGGCGATATATTAAAAATGGGCCAAATCAAGAGTACCTTTAACCGACGAGCGTGTATGCGTAGGTATATGGATGTGGAGGAAGAGAGAGAGGTGTGTTAGGATCGTGCCAAATGGAAGTCCATAATCTCTGCCTACCCCTCTGGGTGACAGGCGTGAGTGTTTATATTATGTTATGTTACTTATGAATGCGAAAGTGTAGGTATATAATTACCTATGTCGGATGCCGCGTGAGCACTGCGTACCTGCCGCACCGTTGCCGCTTTTACATGTCACTTAAGGTCAGTAACCTAATATTATCAACGTGATTTATTTCGTGTCAATTTTTACGCTATATATTTTGTTTGAAAGATGCATTTTTTATTTTTGGTAGAATTGTTTATTATTATTATTTTAATCGACATATATGAACTTGTATACAACACTGTGTTATTTAATGTGATAACCTAATCGCCACCCAGTATAACACTAACCTTATAATAAAAGTACATAATAACCTGAGAAGTCCATAAACTGCCTGAGCAACTCAATCGGAGGCTGGGCGCCGTAAACCTCAAGTGCGGGCATGTTGAGGTCATCGATGAAGAACACCTGGCGTTTGGTGGGCGGCGGTCCAAACACGCCACGGCGACGTCGCTCCAACTTGCTGTCTATCACGTCCTGAAGCAATAAGTCAAATCAAAAATTAGTTATTTTTAGTTAACACGAGTGACCCTTCGACTTTGCATTGGACGGATCGAAGGAATCCTACTATCTATAATCTTTACTTATGTATAAATTAATAACAAAATTCATTACCTGGGTCTGATTCGCAGAGGTTCTCGCGGAGAAGACGAGGAACTCGCAGATGAACTTCTTATGGAGGCCGCGCGTGAGCTTGGCGGTAACAGTGAGGGTCTTGCCAGTGCCAGTCGGACCAACACACAGAACGTGGTTGTAGTTGACCACCTTGTAGCCAAGCAGTGCTGCGCTGCGTACGTTGTCCAGCGTTGGCACTTCGATGTCTGGATAGAATAGAATAGAATCATTTTAATTTTTCTTTATAGGATAGGGTGACAAAAGAACACACAGTCCACCTGATGGTAAGTGGTGATCCATAGACATCTACATTTATCATCAATAAAGAATCAAAATGCAGATACGTTGTCACCCGTGAGGACTAAGATGGAATGCCTCTTTGCCAGTAAAAAGGGTATCCGGTTCTCTACACTCACCTTACGAAACACAGCAGCATTAAGCTGCTATTTTACGCTGGTATTCTGTGAGAGCGTGGTCCTTCCCCGGTCGAGCCGACCCAGTCGACTATTAATATAGCTGCAGCATGGGTCTAACACGTAAAAAAATAGTATTCATATAATATATAATAATTCAATATAGATTACAAAAATACTTATTGAAAGTCATTTATGTTTTACCACTGGTTTGGAAAAAAAACCTCCGTCCTGAGAAGAATCAGCAAGACACCCATAGGGACTTTAAAAAAAATCACAATATATTTCATAGAGTTACCATGAAAATATTTAGAAACAACATGGTAGCGGTCACCTCATTCCCAAAAATTATTATCAATCATATACTTTTTAGTAGTATATTATCCCTTACTAAACAATTTTTGCTTAATAAATGTTTTAAACCTTTTGATAGATTATATATTTAAAGCCCATGAACGCTGGTGTTTCACAAGGCTTGGTGCTATCTCCAACGCTGTTTCTTCTGCATATCAATGATATGTTGCAAACCAGTAACATTCATTGCTATGCGGACGACAGCACTAGTAATGCTATATACACCGGCCGTGCCAATATTTCTCGGGAAAACGTCGCCGAGTACCGGAACAAACTTGTGTCTGAAGTAGAGATTTTGTTGCACAAAGTCTCAGACTGTGGTCGACTAAATCTAGTCCAGTTCAATCCCCAAAAAGACACAAGTTTGCGCGTTTACCGCTATAAAGAACCCCTTTGTCGTATCTCTTCAGTTTCAAGGCACTTCCCTTGTTGCCTCAGCCAGTATCGGAATCCTCGGTGTCGACATATCGAGTGACGTGCAGTTTCGTGGTCACTTGAAGAGAAGGCAGACAAATTGGCCTCTAAAATGCTTGGCGTGGCTAAGCAGAGCGAGACAGTATTTCATGCCAGCACACCGCTTGCAACTTTACAAGGCGTAGGTTCGGCCTCACATGGAATACTGTTCCCATCTCTGGGCGGGGGCTCCCCAGTGCCAGCTCCTTCCACTTGACCGCATCCAGCAACAGAGCGGTTCGAATCGTCGACGACTGAGTTCTTTCCGATCGGCATGACTCACTGGTACTGCGTAGAGATGTTGCATCTCTTTGCGTATTTTATCGCATCTATCACGGGGAGTGCTCTGAGGAATTGTTCGGACTGATTCCAGCTGCTCAATTTCATCATCGCACATTGCGACAAAACTTGCGATACCATCCATACCATCTGGATGATTCGCGGTCTACCACTGTGCGATTTAGAAGAAGTTTTCTCCCTCGAACAACTTCCTTGTGGAATCGATTACCACCAGCGATTTTTCCGGACCGATACGACTAAGGGACCTTCAAGAAAAGAGCCTACTCCTTTTTAAAAGGCCGGCAACGCATCTGCGATTCCCCTGGTGTTGCAGTTGTTCATGGGCGGCGGCTGTCACTTACCATCAGGTGAGCCGCATGCTCGTTTGGCCCTCTCATATAAAAAAACATAAGTTCTGCATATTTTCTGTGATTTTATGTAGATGTGTGACTTTGATAAATGAATTACTAATCCTGTGGATTCCAGGAACTGGCATTAAAGGTTATGTTTGTTCCTAATGTTTAAAGTATGAACGCCTTTATTCTAATCAAAGCTTTTAAGTACATACATTACATTTTCATAAATAATTGCGATGGCAAAGTTTATATGTCTATTTCTTTTTTTTCTAAGGGACTCTTTACAATTTAAGTTATAAATCGCCCGTACGGCTATCTTTTGCAAAACAATCATGGCTTCAATGTCAGTCGCGTTACCCGATAGCAAAATTCCATTGAAAATTACGCTATGAAAGTAACTAAAATAAACTAATCCAGCTGTCTCAAAATCGGTGGCACTTCTAATCTTTCTTACAGCATATGCTGGAGAACTAAGTCTGTCTGTTATTTTTGATATATGGGTGCATTGAAGATTCGCATGCAGTATAATATTACACTGATTATAATATAGTGGTACATCTGGTTAAGTTATATTTGGTATGTCCGGTAAAGTAAATGCTCACAAGACTTGGACTCTTACTTCTGAGAAAGTTTTGATGTAGTGAAGAATTCATCGCATTTCCTCAATGCAACGTGTATTGTGCACGTTGTTTTTTGTTTCCTCACGATGATTTCCTTCACCGCCAAAAATATGGTAAACTGCATTACAAGCAAATCCCAAACAAATTTTTACGTGGTGGAGCCACGCTGCAGCTATATTATTTGTAGCACGAATGGATCGACTCTACTGGGGTTAGACCACGCTCTCACAGTATACCAGAGTAAAATAGCAGCTTAATGCTACTATGTTTCGTATGGTAAGTGTAGAGAAACGAAGACCCATTTAATTGGAAACGAGGCATTTTATCTTAGTCCTCGGGAGTGACAACGCATTTGCATTCTGATACTTAAACGAGGATAAATGTAGATGGCTGTGGGCCACGGCATCCATTTACCATCAGTTGGACAGTGTTTGTTTGTCACCCTTGTTCTATAAAAAAGGAGGTGCAACCGATTTGTTAACCTAAACTTGACTAAAATGCAACCTTCTTGCCTGAAACAAATGACCAATATTTTGGTTGTGGTAGAACTTAATGGGGTTGTTATAAACTAATTTGCTTAATTCCGCGTAAAGAAAGAAAATGATGTGTCCTGCCCAGTTTTAAGGGGGCCTCCCACCCTCCCTCAATCGCGCGCACTATACGCATCGCCGTCAATCTCAGCACTACCATCCCCAGCACCACCACACTAGGCACGACACAGTGGGCAGGACACATCATTTTCTTTCTTTCTTTACGCGGACTTAAGCAAATTAGTTTAAAACAAAAGTTTACAACACCATTATAATGGATTTCCGCAAAGTAACGCCTGATTCAATTAATTGAGGTAGAACTTATTTTCTATCCAAGAGACCAAGTGGGTAGGATAATTTACTTAAGAAAGACTTACCAGCGTAAGGTTTCTCTGGATCCACTTCATACTCCTCCACTTTGGCCATCCAGCTATACCAGTACGGATTAGCTGGTTCTCCATCATCCGTCGGATCCGTAAAGCCTCCATCATGTAATCTGATTTTCGTTTATTATAATAGAGTTAGACTGACAACTAAGTTCAAACAAATAAGACCACAGATGAGTTGTCATCCCTAAAGACTGAGACAAAATGCTTAATGCCTTGAGCTGGCTCTCCGTAACCTTGAAACTGGAACACTTCAGTCGAGTCACTGTTGCTTAGCAGCAGAAATAGGTAAGAGATTGATAACTACTCAGTTGGACTTCTAATCAGAAAAAGGAAAGGAAGAAGTAATAGGAACTTTAATCTTCTTTTAACAAGGTTGTTTTTTGAAAGTCTCGGAATTTACTTAGGATCGTTCTTACGAAATAAGTCCGTTGGCTGCGGAGCTATTTATTCCAGATATTTATTATTTGGTGTCAAATTCCATACGGTATTGTATGGAATTTAAATAACCGGTCAAGTGCGAATCGGACTCGCTCATGGAGGGTTCCGTACCATCGTAATACACGGTTCAAGTAGGGAAGCCCCTTTGAATTATAATTTATTTTTATTTTTATTATTTGTTGTTATAGCGGCAAGAGAAATACATATTCTGTGAAAACTTCAACTGGCTTAATATTACGGATCATGAGATACAGCCCGCTGACAGACAAACAGACGAACGGATAGACGAACGGACGGACAGACGGGCGGACGGATGGACGAACAGCGGAGACTTAATAATAGGGTCCCGTTGCTTAACCTTGGGTACGGAACCCTAAAAATTAACTTTATACTTAAAAAATGTTTTTAGATAAAAATTGGTTAGTTAGTTAGTTACCCTCTGGGTACGGAACCTTAAAAAGATATATTTTAGTTCTCATATCTCATAACTGTTTAGTACGGTACAAGAATATCTATTCTGATCAACCATGTAAACCGTTATAATAACCTATATTATAAAGCCTTTGTTTAGTTAAAAAAAAAATCTTAGTTATAGAGAGACTGTATATTTTCTGGGACATTGTTGAAAAAGCGTATACATTGTCCTTACTGACTCTGTGGAGTCGAGTAACTATTATCACTAGGTTGCACTTTTTCATGGTGTTTACAGAGTGCTTATCACTTAATAAGCCATTTTTCCTTTTAGGTGTAGGTCCAGTAGGAGACTTTAACGTGCTAATGAAGGGACCTTAACTAAAGTAAAGTGATGCATTCATTTCACCAATGAAACTCACGTATAGTCATATACACGCCCCTCCTTAGGGAACAGCGGCTTCATTCCCGCCTCCTCCATTAGTCCGCGCATGAATTTGGAGAAAAGTGCGCGACCATTATGGTCGCACGTAGCGCCCACCGACCAGATCACCGACCACACCACCCAGCACGGTGCCAATTTCGCTGCAGATAGCATATAATATAGTAAACAAAAATGGCAGCATTTAATAATCTTAATAGCGTCCAAATAACCCCCTGAGCTTGATAGGAGCCAGTTATTTTAATATTACAGACAGACATTTTAATTTCATTTATATGTATATAGATAATAATTATATGATAAATTGTCACAAGTGGTGTCAACAATTATCGTCATTTTGAAACGGGTTATTCTGATTATCTACCCTAAAAAATCCACCCTGAGATGTACCTTATTGCACTAATAATAAAGAATACATTTAACTTTTATTACCTTAGGGTACCTATTTTAGGGTTGATAAACGGATTATCCGAATTGACCAGTTTGTACGTATACGAATATGTAAAACAATTTTAATATCTCACGCATCAAAGCGAGAAAGTTCGCTGGCGGTGGCGGCCGGTCGTCTTTCCCAGTGAGAGGTCTAAGCCTGAAGTCCAACAACTCCAGGAACTTGAGCACAAGTGCCGAGTCAATGGACGGCACGATCTCGGTCAAGTTTGCTCGTAGCATTTCTAGCGCCGGGTAGAGATACGTGTGAATAAGACCTGGGAGAAGCTTGCGGATGTTGTCAGCTATCTACATCATAAAAATTAAATATCAATAAATTATTATTATAAATTAAAAACGCAAGATAAGAAATGAGACTTTTAATGCATGCAAATATTTAAGTTAACTTTCAAGGAGTATGCTTTATTTTTTAAATTGAAATTATGTACTTACAATCATGATTTTGCCATAGTTGCCAAGCTTAGCAGGCGGGCTGGCAACCGTCATTTGTTTTTATTTAGCTGTTATCAGAAAGAGACTAAGGGTCAGCTCACACTGAGACGCGACGCGATAGTGATACAAAATATAACTTTACTACACAAAAAGATTATTTCGAAATTGCCTCGCGGCGACGCGCTACGCAGCGACCTAGTTTCTAGAAGGTCCACAAGGAAGTTGTGCGAGGAAGGAAACTTCTTCTAAATCGCACAGTAGTAGACCGCCAATCATACGGATACGGATGGTATCTCGAGTTCTGTCGCAATGTGCGATGGTGAACACTCCCCGTGGTAGATGTAATAACACTACCACCAGGAACTCAACTAACTACCTTGTTAGTTTAGTAGACGTTAGTGTAAATGATGATCAAGCTCGCGAGTTCGATCCCGGGTCAAGCCAAAATCAATTGTTGAGTTTTTCCGTCAAGAAATTCTCGGTTGCAGCCAAGCGTCAGGAAGTTGACGGTATTTCACCATCGTGCTTACGAAAGCACGTAGAGCCATACACTCTCGCTCTATAATCCAGTCGTGCGCAAATGTCTAGTCTCGAAATTTGGTCTGGAGGACATAATTATTAACAGGAGCGGAGATACTGTAATAAAATTGGGATAAATAATACTAACTGATGGTAAATTGCTCTTCATCCAGGCATTTACCAGTGGTTGCAAATGGACAACCTCCGTATCCAAGTAGACCATCCCACATCGAGATACAGTTGCCGGTGAAGCGACTGCCAAATCCGCTACCTCAAAAATCATTCTCTGACGATCTGTCAGTTTCATGATTTCACCGCTGGAGAGGCAGAGCTTCTTGTTGTCGTCAAGTACCTTTTTATTAAAGTATACAGATAAGACAAACGATACCTGTGTATGGCCTTATGGAGTAATAACCTGCTCTTTTTTATAGAATGAAGGTCATAAACGAACACAAATTACACCTGGACCTGGAAGTGGATTTTTTTATAGGAGGAGGTGACAAACGAACACACAGTCCACCTGATGGTAAGTGGTTGCTTAGGCCCATAGACATCTACATCTGTCCTCGATAACGAATCAAAATGCAGATGCGTTGTCACCTGTGAGGATTGAGATGGAATGCTTCGTTTCCAGTGAAAAAGGTCTCCGGTACTCTACACTCATCATACGAAACACAGCAGCATTAAGTTGCTATTTTACGCTGGTATTCTGTGAGAGCGTGGTCCCACTCTGGTCAAGCCAACCCATTCGTGCTGCAACCACAATATAGCTGCAGCATGGCTCTACCAAACTATCAATAATAAAACCATCAATAAACCACGTTTTGTAATAATTCCGATACCGCCTAATTACAAATTTTAGTACATCAAGTCTCGGGATTAAACTATGACTTAAGTAGAATATTTGTCACAAAAAAGCCTCTTAGTCGGCTTTACACTTAACCCTAACTACCGACAACTTTTAATTATGAAAATCATGACAAGCATACCCTATCATACCAAGAATATTTCAGGGAAATGTGGAGAACGCTAAATTAGCGCGGAGATTTAATTACTACATAATCCTCTAAGAAATTAGAGGAGACCTGTGCTTCTCATTGGGACGTATATTGGGTGTATATTTTATATCACTGCAAGGCTTTAACACACCATCTCATTAAATCACGTATCGTACGATTATAGTACGATACGATATATACGATACGATAGATACGATATATACGATTGTCGATATGTCGTTGAATATCTTACGTTTGCCTTGTAGTTGCAGCCAAAGGTAATCCACTATTCCATATCATTGTCGTAAGAGGCGACTGAGGAAAACTAAATTAGAAGATCGGCAGAAGGACCCTAGCCTCCGACCTATCAAGAACTGTAAATGATAACATATGGAGTGGTCTACTGGCCGAATTTTTTCCTACGGAGGCAGCAAAGACATTTTACAATTGTTACCGCTATAGAAAATCAATAAAAATGAATAAAATCAACGCTAAGTCTGGTGACTATCACATGACTTAACGTTAACATGCTTTACCGTTACCGTAAAGCTCGCTTTTCACTATGGGATATAATACAATATATATTACATCTCGAGATATAAATTAATATTGCTCACCATATATTTCATATGGAACCGTTTACACTGAGCTATAATATATATTACATCTCAATTTTTTCGATCGACCGAGCGATATTTTCATATTATATTTCGCCCCCTGTATTCCGCACACCGTTCCGAACCGCTGCAGAAGCGTGTGCGGGGTACAGGGGGTAACCCAATGACGAACGCACAATAGTTATAAGATATATCTCACAGTGTGAAAGCCAATCGCGGGATATAATTTATATTTCGGGATTTAATATATATTATATCCCATAGTGAACAGCCAGACTAACAGTTCATCAAAATTCCACCGCCGAACACAGGCCTTCTCTATAGATAGCTTCATAGGAAAGACATTTACCATAGTTACCACACTTAGCAGGCGGGATGGTAAACGCAGTTTTTGGTGGGTTCTAACAACAACCACGAGATGACATGTGGAAGTGGATATTCTTACGTCACTACTATACTGGCAAATATCACCTTTAGGGTGGCCTAAATGTTAATTCAATATGTAGTTGAAAATGTACAATTAAATACGCACTGTGTTCATGTTCTCTATCCACACCGCGTCAACAGGCCCGTCAAAAATGTACCAGCGCTTATCCATATCTTCTACAGCAATACCAGCTCGCACCAAGCTCGATAGAATACCATCCGTCCTAAAATGGTTCGTGGTCTTATGTATTAGAAATGCAGAAATATATTTGCAGAGATAGTAGTGTTACTATTTTAATCGAGATAGTAGTGTTATTATCCTAATAGAGATAGTAGTGTTACTATCTTAATAGAGATAGTAGTGTTACTATTTTAATCGAGATAGTAGTGTCACTATCTTAATAGAGATAGTAGTGTTTCTATTTTAACCCAGATCGTAGTGTTACTATCTTAATAGAGACAAAAGTGTTACTATCTTAATCGAGATACTAGTGTTACTATCTTAATCGAGATAGTAGTGTTACTATTTTAATCGAGATAGTAGTGTTATTATCCTAATAGAGATAGTAGTGTTACTATCTTAATCGAGATAGTAGTGTTACTATTTTAATCGAGATAGTAGTGTTATTATCCTAATAGAGATAGTAGTGTTACTATCTTAATCGAGATAGTAGTGTTACTATTTTAATCGAGATAGTAGTGTCACTATCTTAATAGAGATATTAGTGTTTCTATTTTAACCCAGATCGTAGTGTTACTATCTTAATAGAGACAAAAGTGTTACTATCTTAATCGAGATACTAGTGTTACTATCTTAATAGAGATAGGAATGTTACTATCTTAAACGTGATACTATCTTAATCGACATAGTAATATTACTATCTTGTTTATGAGTTAGTAATACAGATATCAATTGGAAGCCATAAGAAGAACATATCCCATAGTCGAGTTGGGTCATGAGATGATAATAACAAAATACGCTCACCATTCATGCGTTTGCAAATCGAACTCTCCATACAATTGACCCATGGTGATAGACTTGGGATTCACCACGAATGTGTGGACCGGAGTGAACGGGAACCCGTCAGGTGCCATCTTCCCCTTTATAGCAGTTAACGCATCTCGTAGCACCTCGTAACACTGCAATCATGACTACAGGCTATAAACATGTGAACACGCGTCGAGTTTCATGTCTTAAGTTCTGCCTTTTTTAGTTTTCTGTGCGTAAAATCTAAGTTCAGTTATAAACTGAGTTTAATTTCAGAAGTTAATGGTTATTATGACGTTTAACAACAAGGGCATCATGTATTGTAAAAATATAAAATGTAATTTTCACTTTTTCTAAATAAAAAAAAAAGACACAGGCAAAGAACAATGACACCAGAGTTTCTTGCCGGTTCTTATTTATAGATGTATTTCTTTTGTAAACTATGGTAGATTTTGAGGTACATAGAAACTTTTAATAAATCTAAATAAAATAACTTCGACATTTTATTGAAAAAAAAAGAAAACATTTTTTACAAACCTTAGTTTTACCCGCTCCGGCGGGTCCAACCAACATCAAGCCATGCCGCACTACTGTAGTCTCATACAGTTGTATGACTTTAAAAATGAACGCTGTAATCCAACACATGCAAATATACAAACAAACTATGATTATTATATTAGAATTGTATTTTATTATAACTCTATTATTAATCAATTTTAATGTGCCTCACTAGTAAAAGACTTATATAATCTGGTGTTGCTCATTAGCTTACGCCATTGGCTCAGCAGTGGACGCAGCAATTGAAACCTATTTTCAGCACTGGTTTTTTTAAGGCTGTAATGGATGGATGCATATGTTCAATAGCAAACTATCACTTACAGTGCAGTTCGTCGTAACCTCTTTTCACCAACATATTCCTGATCGACTGTTCCATGATTCCGTAGTCCACCACTGGTATCTCAACGCGTGGGAAGAGATCTGATATTATGCCTGAAATTTGATTCTGTTTAAATATTTCTATATCTTGAGGTCAGTAATTTTATAATATTAATATCCTTACAGTAGGTACAGAATAAATTAACCTTTATTGTCCGCCATGATCATAAAAAGTCATATAGTGATCACGCAAAAATACTGGGGTAACATCTTAAAAGTATTTTTTAATTAATTTTTTTACGTGGTAGAGTCATGCTGCAGCTTTATTAATAGTATAGTTGTAGCACAAATGGGTCGGCTCGACCGGGGAAGGACCACGCTCTCACAGAATACCAGCCTAAAATAGCAGCTTAATGCTGCTGTGTTTCGTATGGTCAGTGTAGAGAACCGGAGACCTGTGCGCTCGTTTGTCACCCTTATTCTATAAAGAAATAAATAAATAAAAACCAAAATTTTAAGATTGTAATGCATTAAATTTTAACTTTTATCCAGAAATTCAAGTGTTAGTTTCAACAACTATGGCACCGATAAATTAAAAAAAAAAACTTGATGTAAATAGAATTGCTAAATTACGACGAGCCTGGCAATGCAAAATAAAGAATATTTTGATGGCATGTGAAGTTGCATCGAGTTTTCATTCAGCTCTATCACGTACATATCCTTTAAAAATGTTAAGACCCACAAATTCCCAGTACCTGTAGTACCCAGTGCTGTCATCGCGCGAAAACAAGCGAAATGCACCAAATTCTAAATCACACAATCAAAGTTCAGAATTACTGCGGTATATATTGAATAGCTCTGTACTTCCTCACTGAGCGTTGACTCTCCCCAGACAGAACACCTTCGGAATCTTTTTTTTTTATGTATGTCCACCGATTACTCGAAGACGCCTGAACCGATTTGGAAAATTCTTATTTGTTTCAAATTTGATCCCATTTTTGTAGAAATTGATTTAGTGGTTTTTCAAAAATGTACAATAAATTATTTTATTTAACTTTTTTCACTTGTACTGCCAATGAAGCATTACATCTTAAGACAACAATCTTAAGATGGGTGACAACGCAACTGTATTTTTAATTCTTAGTCGAGGATAGGTGTAAGCGACTATGGACGACTGCGACGTAAGTAAAAAAGTTACGACCTATATACGTCCTACTGCTGGGCACAGGCCACCCTCTACTCTGAGAGAGGTTTAAGGCAAGGAAATGTCAGCAGCACTACCCCAATGCGTGTTGGAGGACTTCACATGTCTTCGATATATGTTTTTTAAATTCTCAGACATGCAACTTTCGTCACGATCTTTGCTTCACTGCCTGTGGTAATTCAGCACTTAAAATTGCAATTAAACCATACCATTGGTACAGTTGGGATTCGAACCCGAGATGACCGCTTTCCGTGAAATATACAGTGAGCGCTTAGCATCTGAGCTACCACGGTCTCGTATAAAAAACATATTCACCATTGAACAGCAACAGATCATCGGCAAGGAACTTGGGCACGTTGACATCTCTCAAAGCGCGCAGTACAATCTGTCTCTCATCACCATCGGGCATTTGCCTGATGAGGTTGCCCGCAACAAGTATCACAGTCTTCACCGCTCGCATGCCGAAGTCATAGTGATCCTGAATATATTTATTAAATAATGAGACCTTAGTGTGATAATACAAAATTTAAGACTAAATCCAACAAAAACTTTATAGGGTAAACCAAGGTATAACTGGCCACTACCAATAACTAGCCACTTGGTACTGTATCTATTTGAAATTAGAATAATGTTTTATTAGCGCCATTTATGAACGTATCAAACAAATGCCTTGTCATTCACCTTTCATAGTAGTTCAACTTTTTTCGCTACGAATACTAGCGCCAAAGCAAACGACCATTTACTGAAAGTCGGTGTACTTGTCCCGACATGTAAGTTACTTCACTACGTAAATGTTAGTGGCTAAGTATATACAAATTTTAAATTATTAGTGATAATATTTGGCGGTGGTGAAAGAATCGCATATTCCTACATCTTTACTTGGTGAGTTTTATGAATCTTTATTTTAATTCTAAGAAAATCTTAAATAAGCAGTTATTGGAAGGGTGGCTATTTTCTGAAGTATTTTTTTGCATGTTTTTAGTTATTAGCCACCTATGCCAGTTACTAAAGTTTTACCTATTATTCAAATCTCTTTAAAAATAACTCTTTGTTATGATGTTTATAAGGTGTAGTATTGTGTATTTTCTTTTTAGCAGAATTAGTCGACTCTGATCAGTAACTGGCATAGGTGGTCAGTTCGTGGCCAGTTACTAATCTATTTTCTTATTTTTTTAACAATTCATTGAAGTGTTAGAAAAATGTCTAAAAACGACAATACGGCAAAGAAACAATAGATAAGGCTCTAAAATTTATTGAGAATAAAGAGGGTCCAATTCGAGAGGCGGCAAAACAGTTTGGTGTGCTCAGAAGTAGCCTCCAATTTAAAATTAAAAATCCTGACACAAAGTTTAAGTCTAGACTAGATCCAGTGCTAACTGAGCTGAAGAATACAGTTTGTGACTTCATCATACAACTATCAAAGCGTGGCTTCCCAAGAAAGGAAGAGCATATCCAATTATGTGTTCAGAATTTTTAGAAAACATTAGTTTTATTAACGTTTCCTGTTGCTGGACACGTCTTTAGACCAATGATTATAGATAATATCCTTATATACGGATACCTGACCGAGTTTCACTGAGTGTGCCATCTGATTGGGGAATAGGGCGAAGCGACACAGGTTGGAAGACTGCAGCAGTTTTTTATGATTATATCTCTGTCTACAACCACAAATTTTAGAAGTCAATATCCCACTTCCTGTAATTCTGTTTTTTGACGGACACAGATCCCATATAACTAAAGAAATATCAGAACTATGCCGCCATCTTCAAACACATCTTTTCGCCTAATAAAGGTTGCTTGGAAGAAGGTACTGCGCGATCGGTGCGCTGTGAATAATGACCAGAAGAGTCTGACCAAAAATCCTTTGCTCTACTGTTAAAAATAGTTGTAGACTCGTTTTGTAAGAAATATACATTAATAAATGGATTCAGACGAATAAGATGACGAATGAATAAGATGAGAAAAACCCTAGGACGATTCTAGATAAATTTACAGGTGAGCTAATAAATAAAACCGAAGAAAGAGAAGATAATAGAAGGAAGTGTACAGTAAGCCGATACTTCAGAATAATTTAATAGAACGTAGTCTCGCTCCGCAGCCTAGCACGTCAAAACAAATCACATATTCTAAGGTTTCCATAATTTCTAATGTGTTCATAATCTCTAACTGAATTTTTGAAAGAGAAGTTACAATTTTCACCTAAACGCCAAGGAAAGCGTGGTAGAGCCATGCTGCAGCTATATTAGTAGTATAGTTGTAGTACGAATAGGTCAGCTCGACCGGGGAGCGACCACGCTCTCACAGAATACCAGCGTAAAATAGCAGCATATGGTGAGTGTAGAGAACTGGAGACCCATTTTACTGGAAAAGAGGCATTCCATCTTAGTCCTCACGGGTGACGACGCATCGACGCACTTACTATCAGGTGGACTGTGTGCTCGTTTGTCACCCTATCCCATAAAAAATAGAAAGACTGCCATCTGCTTTAACTTCAGACCAATACGTGGAAAAAATAAAAGCAAAACAGTTAAAAAAGGAAGAAGAAGCTGCATAACAGAAAAGAAAGAGACTACGAGAAGAAAAGAAAAAGGAAAAAGAAAACATTATATCTAAGAAGAAAATCAAGAAAAAGTGACGGAAAAAGCAAAACAAAGATAATTAAAGAAAATATATGTAAAGGAAAGACTGAAAATACATATGAAGTTAATGAACAATTAGTTTTTTTGTGATTTTTGTTCGAATCTCATTACACGTAGCGTTATTGAATGTAACCAGCGTAGAAAACAGTTTCCTTTTAATTGTATTCCATCATATCACAGACTCGATGTACCTGTGGAAGATGAGGATCAGGTTTTGTGCCACATTTGCTATCGAAAGAGTAATACTGATTCATCTGACGGTGATTGTGATGCCATTTTTGGCTCTGCTTGTGAAGAAGCACGAAAGCAAGGCTTCGGTTCAAGCTTTATGCTATTAAACTACATTAATCTTAGATTCGTTGATTTATTGTTCGAGTGAATTAAGAAAGTTCCTATGTCGTATTATTTTTGATCTCATATTAATATTACGGGTAAAGTTTTGATTTATTGTCTAACATAATGAATGTTTTGTTTAAAGTTTATTTTTTATATTTCTTTATAGATAGTAACATGAAACTGAGGCCTATTTCATGTGGCCAATTAATAGTTTGATGACGGCCAGTTTCTAAAATTAGTGGCTAGTAACTACCAAAAATGATAGTTTTTTGATTTTATTAAAATTTGATACCAAATATTGTTTTGTTTTACTTTTAAAACCCTGAATTATATAAAATAATGTGCACATTATTGTGTGGCATTGCAAAAAATCTAATATAGTAACTCATTTTGACATAATTAAAGTCTGATTTGGTGAAAGTGCTTAAGTGGCCAGTTACTGGTGGTTTTACTATAGACGCTGGACGCTTAAAATCTTTTATTACATAAGCGAAGCATTATGCTGAATCGGTGGCCTTTTTTTTGTTGTAAAAGTAATGTTTTGTAAAAGTACACATAAACAATTTCTAGTTATATATAAACAAAATTGATTATCACCTGTGAAGACAGCTGCTCAGAGCTGAGCCGAAATGTGGTGGTGATCTTGCCCGCCAAAATCTTCGCCTCGGAGAAGCCGTAAGAGAACAAGGAAATCTCCGCTATGAGAGCGTAGTCCGGCACCATCATGGCAATGGGGCGGAAAAGGGCTTTCAAGTTGTCTGGTAGTTCCGTGCGTCCTGGGACCAGAAAAAACAATATTATTTTTTATATCAAATTGAAGTGACAAACGAACGTAAAATCCACCTAATGGGGTGTTTTGAATTCGCCGCTGCTAAAATCTGAAACGATTTGACACCACCAGTCCGGTCTACCATATCACCTTCCGGCAAAGATGCTGCAAGTGGCTGGTTCAACAACAGTCAATGGCTCTGTGTGGCTCTGATATCCCGTTAAATTAGTGAAAATTTTTGTATTTTCTGCCGACTTCCAAAAAGGAGACGGTACTCAATTCGACTGTATGTTTTTTTATGTGTGTTACCTCATAATTCTTTACTGGGTAAACCGATTTCGATGATTCTTTTTTTATTTAAAAGTTGGTACTTCTCGTGTGGTTCCATATGGATTTGATCAGGGTCAGACCAATAGTTTTTGAGTTAATTAATAGAATCAGGCGTTAGTTTGCGGAAATCCATTATATAAAATCTTTTAGAAAAATTTACTTCGCAAATATCCGCGTTATAAAATAAAATGATGCGTCTTACCTAGTATGAAGAGCACCTCCCGCCCTCCCTCAACTATCCCCGTCACCACTAATCCCAGCACCGCTACTCCCAACATTACTACACTAAGCAAGGCACACCACTGACGATAATACGACACGTGTTTCGCCTCTACACTAGGCATCCTCAGGTGATATAGACTCAAAGGTGCCTAACCGCTAAGAAATTAGACAAGAATTCTAGAAAAAAGGAAAGAATTTTAGGTGTGAAACAGGAGATCTCCTGTTTCAGTTTGCCTCTGTCAAACCTTACGACATCCATTTGACGATATGAGGTAGTAGATATTCTAACGCCACCACTATAAGGTGTATAGGAAAAGTTTACTTGCCAGCGTATCCTGGATTCATTGTAATAAAAACTGAACACGACGCTTTTAATGGGAGCTCGCAGCCCTCGAACATGAATTTATCCAGTTTGGCGATTTGGGCCTTTTGTATTGTAACCACCTGGGTAAGAACAGCAAAACAAATTACACAATCTTCTTTTTTACCGGCACGTGAAAGTCCACTACTGAATAAGGCCCTCTTTTGTAGTAGGGAATCATTATCACCATCGTCATCATTATTACAGCCCTTCACAAATTCACTGCTGAACATAGGCCTCCCCCAAGGAATGCCACAAAGCACGGTCCCGAGCCCCCTGCATCCATTGAATTCCTGCATGTCTTACCAGGTCGTCACTCCATCTAGTGTGGGGACGCCCTACACTTCGCCTGCCAGTACGAGGCTGCCACTCGAGAACCTTTCTTCCCCATCGGTTCTTCGAGCTATATGGCCGACCCATTAACACTTCAGCTTACTAATCTGTTGGGCTATGTCGGTTACTCTGGTTCTACTGTGGAAATCTTCATTTCTAAGTTTATCATGCAGAGAAAACCCGAGCATAGCTCTCTCCATAGCTCGCTGAGCGACCTTGAGCTTCCTCATACGGTAGTAGTGGTGAATATTTGCCTTAATTGACTCGCTTTTAAAACGAATTTACGATCGTACCTTCGATACCGCTACCCGTCTTCGTCTCTACATCTGATGCAAACGGCATGGTTATACTACCATCTGTTGGAAGCCGTAAGATTGTTCTGGTGTTTTCCATAGTCACCTTATACGACATTCATGGGACGAAATGGTATGATGGATTCTGTTACGCCACTGTCACACACACCATACTATATGCTGTCCTCATTATCGTTACACCCTACCAAAAGTCTACTGCTTACCATAGACCTCCGTATACATTGCCTCATATGGGGGAGTGGGGATTTATGACATAGTTTCCACACTCATCCGGAGACTTGGCAACCGCAGTTTTTTTTATTTTTAAATTGTTATTCGGATACTGCACATCTCCTGGTTTGTTCTGTCGCCTTTAACTACCCACTAGACGATATGGGGTGGCGAATCCTTACACTGCCACTACACGGTCAACCTTACATTGTCCTAAGTTGCTTTTATTATATCTATAGAATGATTTTATTTTCTTGAACTGATTTAAAACGATGTTTAAGTATTTAAGTTAATTAAGCCTGTATACGTAAGTCGTATGACATTTTAGTTAAGCTAATATACAACGTATTCCATAAAACCTCACCTGCTGAGCTACCACCGAAAGCACTTCAATGTCTATACGATTGAATTCATCAAAGCAGGCCCATGCTCCAGATCTAGCGTTGAAATGAAGAAATAGGTTAAATAATATCAAATTGTGTATATTATAGTAGCGTACGTGAGACTAAATATGGTCATGTGGTTAATGTGGCAAATTTCTTATAACTCAAAAACTACAGCGTTGTTTGCATAGACTATAGCTCTGTGATACGATAACTCTTCATCGTCAAATAATAAAAGGTCAAAAGGGCGCCGCTTTATCGACGCCATTTTGACAGTTGCCATTACAGTAATAGTCCGGGAGGAATCGGCGTATGCGTAGTTTTTTATGCGATTCTCTTCAAATTGTCCTACATAGGGCAACTCGGTGCCGTATTGTTGAATCCGATTTTTCAATCGCAGGGAATTGCTATTTTCAAATGGGGCAATTTTATTTTTTTATATGCTTTGATGAAACATAAATAAAATCTTAGAAGTTAATATTATTGGAGTTAGGTATGAATTTGTAAAGGTTTGAAAAGTCCCAAATTCGGATAGTTTTGACCCATTAAAAATACATGAAGCCTAAGAATAAAATATTACAGATATTTTTTTTATTTGTTTTGATGAAATACAAATAAAAAAGATTCAATGATCTTTTACAATAAAGATAATATTATCGAAGTTAAAAAATTTTAAGTGTCGGAAAAATCCCAAATTCGAGTACTTTTGACTTATTAAAAATATATAAAGAAATATATACTTTTTTTTTTATTCCCACTTAAGGATATAAGGATGGCTTTTGTCTAAAGAATATAAAACAAATACATTTTATTATTTTTCTTTATATGTTTTTAATGATCAAATGTCTAAGAAATAAAACTTAGAAAACCTAATTGAAAGCTATCCAGTAATTTTTTCGTGATGCACGCACAACTGAAAACCTCTATCAGTTTATTTATATAGGTAAGGTAAACGATGCTGCCCATCTCCTGATTTGTTTCTATCTGTCGCCACTAAAGACACCAACGGGATGATATGGGATAGTGTATATTCTTACACCGTCACTACACGGTATAACGGTGTAACTATAGAGGAATCCCCCTAAATGAAGCAACATATGGGGGAGACCTTTATTCAGCAGTACACTTTTATGAACTGTAATGGGTGGTTATCTTAATTATCTTGCGTTTTATATATTTATGTTTTAAAATGTTTGTATTAAAAAAATATTATTTCGTGTTTTCAATGTACATTTTGTAGTTTAATCATGAAATGTAAAATAGAAATGTTGTAAGCATCGATATATATGTACTACGCACTAGATTTAGCATTCCGAACATTGACTATGTTCAACTAAAGTGTAATTCAATCCGTACACTAAACTAAATATTGCGTAAATTGAAGATTTGTGAAATCCATAAGATAATTATTATTATTACATTTTATTTAGAAATATGTTTGTTTAGATTAAAATAAAGTACTTTATATTAAATTCTTATATTTATTTTACCTTTATTAATATCTTATTTTATATTAAATTAAAGTCTTCGCGCATGCGCGACTCTACTATCTCCCGCGCATGCGCGAAGACATAGAGTAGCGCACAATTTTTGTTTGGAATAACTTCTCTAGTGCGTAGTACATATAACTTAAAGGTTGTAAGCATAATTTGTTTAACAAATCAATAATTGTTTACTTCGTCCATTTGTTAAACAAAATAATCCTGACAATGGCTCAATGAATTCCATTTTACATAAATCATTGAAGTGGAATCGCAGATTTTCGAGATCTATTCATAACGCTCTAATTTATATTTTAATACGCCACACTCAATAAACTGATTGATTGAAACAATACCAATAAGGATAATAAATCTCGATTGAAAAGGTAGCTCTAAAACTTCTCAAGAAACCCTTATACTTATTCCAAATTTGAAGTAGTAGTAGTTAACTAATAATAATAATATATAATAATAAGCCTTTTATTTCATGCTAAAATGAGATACATACATAGTTTATAGTTTAACGAAAAAATCAAAAAGAAAAAATATGTTTAAATCTGGATAATAATATATAAGTTTGTTTGCATGAACCCCTCCTCCAGTGAAGGTGAAGGCCTCCTCTAAAGAATTCCATTTGTCTCTATCTTGAGCTATTTGCGGCCAGCAGGTACCAGCTGTTTTTATCAAATCGTCTGCCCATCTCGTGTGAGGTATGCCTTTGAGACGTTTGCCGATTGGACCCTTCCACGTTGTTACCCTGGAGGTCCATCTCTCGTCCTTTAGTCTCGCTACGTGTCCGTGCTATTAGCTACGCAGAAAATAATATAGTGTGTCTTTGCTCGCGCACATAAGCTCCCTTATCATTTTTAAATAAATCTAAACCAGTGACAACCAGAAGCAGCATCGATGACCATCACATCTGGTGCTGCGATCGTCGATAGATAAATTTATCAGTTGGCCATCCCGCCAAGGTGAGAGTTAAGGTAAATTATACCTAGAACGGAACAGGCTTTTACGTGGTAGAGCCATGCTGCAGCTATATTAATAGTATAGTTGTAGCACGAATGGGTCGGCTCGACCTGGGGAAGGACCACGCTCTCACAGAATACCAGCGTAAAATAGCAACTTAAAGCTGCTGTGTTTCGTATGGTGTAGCTGTAGCTGGCTCTAGCACGTACAAAACTTGTATTTGAACTTACGCTGCTAGTCCTTTGAAGAATTTTCCCATCGCCATGAAGTCCAACTGGTCCGAGCAATTGAACACGACACACTGGACCGCAAGGGCTTTCGCTAAATCCTGTGCAAAAATACTAATACAAAATAGCTCATTACGGTAACTAAGCCTAGTAAAATTTTCAGTTATTGGAGCTCCCTTTAAGCATAGAATCTTGCTTGTGCTAGGAAGCACCGCTCTTCCATGGCGAGGTTACACAATAGACTCATCATCATCATCATTACAGCCCTTCACAAGTGATCATAGCTCATAACTAAACATACGCCTCCCGCATGGAATGCCAGAAAGCACGGTTTTGAGCCACCTGCATCCATCAACTTCCTGCATGTCTTACCAGGTTGTCACTCCATCTAATGCGGGGACGCCTATCACTTCGCCTGCTGGTACGAGGCTGCCCACACAAGAACTAAGGTTCATTGAGCTAAATGGTCGATCCACTGCCCCTTCAGCTTACTAATCCGTTAGGCTATATCTCACACAATAGACTAGAAACTGCCAAATAAATGCAAATAAGGACTACAACTTAAATTTTAAAATAAATAACGTTTGTAGATCACAAATAATACAATTTAATTTTAATATGAATATTATTTAGTGTTAAGAGTGCGCCGCTCTGTTCCAATATTGACTAATCAAAGGTTTCCTCAAAATGTTGGTTTAAAATTCTTTAATAATTTAACTGAAATGTTGTGGATAATCCCTCACGATGTTTTCCTTTACCGCTGAGTACTCGGTGAATCTACGCTTCAAATTGCAATTAACAATTTGATTGATGTTGGCTGGAATTAAACTCTGTTTTCAAATTTGAGGCAAGTGAGCTTATCCTGTTCAAAAGCGAAATATTATTTATTCAGAATTGGCCTTTACAAAGCATTTTTTGAAAGTCAAGAAAGCGACGCCATTGTTTCAACATGACCTTACTGTGAGAACCTTGTGAGCAAGAAAACCTAGAAACTTACAGGTAGACTATTTTTTTTTCTCAACAGTTACAATGTAATTTATTAAGTATATAAGTAAAAAAATGTCCACGCATCTATATAATATTTTAAATAATCATCAAATTTATGATAAACTTTCTTCATAAGAATGCTTTATACATGCGTTTTAAAAATTTCACAGAGAATTTTGTTATAAATAGTCATACATCTACCACAAAACAAGGTGCTGAGCAACCTTTTTTTATTTTTATTTATAGTATAGGGTGACAAACGAGCACACAGTCCACCTGATGGTAAGTGGTCGTTGTGGCCCATAAACATCTACATTTATCCTCGTTTGCGAATGAAAATGCAGATGCGTTGTCACCCGTGAGGACTAAGATGGAATGACTCTTTTCCAGTAAAAAGGGTCTCCGGTTCTCTACACTCACCATACGAAGCACAGCAGTGTTAAACTACTATTTGACGCTGGTATTCTGTGAGAGCGTGGTCCTTCCCCGGTCGAGCCGACCCATTCATGCTACAACTATACTACTAATATAGCTGCAGCATGGCTCTACCACGTATAAAACCTGCATCCATCGACTTCCATTGTCTTACCAGGTCGTTACTCCATAGGCTGCCACTCGAGAACCTTTCTTCCCCATCGGTTGTCAGTTCTTCAACCTATATGGCCGGTCCTCTGGCACTTCAGCTTAATAATCTGTTGAGCTATGTCGGTTACTCTGGCTGTTTGTCAAAAATTATTTCAGACTAGCAACCCACCCCGGCTTCGCCTATGTAGGATTCTATTAATGAATACCATCACACCATCCACACCATCTGGATGATTGACGGTCCACAATTGTGCGATTTTAAAAAACATGTTTTCTTCCTCGCACAACTTCCCTGTGGAATAGATTACCACCAGCGATATTTCCGGACCGATACGACTTAGGTACCTTCAAGAAAAAAGCCTGCTCCTTTTTAAAAGGCCGGCAATGCATCTGCAATTCGCCCGATTCCCCAGGTCTTGCACTTGTTCATGGGCGGCGGTAGTCACTTACCATCAGGTGAGTCTCATGCTCGTTTGCCCCCTCTCCTATAAAAAAAATTATTCAGATTTCAGATCATCACCACTCATTTTATGAATTTTTAGTATTTTTTTTTATCACCAAGTTTTCAGATAAAATATAGGCTAGATCTCTCCCGACATTGATCTCTGTCTGTTTGTAAAATTCAATCACAATTGGTTAGCCATTCCGATGATTAGCTCGGACAGACTGGTAGACAAAAATAAAAAAAATAGTTATTTGTGTCTCAATGGCGGGCATAGGGGAAGGACCACGCTCTCACAGAATACCAGCGTAAAATAGCAACTTAAAGCTGCTGTGCTTCGTATGGTGAGTGTGGAGAACCGGATACCCTTTTTACCCGACTTTTTACCCGGAAGGGTTATGTTTTTCGCGCGTATCTTGTACGTTTGTAAATTTCTTTATTACCTCGTATCTTCCAAACCGCTGAACAGTTAAGGTATCGTTTTATTTGTCTACGAAACCCAATTGTTCTTAGATAGGTTTTTTAATAAAATAAACAAAATGGCGGATTTTCGGCGCATAATAGTAATAAGTTAATTAAAAAAGTTACCAAATCTATCGAGTAGTGTACCAAAATAAAGGAAATTAAAAGGTAATTGCAATATATATATATATATATATATATATATATATATATATATATATATATATTATATATATTGTTATAAGTTATATGTTTAAATTTAATTAGGTATAATCAACTGTTTTGAAATTTTGAAAAATGGCAAAAACGTAAAATGGGCCATGTTTGTGTCGGACATCAAACCGAAGTAGAGTTTACAATGTTAATACTTTATTTCAATTTTGTTTTCTATTCTCAATCTTGCTTCGGTCGTTTTAGTGCATTACTTTTAAATTGTCGGGTTTTTGATTTTTTAAATTATTTATTACTGGAAACGAGGCATTCCATTTTAGTCCTCACGGGTAACAACGCATCTGTATTTTGATCCGCAAACGTGGATTGTTGTAGATGTCTATGGGCCACAGCAACCACTTACCATCAGGTGGACTGTGTGCTCGTTTGTCACTTTATACTATAAAAAAAAACATAATCCCCGGAGTTTAAAAGAAACCAATAATTTCAATATCACAGATAGACACGATTTTAGTTATATTATGTATAATAGATTTGCCTAAAAACAATATAATGGCGTTATTTATTTACCGTGTCAGATACTCGCTCACGTCTGCTGATCCGATCAGTTCAGCTGTAACACAGTTTTTATTCTGAATTGACGGTCTGGTATTCAGCCTACCTTGGTGGTCTCAGTCTTGCCGGTGCCAGCGGGTCCCGCCGGGGCGCCTCCGAACTTAAGGTGCATCGCGCACATCAGCGTCAGATAGCAGCGGTCCGTCAGCGGAGTGATCACCAGTCTTCCACTAAATAACCGATCACCTTCGTTATCTCTCTTTTTAGTAAGCTACTAATACAAATATTAATGATTATATTTTTAAAATTTTTGATTTCACATTGTCTTGGTGGAACTACAATGACGCTGTAACTGTTTTTGTAATCTACTCGTATACAAATAAATAAGATTGAAGTGTCTGTTTGTAATTTCAAAATAACAGCTTTTCACTAAATGCATATGAAAGTATTTCTGTACATATCACCATCATCATCATTACAGCCTTTCACAATTCCACTGCTGAACATAGGCCTCCAACAAGGAATGCCACAAAGAACGGTCCTGAGCCGTCTGCATCCATTGACTGCCTGAATGTATTACCAGGTCGTCACCCCATCTAGTTGGTGGTCACCCTACACTTCGCCTACCAGTACAAGGTTGCCATGTCTTCGAGCTATATGGCCGGCCCATTGCCACTTCAGCTTACTAATCCGTTGCGCTATGTCGGTCACTGTGATTCTACTGCGGATATCCTCATTTCTATGTCCATCAAGTAAGTTTTTCTATAAAACCCCGAGCATAACCCTCTCCATTGAGCTTCCTCCAACCTTGCGCTTCCTCATACGGCCAGCAGTGAAGGACCACGTCTCAGATCCATAAGTCATCACTGGCAACACGCACTGGTTATACAGTCTCGTTTTCAAGTTTTGAGGTATACCTGACGAGATGATGTGTCGTAATTTCTCATCGATTGACTTCTCGGTCGAAGTTGGACTTACCTAGTCGTACTATATGACTCAGGTAAATATACTTGTCAACAACTTCGAGCTTAGTTGTCCCAACAACTACCGGCATAGGTGTGACATGGACATTAAACATGATCTTTGTTTTGTCCATGTACATCTAAAGATCTATCCGTTGGGAGGCACTATTCAGGTCATTGAGCATAGATCTTAGGTCCTCCAGCGATTCTGTCATAAGGACTATATCGTCGGCAAATCGAAAGCTAGTGATGTGCTCGTCATTGATGTTAATACCGTATATTTTCAGTCCAGTAGCTTGAAAACGTTTTTCCATGCGTTGAAGAATTTCGGGGATATAACGTCACCCTGTCTTACACCTCTCTGCAATTGGATAGGTTTCGTACTCTCGTTCTGTACTCGGATAGCCATCGCAGCCCTACTGTACAAGCACTTCAGCACTTCAATATACCGATAGTAAACTTGGCACCGTTGAAGGGGCGGCAGCACCGCCCAAATTTCGACGGAATCAAAGGCTTTCACATAGTCCACACTTGGCATTGCTGACGTGACTACAGCACCACCCGAATTTCGACGGAATCAAAGGCTTTCCCATAGTCCACATATTTATAATAAAAAAAATTCGTATGTATCTCCGTCTGTTTGTTCCGGCTAATCACCGAAACAGCTTGACCAATTTTGACGGGATTTTCATTAGATTGCCGATTTTATAAGGAGTAACTAAGGTTACAATTAATGAAATAATAAATTAACTGAATTTAATAAATGCTTTGTTACTCTTTAAGTTAATTTGAAACAAGTTTCATGTTCGGTTCCCGGTAGATACTGTATTTTGCGCGATTGAATTTGATGTTTATTTAAATGCCTGTATGCCTTACTGCTAGTCCTTCGCTAATTTCTTAGATATTCCAGGAGCAATTAGTCAGCCGATAAACTCCAGCGCAAGTTGGCGAATGTTATACGTCGGTTTCTTTACGATGTTTTCCTTCACCACCAAGCATTTGGTGTATAAGCACTTAAAATTGCAATTAACTTTATAGATCGAAAACTAGTTCCTCGCATACGTTTTTAACGGCGAACGCCTTTCACAAAGCAGCCCCTGAGCTCACACAGCAAAATTTGATGTACAAAAGAAAATACCACAAAAATCCCTTTGAAACATAAGTGAATATAATTTATTTGAATTTATTGATGCGTGACAATAATCGACAAATTGGCGAAAAAGTATGGTGCGATGTTTAAAGAATTTACTTGATTCGCAAATAAACTGAATAAATAAAAATAAACCGAATAAATACAAATAAAACCTCTACAACTTTTTCCTTGTAGCCAATTTAAGCAAAGAGGATAACTTGTGTTCTTGTTTCATACAAGATAGATTTGATATTTTTTTTTATAGGATAAGGGTGACAAACGAGCACACAGTCCACCTGATGGTAAGTGGTTGCTTTGGCCCATAGACATCTACATCTATCTTCGATTAAGAATCAAAAGGCAGATGCGTTGTCACCCCTGAGGACTAAGATGGAATGGAATGCCTTCTTTCCAGTAAAAAGGGTCTCTGGTTCTCTACACTCACCATACAAAACACAGCAGTGTTAAGCTGCTATTTTACGCTGGTATTCTGTGAGAGCATGGTCCTTCCCCGGTCGAACCGACCCATTCGTGCTAAACTATATCTGTAATATAGCAGTAGCAAATATGATATATAGAATAATGGTAATAAACGAGTACAGAGTCCACGTGATGGTAAGTGGATGCTGTGACCCATAGATACCTACGTCCATTCTTGGTTCAAAATCAAAATGTAGATGCATTTCAACCCTTACATGATATAATAACTCATTATGAGTAAAAATGGTCTCCTTATTTTTCAACCGCCTTCAATAAAGAAGGAGATTTACAACTAAACTGTATTTTTGAAGTGAAAACGAAAAGGCGACACTGAAAAGAGATAACATCTATTGGATTTAGCCTGTGAGAGAATGAGATAGAATAGAGTGTACAGTGTTTCCTATTATCTGGGTCTCCTTTTCTAAACTTTTAACTTCTACCACTAACTGTTACACGTGGTAGAGCCATGCTGCAGCTATATTAGTAGTATAGTTGTAGCACGAATAGGTCGGCTCGACCGGGGAAGGACCACGCTCTTACAGAATACCTACGTAAAATAGAAGCTTTACCCTTTTTTTTTTGCGGATGGAAAATCATCAAATGACGCCTTTCGCTCTGGGTGGAGCGGAAGGGAGTGTCAGACTTTTACTGACTAAAAACCATCCGTGTTCCTTCAGTCCCCTTACGTTCCGGAGCCGCGATATCTCTTTCGAACAGCCCGCAGCCCCGGCAGGCGTCGGCCCTTGCGGGCCCCTTCACGCTGCTGACAGCTCTTTGAGGCGCGCGTGGAACAAAACGCGCCGTCGACACGGCCTGTCGTCGTTAGACGGACGGACGGCGAGCTACCCATTGCTCGCCGTCCACAGGCCCGCGCCTACGGTGGCCGGGGGCCACGACGTAGCCCCCGACGCCCGGGGCGTCTCCCGCGGCGGCCGGGAAGGAAAGCTGCTGCTCTCTCCTTCTCCCGCTCCGCCACCTCCTTCGCTAGCATCACTGCTTCGCAGAAGGTGGTGACGGCATCCCATTCCGTCTCGCTCCGGACCATGGCTTCGACCAGGGCCGGACGCGAGAGGTCGCCGCCGCCTATCGCCGCTACGAGGACACGGCGGTGCTCCGCCCAGGCAGGGCACACCTCCACGGTGTGCTCCACCGTGTCCTCCGGTCGATCCTCGCAGTGGGAGCACCCGGGCGTTTCCTCCCGCCCGATTCGGTGCAGAAACCTCCCGAACACACCGTGTCCGGTGAGGACCTGCGTCAGGCGGAAGGTGAGGACGCCGTGGCGTCTCTCAAGCCACTCCTCAAAGAGGGGTCTTATCGCCGCTATAGTGGCGTGCCCAGCACGGGGTTGCGACAGTCGCTCTCTCCATGTCGCCATGAGATCATGCCGGAAGTCTGTCCGCTGCACGACAACTTGCCGCGGCAGCGGGGTTTCCCCCCGGCATAGTGCCTCCGCGCGCCATTCGTGCAGGCGCGCGAGGACTATCGCCTCCAGATCCCATGGCGGCAATCCGGCAAGGAGGCACGCTGCCTCGCGGGAGATCGTGCGGTAGCCGCGAACCATTCTCACGGCAACCACCTTTTGGGGCGCGTTCAGGTGGTGGACGGCAAGCCGCGCCAAACCACGCGCCCACACCGGGGAGAAGCTTTACCCTGCTGTCTTTCTTATGGTAAGTGTAGAGAACGGGATACCCTGTTCACTAGAAAAGAGGCATTTCATCTTAGTCCTCACGGCTGACAACGCATCTGCATTTTGATTCGCAAACGATCATAGATGTAGACATCTATGGGCCACAGCAACCACTTGCTATCAGATGGACTGTGTGCTCGTTTGTCACCCTATCCTATATAAAAAAAAAACTGTTTCCTAGGTGAATCGATTTTGATGATTCTTTTTTTTTTGGTGCGTCTCATGTCAATTTGATCAAGATCTGACCAGTAGTTTTTGAGTTATCCTTAAAAATGCATATTTAATTGACTTCGACTACATTGAAGGTGTTCTCATTTTATTTATATTGTAATCGGTTCTTGTTTTATAGAATATAAAACTACTCTATATGTGTGTGTATTTGCACCTGCAACAAAATCTCATCACTCCAGGGGTTGACTGGCAGATAATGCCGCTAGGCATTAAGTCCGCCTTTGTTACCCTTGTTATTAAGGTGTCAACAAAAAAGATTAAATAAATAAAATAAATAAATAAATATGAGTGACAAACGAGCACACAGTGCTAAATAGATGCTTTGGCCTATAGATATCTACATCTATCCTCGATTAAGAATCAAAATGCAAATGCGTAGCCAACCCGGAGGCCAAAGATAGAATGCCAAGTAAAAAGGGTCTCCGGTTCTCTACACTCGCCATACGAAACACAGGATAATGCTGCTATTTTACGCTGGGATTATATGAGAGCGTGGTCCTTCCCCGGTCGAGCAGAACCAATCGTGGAACAACAATATTAAGCTGCAGCGTGGTTCTACTACATACAGAATATAGAGTATATTGAAATCATTGCATTTTCTTTCGCATTTACTATGGGGAGTGCTCTGAGAAATTGTTCGGATTAATGCCAGCCGCCAAATTTCACGAACGTACATCGCGGCAGAACTCTAGATACTATCCACAACATCTGGATGCTTGGCGGTCCACCATTGTACGTTTCACTAGGAGTTTTCTTCCGCGTACAACCTCTCTGTGGAATAGCTTACCACCGGCGATTTTTCCGGACCGATACAACTCAGGGACCTTCAAGAAAAGATCTTACTCTTTTTTTAAAAGGTCAACAATGCATCCGCAATTTCCTTGGTGTTGTAGTTGTTCATGGGCGGCGGTAGTCATTTACCATCAGGTGAGCCGTATGCTCGTTTGCCCCTTCTCCTATAAAAAAAATCGAATGGGAATACATTATAAGTAACAAGATCGGGCAATCCTGATCACTGCCTAGAAAGCGATTCCTGTTTTAAGCTGTAGAACAGGGTCTAGAAAGTTTGTGTAGGAGCAACACTGCATCTCCTCCATGAAGCAATCCCTAACTGTAGTCCAGAGAGTTAGAAGAAAATGAAAGGGAGGCAGCTTGGCTTAGCTTTTCATTGACGTCCGTCGAGTTGGGTTTTGATACGTATTTTTACAGAAAGGTTACACTATTATAAGCACACACAAAGTTTTAACATTCGGAAACGCGTACTTTTTGAGAAAAAAATTTATTGAAAATCAATTATTCTTGCAATGTTTATGTTAAATCCTACCGTAAAACTGGCGCCATTTTGTAATGTCATTGTCGTCGTCAGTAGGGATGTCTATTCTTTCCGAAAAAGATAGATTTTTAAATTGATTCGAATCGTAAGCTGTATCGATTCATAAAAATCGATTTCTAAAATATAGATATATTTTCCTGTTTGCATTTATAATGTAAATATAAATCCATTTTATTAAAAACAAGAAAGATACAATAATAAATGATCTCTTATTGAAATTTGTTTTATTTTAACAGTACCTATTAGGGCAGATAACCAATAAAATAGGTTAGGTTCAACTTATGTCAAAGAACCGAATTGATTGGCCCCGACTCCACATGGTACGAGTCTGTCCTACCCCTCTAGAGTGGTTTTATAGAGCCGGAGGCGCGTTCCTCGCCTTCACAGCTTCGACTTGTTGGACGCCTTCGGCGACCAGCCTCAACCGCTATGGCTCGTCCGATGCCTACGATTTGTTACAGCAGGCGGCTGCTCTTTTCGCAGCGCCGGAGACGTAGCAGTCTCAAAATAGATACAGAAATCCTTCTGAATCAGTCCCCCTATTTTTTTTATGATGAAGGGGATTTTTTTCTCATAAAATGGATTTATATTTACATTATAAATGCAAACATAAAAAATATAGATATTTAGAAATCGGTTTTTGTGAATCGATACATTAGCTTACGATTCCCTACTGACAACGACAATACAAAATAGCATCACTTTTACGGTAGCAATTGACATAAATATTGCAAAAATAGTTGATTTTCAATATTTTTTCGCAAAAAGTACGTGTCTCCGAATGTTGAAATTTGTGTGTGTGCTTATAATAATATAACATTTCTGTAAAAAAAATATCAAACTCCAACTCGACGGACGTCAATAGAAAGTCAGCTTCTTAATCAATTTCTTCTGAGGCATTAGGGAAAAAGCAGCGTGGCAGGATATCTAACTAAAGAAGGAGGTAACAATCACCTGTTACCCAAATACTCGTTCTGGTAGGTGAAAACGGAGTTGAGAGCGCGAACTTGGCAGATATTCTGGCTGAACTGACGGTAATACGCCGACGTGTCCAGCCGCTCCTCGTCCTGGTAGATCTCTGGCAGCTCGCCTTCCTCCAGCGGGATCATTTCTTTTACTACTTGATAGTATCTAAAATCAAATACAGTAGAACACCGATTATCAGAACGCCGATTAACCGAATCGCCAATTATCCGAATCGATCCGAAGCGTAATATAATTTTTTTTAAACTGGCTTTACGGCTCTGGGTTCTAGCCCTTATGAGCCTAGATTATAAAAAATTAAAACCAAGTACTGCAAGTAAGTAATGTTACATGTAATTAAAAATAACAGTGAAAAAATTTTAAGTTTTGTGTTGTAAACTGGTGATGGATGTTCGTCGCGAAAAGTAATGAAAAAGGAAAAGGATGAACAGCTTGAGAATGCTGTTTTTACGTGGTTTCTGCAGCAACGATCTACTGGACCACCGATTTCAGGATCAATTTTATATTAAAAGCCGCGAATGTTCAGTGAAAAATGGGTGGACCTGGTTTTACAGTTTACCAAACTTTATGAAGTGTAGAACCATTTATAAAATCAATAAAGTTTATTCTGTGTGTGATAGTTCGTTTTTCTATATTACATACTAGTCTATGTCAGATTATCCGAATTTTCGATTACCCGAATCGACCCCGGTCCCAATTAATTCGGATAATCGGCGTTCTACTGTACTTGTAGCATATTTTTAGTATGGATGGAATAAGATTTAGAATAATAGGAACTTACAGGTACACTACACTAGGCGTGTAAAGCATTTCTTCTAGAATTTTTTTTTATAGGATCGGGTGACAAACGAGCACACAGTCCACCTGATGGTAAGTGGTTGCTGCGGCCCTTAGACATCTACTTCTATCCTCGTTGCGAATCAAAATGCAGATGCGTTGTCACCCGTGAGAACTAAGATGGAATGCCTCTTTTCCAGTAAAAAGGGTCTCCGGTTCTCTACACTCATCATACGAAACACAGCAGTGTTAAGCTGCTATTTTACGCTGGTATTCTGTGAGAGCGTGGTCCTTCCCCGGTCGAGCCGACCCATTCGTGCTACAACTATACTACTAATATAGTTGCAGCATGGCTCTACCACGTAAAGATTTACTTAAATACTTTAGTTATTTGGACCTAATAAGAATTTAAACAAAGGTAGCCAATTAGCAACCTGAGAATAGAATATAATCATAATGATTTCTTATATTTACGCGAACACTACACATTTCAATAACTAATTTTACGGATTTTATCGCGTATATTAACTTATTTTATATTCCTGACGCTTCGGGCACTTTTCAGTACCCGTGACCATAATTTTCAGTATGGTCACGGGGGGGGGGGGGGGGGACTGAGGTGTATGACGTCCCACTGTCATAATTAACCACGGCTACCTTCAGATTAAAAATTATTAATTTTTGTTCTGATCTACGCAGTATGAACTTACAGTATCATGAAGTCTTGCAGTTGTATGCTTGGGTTGGGATTTAATTTTATTAATTATGGAATCCCAAGCAGATGGTAGCACCCAGCCATCTTCTCTATTGAAATTAGTATGTTTTTTGATTTCAATAGCCTCGCGAATCATACTTGGAAGGAATCGGTGTTCTTTAGCGAGGATTTGTGGTCTATCAAATCTAATGTAGTGACGGGGGCGATCCTGTACGTGTTCACAGACTGCAGTGGATTCTTCACATCAGCTATGTGTTCTTTAACGCGGATTTTTATGGATCTTTTAAAACGTCGTTTGAAACGTCGGGAATATAAAATAAGTTAATATACGCGATAAAATTCGTAAAATAAGTTTTATTTAAAAGAATATAATCATTTTTATACCGACTTCAAAAAGGACGAGTTCTCCATTCGACTGTATATTTTTTCATGTGTGTTCCTCATAACTTTGTGCTACGTGAACCGATTTAAAAGATTTTTTTTATTTGAAAACTGGTGTTTCTCATGTTGTCCTATATAAATCATGGTATGGCCAATCGTTTTTGAGTTATCCTTAATTATATATTCTATTGAAGTCAGTTGTACAAAATTTTTAATTTTAAATTATATTCAATATAGATTACAACAATACTTATTGAAAGTCATTTAAGCTTTACCACTGGTTCGGAAAAACCTCTTTCCTGGGAAGAACCAGTAAGAAACCCATCGGAACTTTTTTTAAATAAGATTCCTATAATATACAAATAATAAGTGCCTCAATGGTCTAGAGGTCCTAGATACACTTGTTAACCATGAAGTGCCGGGTTCGAATCCCAGGTTGGGCCGTAATCAGTCATTGCTAAGAAATTCTCAGTAGCAACCCAGAATCAGGTAGTTGGCGATGTTGCACCCTCATACCTCGGAAAACACGTAAAGCCATTGATCCTTCACCTAATTTCTCTCCGGTCGTATCAATTTGTCGTCCCATCGGACTATGAGAGTGAGGGAATATAGATTGCACCTGTGCTTGCGCACACACTCGTGCACTACAATCCTATCCTGCGCAAATAGCCAGTCTCCGTTAAGGCTGGCCGCCGTGACTAAAATCGGTCCTGAGGACATTATTATTATTATTTTATTTATTTATTTAATCTTTCATGCACAAAGTTGTACATATGGCGGACTTAATGCCATAGGGCATTCTCTCCCGGTCAAGCATTAGGCTAAACAGAGATATACAAACAAGAGGCGGTGCAGCTGTAATCAAAATAGAAAGCGCTATACACACACATACATAGACATATATACACAATATATGTCAGAACAAATATGAAATATAAATATGTATATGAAAATAAGAGCATTGTTAGTTCAAACTTAGAACAAGTTTTTCACATGCTTACGGACTTTATTTTTAAAAACAAACTTGTTGGAACCTTTTTTAAACTCAAGAGGGATGTCGTTCCAGAGTCTGATGGCCGTGAGGGCGAAATATTGAGATAAATAACCAGTACGGTGTAAAGGAGTAAACAACATAAGATTATTATAATACCTGAGTTGACAAATCCACTGGAAGTCGGTGACATTTTTAACGTTCTCCTCCACGAGTGTGTGAGTGACGTCACGCGCGTGTACTTCAATCACAATAAGCGCACACAACACTTCGCGCTGGAAGAACGTCAACTCGCCCTTCACAAGCGCACGAAGGCTATCCAACTGGAAAACCAAGCGTCTTACGAACGAACGAACGAACGAATTTAACGAACTTAAATACTACTACCAATGTACGATGTTCCTAATATAGTTTTTTTCAATAGAATTGGATGACAAACGAGCACACAGTCCACATGATTATGAGCATGGCAGTGGCTCTTGGACATCTACATCTGTTCTCGATTAATAATCAAAATTCAGCTACACTGTCACCTCTAAGAAATAAGATGGAATGCCTCGTTTCCTAGTTGTGTACTTCTAGTGTAAGCAAGGAAGATCGTGTTGCTGAGAGCAAGAACACGGCAAGAAGTTTTATGATAATTAATAAAGAATATTGTCAACATAAAAAGCACATAAATACATCCATCTTTACATAACATCCTTTAATAGTCCACTTTTTTATAAAAAAGCGGGCAAACGAGCATGCGGCTCACCTGATGGTAAGTGACTACCGCCGCCCATGAACAACCGCAACACCAGGGGAATTGCAGGTGCGTTGCCGGCATTTTAGATAGGTATAAGCTCTTTTCTTGAAGGTTCCTAAGTAGTATCGGTCCGGAAAAATCGCTGGTGGTAATTGATTCCACAAGGAAGCTGTGCGAGAGAGAAAACTTCTTCTAAATCGCACAGTGGTGGACCGCCAATCATCCAGATGGTATGGATGGTAACGCGAGTTTTGTCGCGATGTGCGATGGTGAAATTAAGCGGCTGGAATTAGTCTGAACAATTCCTCAGAGCACTCACCGTGATAGATGCGATAAAATACGCAAAGAGATGCAACATCTCTACGCAGTGCCAGTGTATCGAGCCGATCAGAAAGAACTCGTTGACGATTCGAACCGCTTTGCGCTGGATGCGATCAAGTGGAAGGATCTGGCATTGGGGTGCCCCGGCCCAGAGATGAGAACAGTATTCCATGTGAGGCCGAACTTGCGCTTCATAAAGTTGGAAGTGATGTGCCGGCATGAAATACTGTCACGCTCTGCTGAGCACGCCAAACTTTTTAGAGACAAATTTGACCTTCCCTTCTAAGTGACCACGAAACTGCACACTATTCGATATGTATATATACTAAGGATTCCGATGTTGGCTGAGGCAGCAAGGGGAGTGCCTTGAAACTGAGAAGATACTACAAAGGAGTTCTTTTTAGCGGTAACGCGCAAACTTGTGTCTTCTGAGGATTGAACTGAAGCAAAGACTCGACTTGAGACACAAGTTTATCCCGGTACTCGGCAACGTTTTCTAGAGAAATATTGGCACAGCCAGTATATAAGGCATCACCAGTGCTGTCGTCTGCATAGCAGTGAATGCTACCAGTTTGACACATATCATTGATATGCAAGAGAAACAGCGTTGGTGATAGCACGCAGCCTTGTAGAACACCAGCGTTAATAGGCTTGTAGTCGGAGCATTCATCATCTACAACGACCTTGACGCCCCGATCTGCAAGGAAGCTGGTGATCCAATTGCACAATGTCTCGGGAGCCCATAGGAAGGAAGCTTCGAAAGAAGCGCTTTGTGCCAAACCCGATCGAAGACCTTCGCTATGTCCAAACTAACGGCCAATGCCTCCCCCTTGGACTCTACTGCCTCCGCCCATCTATGAGTCAGATAGACTAGAAGATGACCAGCTGATTGACCCCGACGAAAACCGTACTGGCGGTCACTAATTAGCTGGTGATCCTCAAGGTACCGCATGAGCTGGCAGTTTATAATGGATTCCATTATTTTGGAGAAAAAGGAGGAAATGGCGATAGGGCTGTAGTTGGACGGATCTGAGCGGTCACCTTTTATAGGGATCGGGTGGACCAAAGCTATCTTCCATGAATTCGGGAATACGCCTTGGGAGTAAGAGTACCGGAAAAGACGCGTTAAAACCGGTGCCAACTCCGGAGCACACGTCTTCAGCACAATGGGGGGGACTCCATCGGGTCCACTCGACTTGCTGACGTCCAGGGAAAAGAGTGGTTTGAGAACCGAACGCTGTGTAAACCGCACATCCTGCATGGAGCACTCACGTCGCGGGATGGTTGACGGTGTATTCCTCCTATCATCTAGAGTCGAGTTGGAGGCAAAGAGAGAGCTCAACAGATCGGCTTTCTCCTTTGCAGCATGGGCCAGTGAGTCGTGCTTTCTGTACAGAGATGGAAGAGATGGCTGACGGAAGTTACCTTGGACAGCCTTGGCGAGAGACCAGAATGCATGGGTTCCCAAAGGAAGGCGAACTAGCTTCTCGCCAATTCTGCCGCTCTTGACTATTATATATTCTATGCTCAGACCTTGCCTTGGCAATGACGCTTTTGAAGGACCTGGAGGCGGAATTATACTTCTTTTTAAGTGCGCTGGTGTTTACATCCCGAGACGTTAATGCGTCAGCCCAGGTCCGGTAGCACTCCTGCTTATAGCATGATGCTATTTTACAGGAGCGACCAAACCATGGCTGGGATCTGCCTCCTATGGGCACCACAGAGAATGGAATTAAAATTTCCATATCCTGAAGTACCACATCAGCAACAAAATTGGCAACAACGCTGGGATCTTCCGGCGAGAATCAAACGCGCCCCCAAGGTTAGGAACTATCCACTGCTGAACATAGGCCACTCCCATAGATTGCCTCATAGGTAGGATTTTGCCATAGTTGCCACGCTTAGATTGCGGGTTAGCAACCACCGATTTTTTGAATATTTTAAATTATAAACGTGGTAGACGTTTATCAGTTAAAATATTAGACACGCTGCAGCTATATTATGGTTTAGCACGAATGGGTAGGACCACGCTTTTACAGAATACCAGCGTAAAATAGCAGCTTAATGCTACTGTGTTTGTTATGGTGAGAACAGATAAAAAGGACTCTTCTTAATGAAAACGAGGCATTCCATCTTAGTCCTCAGTCCTTATGCATTTTGATTCTTAATTGCGGATAAATGTAGATGTCTATGGGCTACAGTATCCACTTACCATCAGGTGGACATTGTGCTCGTTTATCACCCTATTCTATAAAAAAAAACCACTACACTGTTACGGTAAATACATGCATACATGTACATAAATACATTGGTTACATGTTTTACCTATATTAGGCTGGTGATGAAGCCCTAGGCAGTAAATCTTACTGTCTCATCCACCCTTTTTATGTAGATATAAGACGAAAAAAGTGTTTGGTTCGAATGCATAGAATAGCGACACCAAAGAGATGGTTACCCGTCGACCATCTGGTTGTTGGATTTGGAAAAAGTGTGGGAGGAATTTCACATTTCATCATTTATCATTAGACAACCATAAAGATACTATTATAATCATACTGAGTACGTCTTACCTGTTGAAGCATTTCCTCGAAAAATTCCTCCATGCGATAATCAGCAATGGCATTCTCAACTCCCGCAGTCCACGCAGTTTGTGATCCTGCGATCACCACTTGTCCCGGCCAATGTAGCACCCACTGGTCCCGGGGTAGCTTATACAGTTCCTCCAAACCGGCTATCAGTGTCAGACGAACTTAAACAAAATTTAGGAGAAAATATGAGAACTAAAATGAAAATTGTCTCTATTTACTTTAGATCATCACCAATATCATCAACCCGCTGCAATTACTACTGGATCTACTGAGACCCGCTCCATAGCCCTATTTTCATACATCCAGCAACCTAGCGCAGATTATCGTTAACTAAGCCAATTCTTGGAAAACAGCTTTTTGAATGTTACAAAAATCAATAAAAGATATCATAATCATCCTCATGTCTATTTATAGCAGTGAATCGTTAAGGCCTGTAAGGCCTTAACGATTCACTGCTATAAATAGACCTCGCCCGTGAAATGCCACAAAGTACGGTCTTGAGACAGTACCATGTACTATCCATCAAATTCATGTGTCTGTCTCTTACCAGGTCGACATTCCCTTACCAGTCTATTGGGCTATGTCGGTTACTTTGATGCTTCTGCGTATATTCAGCTAAGACATTACACACACATTTAAACTATTCTATTATTTTAGTTCCTTGAAGTCGGCTTTCACTTTTATCCCTTCATGTGTCATGACGCCTGCAGGAGGTCGACAGCTTATGCATGCCCGTGCGTCAGCCGACCCAGTGTGCCCATTTGGCAGTTAAACACGCCTTGTCTTTAATCATTAATGTTTAATCATCAATAATTATTAATGTTCAAAAATAAAACGTTGTTTTAATCTTTGAACAACATAAATTAATCGTAAGGTCTCAATGAACATTATCGATTCATTTCACCTGTTTTTGTTTTGCCGCGTAAAAGGAGGTAGATATTAAAAAGTTTGTTGTGTGAAAAAAAAATGTTTTGAGGAGGTGTCATTTTTAATATATTTTGATATATTGTGGTATTGTTATGCAAACAAATCAAATACCTTAATTTTTTACTCTTTTGAGTGGAATAAGGAATGAAGGATTAAGGAATTTAACAATCTGCAAATTAAGCAGCTGGACTCTCAAAATTACTTAAAATATTGACACTAGTTTGAACCCTGGTCGAATGCAACCAAATAAAGCTAATGATTTCTTATATTTACGCGAACACTAAACATTTAAATAAAACTAGTTTTACGGATTTTATCGAGTATATTAACTTATTTTATACTCCCGACGTTTCGAGCACTTACAGCACCCATGGTCTCCTCCCCCATTTTTTACTTGGAAGTAGCTGTGGATAACTGTGAGATTGGGATGTCGAATACCTCAATCCGCCCGACTTCGCCATGGGTAAATCACCCAAAACGTCGGGAATATAAAATAAGTCAATATACGCGATAAAGTCCGTAAAAACTAGTTTTATCTACAGACTGCAAAAAGGAGACGGTACTCAATTCGACTGCATGTTTTTTTTATGTGTGTTACCTCATAACTTTTTACTGGGTGAACCGATTTCGATGATTATATATTTAAAAGCTGGTGCTTCTCATGTGGTCTCATATAAATTTGATCAAGGTCTGACCATTAGTTGTTGAGTTATTCTTAATAATTTATATTGAAGTCGGTTGTACAAAATGTTTAATTTTAAATTATTTAAATGTATAGTGTTCGCGTATAAGAAATCAAATGCAACCATTTTCAATCGTGTATAATCGTTATGAAGGCAAGTATATTGAACTTGACTTACTAGTGTGTCTCATAGTGTCCTCAAGCAGCAAAAGCCATTGCTCTACGTTGGAAGTAGGGTAGAACTTATATTTCAGTTCGACAATCTCGCCTTCGCTTGAGTGCATTTCTGTTATCCTCAAATCTGGTTCAAAAGTAACCTATAAGCAGTAAAAAGTTATAGGTAAGCATTCTTCATCTTTTTCAGCGCTTAAACTATACTGCTGATCTCTTCTATAGTAGGGAGGAATAGCCGTGATGGCCTCACTTGGCTTTTGGTATCGCAGTAGAATTTTTTTTTTTGGTAGAAATTCCGCTATTTTTAACGATGATCCTTGTAGCCGGTCTGGATAGGTTATGTCAGATACATATACGAAATGGTTCTAACATCATGAATATTTCCTAACATTATCTGTAATTAAAAACAGTAAAATCATCTCCACATGATTTCATAGCTTCTGAAGTCAGTGCTAAGGACATGCTTCTGAAGTCAGTGCATCGAAGAATAAAAACTCCCAGGCGCTATTAAATTATGTGGAAATTATTTAATTTTCTTTAATTATTAGAAGTAGGTTTGTATTTTGACGGCTCCGTGGCGCAAACAAAATAATTGTTAAGTGAAATTATGTTTAAAAAAAAAGTCCCGCTGGGTTTCTTGCTGGTTCTTCCCAGGACAGAGGTATTTTCTGAACCAGTGGTAAATAAAATAATGACTTTCAATAAGTATTATGTAATAATCCATATTGAACAAAAATCATTCTATTCTATTCTATTCTATTCTAATGGCTTAGCAATGAGTTGCTGCGCTGGGAGCCGCGGGTTCGAATCCCGCACGGAACAAGTATTTTTATGGCCTACAAATAATTGTTCCGGGTCTGGATGTTTGTCCTTGTGCAATTAGTGTTTGTAAACTGCCTCCACGATACTGGAGAAAATCCTAGTGTGGGGGTAACGTTTAAAAAAAAGGTTCGTATTTTTTTTTAATTTCGCTGTTGAATCAAATGTAAAATAAGTTATTTGTTAATAAAAAAAATCGGCAGAATCGGTTCACAATAAGCGAAGGTATCGCATAACCAACTTGCTGAGGGAGGAGCCGCGCACTCGCGTAATCAGACTACTTAACCTAATACATGAGGGAGTAGACATACTCATGTATCCTCAGAGTTACGATCTCACTGAATACCAGCGTAAAATAGCAGCTTAACTCTGCTGTATTTCGTATGGTGATACAGAGAACCGGAGAACCTTTTTTAACGTGTGACAACGCATCTGCATTTTGATTCGCAATCGAGGACAGATGTAGATGTCTATGGGCCATAGAAACCACTTACCATCAGGTGGACTGAGTGCTCGTTTGTCACCCTATTTCTATAAAAAAAAAGTTAATTCACATTATTTACAATAATGTTGTCTTTTTTCAAATTTAAATAATTAAAATGTTTACACTAACGCATTAGATCTATAGTGCAGGTTGAATAAATAAATAAACATACATAAAAATCCAGTCTAATAGTGAATCTCTTTCGATTTTGAAATTGTTTCATTGGTACTCTGTATGCGTACGTGGCACGCATACAGAGTACTCCATCACTTCTGTGTGATGAAATTCAAACACGCATACAAGCTGGCTCGGCTTGCTGTTTTGGTGACTAATGCTGCTGCATACGTGCTGCACAAGTTACGCATGCACTCTTATCTGCCTCGGCATTAAAGTATAAATTAAATCTTGTAATACAGTTAACCCAGGTCTGGGCACAGGTTTCCTATTATATAACGAAAAACATACACCATGCTCTTGCAGTTCCAAATTGTGGCAGTATGAGAATACGTGAGACAATATTATGGTCAGTTGAATTAGTAAAGTTCAACAAAACGAAACACAAGATAGACCATTCCAGAGATAGTCCAGACCAAAAAATAAAATATTTGTAATACTTCGATCATAGAATTATTATGTATAATTCTATTACTTCAATGAAATTCAAAGAGTGTAAACTCAGAACTCATTATTTTTTTAAACAAAACAAGTTAGAGACTTTGTGCAAAAATAAAACGTTTGCACGACTTCTTAATTCGCTATCTGTTCAAGTCAGTTCAGAAACTACAGGCACTGTGGTAAATTACACCGAATTCTTTAATATACGTACCTTAGCGATGTTCTCGAAACATTTCCTGAGGTGTGGCTGCACGGCACGTGGGTTACGCGACTGCGCTAGCACTTCTAGCAGTTCGTCGTCGCTCAGGAAAAACAGGCGAGGGAAGCGCAACCGCTTTACCTCCATGTATTCGCTCAGTCCACGTGAGACCACTTCTAACAAGTGTCGAGCCTCTACCAAGCTATCAAGGAGACGGCTGTCCGGGCATGTCACCATTATCTAAAAATAATATGGCATACAAAAGCCTCACGAATAGTTATTGCAAAAATGCTAAAAATATTTGTCTGTAATTTTTCAAGAAACAATTTTTTTGAAGTCTTTAAAAATATTACGATTGAATTAAGGAAATAATAAATAAAATACCTAGGATTAATGCTTAATATCTTTCTAATTTCATATTTATACGAAAAGTTTTCATGGCTGGATAAAATAAACAAATTCATAGCATAGCACCTTTGGGATACCACAGGGATCTCTTTTGAGTCCCGTTTTATTTCTTGCGAGTGTAAATTATTGATTTTACCTTAGGACACGCAGCAGCAGATGACATTATTCTCCTCCAGATTCTTTCCATGGTGCCATACTTTTTATTCTCGAATGGCAACTGCCTTGAGATATCTTCAGATGTAAATATAGGCTCTAAATACATCCATTCCCTATGATAAACATAAGAAAGGGTTCAACATCATCATCACTACAGTTCATATTCTAGTATATTCAAGTATTTGGTGTGGTCTAGTCTTTAATCTACATTTATTCACAAGAGCCAAATAGACGATAAAATGTCAAGGAAATGCGAAAAATCCTGCAAGATATTATACTCGTAGTTTAAATTAATACAATAATAAAATTAAGATAAAGAAATTAAAAAAAAACACCTTTATCTTTTTCAACCTTTTAAGAAAATATCTTAAACTACAACTACGTAGGACGCTTAAAATGTGCAATTTATTGTTTCGATTCTTTACAGTAGGTACGTTAAATCTCAAGTTAAACGTTACGTAACCTTAAACCCTAGTAAGTAAGAAAGTCCCCAGAACTTTCTTATTTACTAAGGTTTACACTTGTAAGTAAGAATGTTTACCACTAATTACTTACTTCTGACAATCAATCCACTCGTCGACGACTTTCTGCGTGAGGCGCAGCTTGTCGTCCCACTCTTGGATCCTCAATTCGAAGGCCGCTTTGAAAGGACTAAAACCTAACTGCTGAGTGGTCAGCAGATGTTCGTCTAGTAGCTGAAGTGTTTCGTCAGATATTTTCATGATGAACGTACCTTTGGAAAAGTTTGGAGTACACATTAAATAATAATAAAGTAAATGAGTATCAGATTATGTGAGGTCGTGACATACATGAAATCAACGAATGCAATGAATGCAGCGTGCACCTACCTAAATAATAACACTTAATTTGCCGCAAGGATACTAGGGCCCATATTAATAAACGTTACTCAACGACGAACTCCAGTGCGTAATCATTTGATATTTCATTACGATATCAGCATCTCAAGATCGTTGCTAATTAATAAACACATAAAAACAGTATCTCAAAACACTGTACTTGGTAATACTGTTCTGTGACTTGCACTCAAGTACGTGTGTACTTGAGAGTCGAGTTTCATTTATTAATCAGTGTGACACTCAGATGATAACGTAAACATAAACCGCATCTTGAGATATGTTTATTAATAAGAACATAACCTCTATATTCTACTCAAGTGCGTGTACTTGAGCTGAGTAACTTTTATTAACACGGGCCTAGGTATCCCAGCTGGGGTGCGGCGATACTTCACGCCAGGGCAGCTTCTTACTTTATATAAAGCACAAGCGCGATCATGCAAGGAGTACTGCTGTCATGGGCTGGTGCTGCAAAATGTCACCTAGTAGCGTTGGATTCAGTTGAAACCAAGACTGTCAGCCTCGAGCACAGGCACAGAGTAGACAACTTTAGAGTATTCTATAGGATGCATTTCGGAGAGTGTGCGCAGGAATACATGCTTTAATATCTCCCTCCCCTTTTCGTCATCGTACAACCAGGAGGTCAACGGGTTTTCATCCCTTTTTTGTCGATACTCTACGCATTTGAACCAAACGGTTTGCTTCGTCTTTCGTAATACGTACAGCAAAGGAGTGTAATAATCTGCTAGCGTTTTATTTTTTTATAGTATACCTGATGGTAAGTGGCTGCTGTGGCCCATAGACATCTACATTTATGCTTGTTTGTGAATCAAAATGCAGATGCGTTGGCACCCGTAAGGACTAAGATGGAATGCCTCGTTTCCAGTAAAACGGGTCTCCGGTTCTCTACACTCACCATACGAAACACATTAGTGTTAAGCTGCTTTTTTACGCTAGTATTCTGTGAGAGCGTGGTCCTTCCCCGGTCGAGCCGACCCATTCGTGCTACAACTATACTACTTATATAGCTGCAGCATGGCTCTACAACTTCAAAAATCCGTCCGTCTTTCCGACTGAATACAAACGAGACGTCCTCAACGCAAGAGTGAATAGACTTTTGTTACGCTAATACTGTGACAGTAATAAGTTTTACCATCTAGGGCTTCATCACCACTTACCACGAACTCGGATTGTGGCAAGCACTGACTTATAATACCTAAAAAAAATACAAGTAGCTCAGGATTATGCTTTATAGCAATCTTTGAGAGAGGTATTTGTTGAACAGATGTTTTGTGATAAGCTGGACTGGAAATCTCAAATTTAGAAAATTGGTAACAAATTGTCTGGTTTTGTATATGCACTAAGTGAAATAAAAAAGACAACTGACCTCCAGACTGCGTTTATTACTTATAATGCCTATGCACAGGCGTGGCTAAGGTATGGTATTATCCTGTGGGGCAACAGTACAAATGCACCTACCATCTTCATCTTACAGAAAAAGCTAATTCGCATTATTTGTAACATAAAAAATACTGAAAGTTGTCGTCCTCATTTTAAGTAATTTAAACTTCTTACCTTAAGTTGTATTTATATATTGCAATTAAACAAATTTGTGCGAAAATACCCTAATTTATACGTAAAAAGAGAAACTAAAAATACGGCTTATAGTTTTCGACATGAAAATAAATTATTGCTACCACCCTCTAAAATGAAGCTCTTCTCATCAGGCCCTTACGTAATTTCCATAACTGTCTATAATAAACTACCAAACTCATTAAAAAACGAAACAAATGATAATATTTTTATAAGACAATTAAAAGTGTTTCTAATCAATAAATGTTATTATACTTTATATGAATACCTGAATGACAAATGCAATACTATAAATAAATGAATGATTTATTATGAATAATAATAAATGATATAATAATAATGAATGATATAATAATAATAATGACTAATAAAACATCTATGCGTCCTCCTCTGTTCTAATTTTCTAATTTGCTATACCCAAAAGGGTCCATATTGTGATAATTTAATTTATTAATTTGTACACTATGGAATGCAAATAAATATTGAGCATTGAGTATTAAGCTTGTATAAGCAATGACGATGATAATTCGGAAAGAGGTTGTAGGATTTGCAAATTATTTATCTAGCGCTCACCAGTATTTTTATATGGTGTTATTTCCATAGTCTTGTTGGCCCACTCATTGAGCATCTTGTCCAGCGCTTGCTCGATGACGTACTCCTTGGAAGCGAGTTCTCCGATTTCCGCTATATGATCAGCGTGCGCCGCCACGCCCTGTTTAAGGCACATCTGAAACGTCTGCTTCTCGTTCATTGTGACTGTAATGCCTAATGGATCAGAAAAATATTTGTTAAATTTTACTTTGTTTAACGTACCAAAAATCATCTGGTGACAATCCAAACATACGGCAGTGTGTCAGCCAAATTTTAAATACAAAAGAACGATGCCACTCGAGAATCTTTCTTCCCCATTGGAAAGAAAGAAAGAAAGAAAGAAACTTTTTTATTTGATGCTACATCATAAATAATTGCACCACATGAGTATAATTAATAGAATCAGGCGTTACTTTGTGGAAATCCATTTTATTAAAGTTGGTAAAAATTACCTTGCGTACATGCGCTCGATTAAATAAAATGATGTGTCTTACCTAGTATGAAGAGCACCTCCCGCCCTCCCTCAATTGCATAGATGTAGATGTACTTTGCGATGGCTGACCGCTAAGTTAACGATCAGCCATCGTAGTCTACATCACCCGAAGATGCCTCGTGTCGAAACACGTGTCGTATTGTCGTCGGTGGTGTGTCTTTCCTAGTGTAGTGGTGTAGGGAGTAGTGGTGCTGGGATTAGTGGTGACGGGGATAGTACACGCAATTGAGGGACAGCAGGAGATGCTCTTCAAACTAGGTAAGACAAATCATTTTATTTTATCGAGCGGATGTGCGCAAGGTAATTTTTACTAACTTTAACCACATGAATATATTATATTATATCAATATTAATACAGCAATAAACAGGCATCCGACTCGGCACTGTGCCGCGGTGTAATAACCACAGCGCTGATATTCTACCAGTGTTTTATCTACACCTACATGTTTTATCTACGACTAAGGAATTTGAGAAAACAAAAACTAGAATAAAATATAAAATAATAATAATAAAACAGAAATACAGTGCATTTAAACAAATCACTGTTGGTTGTCGAATCTTTGAGCTGTATGGCCGGACCATTACCAACTCAGCTTTCTGATCCGCTGGCTCTGTCAGTTGCTTCTGCTCTTTTTTTATAGGATAAAGATGACAAGCGAGCACACAGTCTATCTGATGGTAAGCGGTTGCTGTGGCCCATAGACATCTACATTTATCCTCGTTTGCGAAGAAAATGCAAATGCGTTGTCAGCCGTGAGGACTAAGATAGAATGCCTCATTTCCAGTAAAAAGGGTCTCTGGTTCTCTACACTCACCAAACGAAACACAACAGCATTCAACTGCTATTTTACGCTGGTATTGTGTGAGAGCGTGGTCCTTCCCTAGTCTAGCCAACCCATTCGTGTTAGAACTGTACTATTACTATAGCTGTAGCAGGGCTCTACCATGTATGAAACTGCACGCTAAGTGACTTAGATTATTCATACGGCCAGAAGTGAAGGATGATGTTCACTATATCTTTATATATAAAAATTACGTGTCACATTGTTTGTCCACGATGAACTCCTAAACTAATAAACTGATTGCAATGAAATTTTGCACACTGTGTGCAGTTTGGTCCAACTTGAGAGATAGGATAGTTTTTATCCCTATAAGTGACCCTCAATATTTTTATTACGAATTTAAGAATTTTTATAGGATACAGGGGCGTCGGAGAGGGCACAACAACGTTTAATTAATAGAATCAGGCGTTACTTTGCGGAAATCCATTATATTAAAGCTTTTAAAAAGTTACTTAAGTTACCCAAGTGGTGTTGGGAGTAGTGGTGCTGGGATTAGTGGTGACGGGGATAGTGCACACAATTGAGGAAGGGCGGGAGGTGCTGTTCATACTAGGTAAGACACATCATTTTATTTTATATAGCAGATGTTTGCGAAGTAACTTTTTAAAAGCTTTAATAGAAAGTCTGCCTGGTCAGCTAGTATAAATATATATATATTGTATATCCTTTATGTATACATATAAATAAAATTAAAGTGTCAGCTGTGATATAAATACAATGCATGCCAATTAGACATGTACAATCATTTGTAAAACACTTGTCTGTCTGGGCGAATCTTCGGAATGACTCAAATAATTGTGTTGAAACTTCACGAACAGATAGAGAGCAATACCAGAAGTGATCTTAGCTATAGTTTTTCGAAAAACTTTGAGATATTCTTGTGAAATGGAAAAATTGATGAAATAAATGGCCCTTCATGGTTAATTTAAAAAAATCTTGTAAAATGACGTCATATTAATAGACGAAAACTATGTTTGATAAAGGATATACAAAATATTTTCATATATTTTGTATACCTAAATACAAAATATACATAATATTTTGTATTTATACGTGGTGGAGCCATGCTACAGCTATATTAGTAGGATAGTTGTAGCTTGTAGCACGAATGGGTCGGCTTGACCGAAGAAGGACCACGCTCTCACAGAATACCAGCGTAAAATGCCAGCTTGACACTGCTGTGTTTCGTATGTTGAGTGTTTGAAAAAAATGAGGCATTCCATCTTAGTCCTCACTATGGGTCACAGCAACCGCTTACCGTCAGGTGGACTGTGTGCTCGTTTGTCACCATAAAAAAAATTGTATACCCTTTATCAAACAATAGACCAAGTGTTAATATGAGAAAAAATTTGTCCAGATTTGACCACCTACCAATTATTTATCTAAAGTGGAAATATAGAAAGTGTAATGAATACATACCGGCTCTGTCCATGAACTCTTTCCAATGTCTTTCCTTCATGCCGGGATTTTTGACCGCTTGCAATATCGGTATAAGAGGTTTGAATGCGTCAATGTCGTCCTATTAAAATATTTCAGGTGATGAACAAATTCATATTTGTCAACATAATAACTAATTTCAGTCTGAAGTTCACGTGGTAGAGTCATGCTGCAGCTATATAGTGATTGCAGCACGAATAGGTCAGCTCATCCGTGGTGGGATCACGCTCTCACAGAATACCAGAGTAAAATAGCAGCTTAACACTGCTGTGTTTCATATGGTGAGTGTAGAGAACCGGAGATCCTTTTTACTGGAAACGAGGCATTACATCTCACTCCCCGCGGGTGACAACACATCTGCATTATTATTCATATTCGAAGATAGATGTAGATGTCCATAGGCCACAGCAACCACTTACCAAAAAAAAACCTATCTTAGACCAAATGAATTGACGGAACCGGGGAAGGACAACATTACCACAGAATATCAGCGCGAAATAGCAGCATAAACGTGGTATGTTATTCAACGTGAATGGCGAGAGATGGTGACCCCTTTTACTTTTTTTATAGGATAAGGGTGATAACCGAGCACACAGCCCACCTGATGGTAAGTGGTTGCTGAGGAGCATAGACATCTACATATATCTTCTATTACAAATAAAAATTCAGATGCATTATCACACGTGAGGACTAAGATGGAATGCCTCATTTCCAGTAAAAAGGGTCTCCGGTTCTCTACACTCACTTTAAGCTGCTATTTTACGCTGGTATTCTGTGAGAGCGCGTGGTCCTTCCCCGGTTTACTTACTACCTCGGATTACTCGACCCATTCGTGCTACAACTATATACTACGAATATAGCTGCAGCATGGCTCTACCACGTAAAACTGGTAAAGAAGCATTCTTATCCTCAGGGACCACAAGGCATCTGCATTTTGATTTCTAATTAAAAATAGATGTGTGTCAATGAGCTATTGCATTCACTTATAACCAAGCACCCTAAGAAAGAATCTGTAAACAATTACGACAATTATAAACCTTCAACCTCAGAACTTATAATTACCTAAACGAACCTCTGCCTCATAATGGGTTTTTACCATAGTTGCCACTCTTGGCAAGTGGGTTGGCAACCGCAGTTTTTATTTTTTGTCGTTACTAGGAAGACCCTGATGCCCATCTCCTGATTTGTTTCCCTCTGTCACCTCTCACAACACCCACGAGATGATATGCAGTAATAGATATTCATAAATCGCCACTATACGGTAAACGATGGTATACGAACAAATCAGTAAAAAAAGTATTCAAGATTCTTTTGGTAATAAGTCGGCAACACATTAGTGGTCTTGCGGTTGCTGATTACGACGTCTTGGGTCAAGAAGTTTTCACCTCGCGCCTCTAAAAGCACGTGAAACCGTAGTCCCTGCGCCTCATATCTTTCCAGTCAATGTTGATTTGCCGTCCCGTCGGACTATGAGCGTGAGGGAATAGATAGTCTCGCTAGAGCACTCGTGCTTACACATACGCTCATACGCTATAATCATGTCCTGCACAGATAGCTAGTCTCCGTTGATACTGACAGTCGTGACCGAAATACGGTGTAGAGTGTATAGAGACCCGGAGGCCCTTTTGAATGAAACCGAGGCATTCTATCTTAGTCATCAGGGGTCACAACCTATCAACATTTTGGTACATATTCACAGATAGATAGCGGTGTCTATGCGCCACAATCTCCACTTACCATCAGGTAGAATGTGTGTTAGTTTGTTACCCTTATTCCATAGAAAAATAAGGGATCAAATATTGTCCTTTCATCATATAATCGATTTCAAGGCAAAACCTGTACTATATTTACCCTTATAGCCAAAGCGACGTTCTGTATTTTCGGCAAATCGGCAAACGTCCGGATACACTTGACGATTGTTTTATAATATTCATTGACTAAAGGCTCGATTGTGTCCGCGTCCACGTACATCAGCGGATTATCAAACCACACTTCGCGAGACTTAAGGAATTCTGAAAAATTATTACTATCGTAAAGCTTTTATTCTGCAGCATTCAAAGATATTTGAAAAACATTGATACGCTAATAGAGTCTCCAAATTGAATACTAAAATATTTTTTTAAACTTCACCCCAATACAAGGTTTCCTCCTGCACCGCGGAAGCGTTCATCATAGATACATTTTACACGGATCTTTATCAATAAATCTTTATTTGCAAGAATCACGGTATAAAGTTGGGTTTAGACCAAACGAGCGAATGTTCATTCTATCCACACGCCATCAAATAATTTTAGTGTAAACAGAGACAGAGCATTCTTTCGTTATTCTACGTCTGTTCGCAGAGATTCTATGGAATATTCTAAGAACGCTCGCACGCTTGATGTAAACGGAAGTAAAAGCAAGCGAACACCGAACAGTAATCTAGCATTCTTTCGTGTTCGGACGTACTCGCCCCTCGGAGCGATTTTTTCAGTGTTCTTGTGTTCTAGCGAATCGGAGGTAATAAACGTAGGTATCCATGGATTGTTCTCAAAAAAAATTTTACTCATGATCAAGACCTACCGTAATTTGAGGGAACTGTAGGATCTTAATGATAATAATTATAAAAATTTAAATGACAAACATGGTAGTAAGCAATAAATTGCAAGTACAGTGAAATGTAGTGTTGAGGAATCTATAAAGAAGATGAAACTCTCTTCTTGCATCATATCGCCGTATCTTTACCTGCCAAAGACACTTGACGAATGAACAACGAACACTTCTTTATCTAAACATCTCTAGAGTATGTGCAAGAATTCTAGTTCTTGGTTTTTCTCATCTTATTCATTGGGATTATTTTGGTGTGAACGCCAAGAACGAAATTTTATTTATACTAAAAGATTATGAAAGAACGTTCTTGTTCTAGGTCTAGCTTTTAGCTCCATTGGTCAAAGCTCACCTTAAGATGTTACAATATATGCAGTCCAGTTTTGTTTGACTCAATAGCAAGAAAATCATAGTTTTAAACTGTTCATATAATATATTAATTAATTACTATCATAAAATCGTTTAATTCATAAAAGTTTTGGGTTTTTTAACTAATTTTACAAATGTTTCTTATATGAACCCTTACTAATTTCAATTCTTTATATTTTTCTCGGAACAATCATTTGTAACTCGTACAAATACAAATTTTCCGTTCGGAATTTGAGCCTGTGCCACTGAAGCGCCGCAAAAATATGCTTGGCCATTAGGCTACCAAAATGTTAAATAATAACTACACAAAGTAAAAATCAAACAAGTGCTAATATGAGTTAGAATTAAAGTAAAAATTACAGCTCAAATACGTCTCACTGTTAGGCACAGGCCTCCTCTCATTTCTGAGATGGTTTTAGGGCAAGGAAACGTCCGCGGTGATGCCATATTGCGTGTTGGCGAACTTCACATGTCTTCGAAATATTTTTTTCCTTATTTCTCATACACGGAAAGTTTCCTCACGGTGTTTTCCTCCACCCCAAGCACGTGGTAAATCAACACGTAAAATTGCAATTAACAATTTCATTGGTGCCGGCGGGGATCGAACCTGGGTTGCTCGCGTACTGTGTACCTGCTGAGCTACCACGGCTCTCTAAAATTGTAATCTTTTTTTTTTCAATAATTTCATCATATTATTTAAAGCCTTGCTCTCTCTTTCTTTTTTAATTTCCATCTTTCTAACTTTACAACTATCATTTATTGTACATAACCTATGTATAATAATCTGTTTAAATCACTGAATGCAAGGGTAATTGTGTTTCAAACTCCTAGTTGCAACAAACTTATTTATTTCGTCATTTCTAAATTGAAGCTCTCTATGTTGGATCTAAGCATCTATTTCAATTATAGCCTGGAGTGTTTATTAATGACTAGAAACAGCCATATTGATCTTTAATATTCGATATTATGATCCTGATTAATAACCTGACCTGCACTTCCTGGTCAGCTAAGTTGAACAATAGTTTGGGAAATCGAAAAGTGCACGTCTCATGAGCGTTTCATTTAATATTTCGCTCTATTTAAAATAACAGGTAGTATCACAGGGAAAAATAAATAATGTTCACCAAAATAAATCGATTACATAAAGTATAAAATGGATATAGGCTGTATGGTACATTTGTCCTTTGTCTTTCAAAAGCTAAAAAAATATTAAAGTGCCTTTAAATTTTTAATAGCAATAAAACTTGAAAATCTTTTTATTAACAAACAACGCGTACTAGGCTTTTGATATGAATTAGGGAACCAGTTGATGTAATTCTGAAGGTAAAAGAAAGCTGGTGATCTTCTGGTCTACCTGACCCATAGATGGGCGGTGGCAGTAGAGTCCAAGGGGGAGGCGTTGGCCGTTAGTCTGGACATTGCGAAGGCCTTTGATCGGGTTTGGCACAAAGCGCTTCTTTCAAAGCTGCCTTCCTATGGGCTTCCCGAGAAATTGTGCAATTGGATCACCAGCTTTCTTGCAGATCGGAGCATCAAGGTCGTTGTAGACGGTGCATGTTCTGACTACAAGCCTATTAACGCTGGTGTTCCACAAGGCTGTGTGCTATCACCAACGCTGTTTCTTCTGCATATCAATGATATGTTGCTAACTGGTAACATTCATTGCTATGCGGATGACAGCACTGGTGATGCTCTATACACCGGCCGGGCCAATATTTCTCGGGAAAACGTCGCCGAGTACCGGAACAAACTTGTGTCTGAAGTCGAGTCTTTGCTGGACAAAGTCTCGGATTGGGGGCGACTAAATCTAGTCCAGTTTAATCCTCAGAAGACACAAGTTTGCGCGTTTACCGCTAAAAAGAACCCCTTTGTCGTATCTCCTCAGTTTCAAGGCACTCCCCTTCTTGCCTCAGCCAGTATCGGTATCCTCGGAGTCGACATATCGAGTGACGTGCAGTTTCGTGGTCACTTGGAAGAGAAGGCCAAATTGGCCTCTAAAAAGCTTGGCGTGCTCAGCAGAGCGGGACAGTATTTCATGCCGGCACACCGCCTGCAACTTTACAAGGCGCAGGTTCGGCCTCACATGGAATACTGTTCCCATCTCTGGGCAGGGGCTCCCCAGTGCCAGCTCCTTCCACTTGACCGCATCCAGCGCAGAGCGGCTCGAATCGTCGACGACCGAGCCCTTTCCGATCGGCTCGATTCATTGGCACTGCGAAGAGATGTTGCATCTCTTTGCATTTTCTTTCGCATCTACCATGGGGAGTGCTCTGAGGAATTGTTCGGATTAATCCCAGCCGCCAAATTTCACGAACGCACATCGCGGCAGAACTCCCGATACCATCCACACCATCTGGATGATTGGCGGTCCACCACTGTGCGATTTAGAAGATGTTTTCTTCCTCGCACAACTTCCTTGTGGAATAGTTTACCACCAGGGATTTTTCCGGACCGATACGACTTAGGGACCTTCAAGAAAAGAGCCTACTCCTTTTTAAAAGGCCGGCAACGCATCTGCAATTCCCCTGGTGTTGCGGTTGTTCATGGGCGGCGGTAGTCACTTACCATCAGGTGAGCCGCATGCTCGTTTGCCCCCTCTCCTATAAAAAAAAAAAAAAAAAAAAAAAATAATAAAAAACCCGGTCTCGATACGTCAATTTTTTCGGGAGTTATCGTGATCACATACAAAATCAACATCCGGACATCCACGTACAACAGTTTTTTTTTCAAAATCATCATCATCATCATCATCATTACAGCCCTTCACAAGTCCACTGCTAAACATAGGCCTTCCCGAAGGTTTGCCACAAAGCACGGTCCTGAGCCAAAATAGCAATATTAAATGATTTTTTAGAAAATATAAAATGCATTAATTCGGGTATTTTCTTGATTTTCTCATACTATTGTATTAGTGCAATATGGTTGAGATAGAAACATTTTAAGAACACAAATTGTTTGACCTTGACGAGAATAATGCACTACCTAATAACGCTTCGCGTTATGAAGCGTGCAATAATAGAATCAGAAATACGAAAAATTTACATTTTTAGCCAATACCAACCAGACGCTGTGACCCACAAGTTTCTGTACGGCTCAAACTCTTTGACTAAACGGTTGAGGTCCGCGAAAGGAACAACAGGCTGTCCAAATAACTTTTGCCGCTGATTGAGAACTCGACCCCATTCTTGTGCCTCCTTCATACCTTTCCATGCCTTCTTTATATCGTTTGCGATCTCGTGAACCTTAAATGAAAAATAGATTAGCTTCCATAGATCTGACCCTCTTTCACAAATTTCCTCCAAGGGGGGTAATTTATATTTAAACATTTATTATTGATAGTTATTCTTCGATGCGAATTTAAAAATTTTGTATTTATTGAATATAAATGTTAATTAAATAAACAGTATTTTTTTTAAATTCATATTATTTTATTTTTCACTATGCCATATTTAATTCCTGTCGTAAACTATCCTTTTACGCATATTACCTGTACAAAACAATTTCGACATCTGCTACTACTAAACGTCCCGCGACGACCGACATTTTTTTTTATTACGAACGCTGCTGCCCATCACCTGGTGTGTTTCCTTTTGTCGCCTCTATCGACACTCATATGACAATATGGGGTAGTGAATATTCTTGCACCGCTAAGTATTACACGGTGAATTTATTTTACATTTGTACGAATTTAATGCTTGTTGAACATTGCCTTGCCATCGCGGTTTCCCTCCTTTGGTGGCACCGTCATCGTGTCATACCACAAGAGCGTAAACAGACCAACGGTACTAATAAAAAGAACACAACTTTTAAAATTTTTGTCTGTCTGTTTGTTCAGGCTAATCTCCAAAATGGCTGGCCCGGTTTTATCACCACTGGCAGATAGCTGCAGATGTTATAAGGAGTAACTTAGGGTACTTTTATTTTAGAAAAAGAATTAAGCCGCGTATCGATTACGCGCCCCTGGTGCGCGCGCCATGTATGACTGCTCCGACCAGTGCCCTCCGCGGAACGCGCTCCAAATGTTCGAAGTGTATCAACTAAGCGCACCAGGCGCGCGCGGCAGCCACTCCACATCCATGTTGAACGGTCAACGTTCAACATGGATGTCGGTCGTGTACGAGTAGCTGTCCCAACTGGCGCGCGCGCCTAAACTCAAACTACTTTGGTGCGCGGTAAAAAACAGACACCAAATGGAGCGGCCCGTTCCACGTTCGAGCGCTCCAACGAACAATTTGGCGCGCGCTCCAAGGCGGCAGCCATTTCGCGCGGCGTGAGCGCGCGTAATAGATACGCGGCTTTAGGGTTCCGCGAAAAAAAAAGCATTTATTACACCCGGAGAAGTTGCGTAGAATAACTATGTAGTAGGAGATAATATGATTAACTACTTAGACAATTTAGACGACATTAAGACTGTGATATTTCTTAGTGCACTCGTTTGGTAAAAAAAATACTTTTAAGAAGAAGTAAAACAATCTTAATACATCTTAAAAAATATATGAAATAAATTCACATCCTAAATGAATTGCCTATGTCTTAGCACCGACTTTATAAAATGAAATTATTTCATATTCTTTTTGTTTGTTTGAAATCTGTTTTTAATTTTTTTTAAAACATATTTTTTTACATTTTCTTTTATCTAAGCATTCTTAGAGTTATTCAAATGTTAATGAAACCTTAGTCATGTCGTTCTGCAGCGTGAGCGCCATACATTGCGATGTGAACATGTCGATCTTATCGAACAGTGTCTGCTCGTCCTGCTGGTGCAGCTTCCAGAACTTCTCCTGCTCCTCCTCTAAAAACTCCGTTGTAGAGTCCACCTGTACATTATAACATTTTATCTCTTTAGTGACAAGAGACATGAGTCTCTTGTCACTAAATACGACATATTTTATGAAAAATAATTTATAGATTTTGACACGAAAAGCTTTCTTTTGTTTATTTTATTTTATATGGTTTTATATTTTAATGAAAAAACTAAGCTTTATTATTACTAAATTATTATAAATATGTTTAACCTAAAACTGTAGTTATGTGAGAGCGTGATCCTACCCTGATCGGGCCGACTCATTCGTATTGCAACCATAATATAGTTACAGCGTGGCTCTAACTCTTACAAATAAATTATATATAATAAAATACACTTGTCCTGTACGCAATTCGAACTTGCAGTCAAATGCGTAGTCATTACGCCACCGAACCATTAACGTAATAAGCATTTATCAATTACGTCGCGCGACAATAAGGACAATACAACTAACCTGTTTAGTTATAGTTAGAGGCCATCCGACAGCCTCCCACAGTGCCTTGAAGTCGTCATTCTCCAATGGTGTGAAAAATACATCCAGTACTTCATGATCCTGAAAGGTATTTAAGTTAGATAAATTTAGTGACACAGCTAACACAGAATCGTTTCACGGGCTAAGCGACGATAACTCATCTAGAATATAAAATAACACACAAAATCGACGCAGCTGAGTACACTGTATATTATGTATTAACATTGCTGAAGACAAAAAAAATTGCAAAAAAAAATGTAAATCTGTAAATGATTCTATTTAACATAATATATCCGAAACATGTTTATACATAAACTAGATAATACCCGTGACTTCGCCCGCATTGCTTGATATGTTAACAAAGTTTTGGATTATGCGAAGGAAAAAACATCAAGAAGGTCGCAAAAATATACTTTGCTTACAAAATCATATTAAATGAAGATATCGCAATATTTTAGATAAGGACCAAGTGTCTAAGAAATAAAACTTAGAAAACCTAATTAAATCTATCCAGTAGTTTTTCCGTGATGCTCGCACACCTGCAAACCTCTATCGCTTTATTTATATAGATTGGTATAAAGGTACAGGCTGCAGAATTTGTTACAATAACATAAAAAATATATCAAATCAAATATATCAATATAGATATTCTTATCAGTCCTTTTTTACTTTTACCAATGGTTTGGAAAAAATCCCCTGTCCTAAGAAGAAAAAGCAAAACACCCTACGTAACTTTTTTTAAAGTAACATTTTACAATAACATAACCAGGTTGTATATAGTTTTCTTTGTAATATCTATTAACTTCTTTTAATAAATAAGTCTTTATTAATTAATTTATCAAGAAGTAGCTCAAAAATAGTAACAACAACAGCTAACCATTTTATTTAATAATAACGGACTCGGGCCTACGTATGTCATACGTAGTAGAGCCATGCTGCAGCTATATTAATTGTATAGTTGTAGCACGAATGGGTCGACTCGACCCGGGAAGGACCACGCTCTCACAGAATACCAGCGTAAAATAACAGTTTAACACAGCTGTATTTCGTATGGTGAGTGCGGAGAACCGGAGACCATTTTTACTGGAAAAGAGGCATTCCATTTTAGTCCTCAAGGGTGACAAGGCATCTGCATTTTGATACTTTATTGAGGATAGATATAGATGTCTATGGGTCACAGCAACCATTTACCATCAGGTGGACTGTGTACTCGTTTGTCACCCTATCCTATAAAAAAATCAAGACATGCTTAAAATTTAGTAACCAAAATATGTTTAAAAAGCATCATCATCACTACAACCCTTTATAAGTCCACTGCTGAACATAAGCCTCTCTCAAGGTGTGCCACAAAATGTCTCAAACGTACTAAACCACAATGTGTTATAATGCATATCACTATTTTATCAACATCATCGTCATCGCAGTTCTATAAAGAGCCTACTTGTTGGACATAAAGTGTCTAGAAAGAAATAAACACTTAATTTTGGCATAAACCATTGACGTCCAGCATAATATACAAATATATAAAAAAACTGCATAAAGATAAAAAGGTTGAGAAGGCATGAGTTATGCTAAACTACAACACTGATCTTCAGTGATGATTAAAGCCTTGGAGATTACAATTCCAAGACCAATAAAGGAAATGGTAAAATATATAAAGATTTCTTCATTCGCAAAAGTGTAACCATCAAAGAGTAGTCAGGCATGCAAAATATTACGTACTTAATGTACTATATATATATATATATATATATATATATATATATATATCGATTATTACGTACGATTAAAAATTAAAAAAAAAACATAAAATTCTCTCTTGTTAGTTGCGAAGATTTGGCGTTATCGCTACCAATTTACCAGTGTTACCGTCTGACTACTTAAGGTTTGACAGATTTTGAGATGACTTCATCCATCAATCCTTATCCGCTATCAATCAAATTAAAGACTTTTATTAATCCCTTAATCGACTATCACGGTACCTGCGAAACGATATGAGTACAGTCTCTGTTACATAATGTTACTTTTAAACATTTTGCTAATCCACTTTTGGGGAAAAAAGATGTTGCTGCCAATTTCCTCTTTCATTTCCTTCTGTCGCCTCTTACAAATCTCGGTACTATATGTGGTAGGGGATATTTTTACACCGTCATTACAATCATTTAAAATACGGTGATTGTTACAATTTCATAAACCAAAAATGTATTTTTAATGTTCTAATTTACAACTGGAATTTATAAACCAACCGTGAAAATTTTCTTCATATTGTCTTCCTGCGTCTTCAGCGCGAATGGAATCGACTCCATCCACTCGCGTATCTCGAACACGTGCTCTATAGTGTTGGGTTTCTCGCCCAGCTTCCTCATCACGCTCTTGTAGGCCACGATCACGTCGTCCACCTGCAGACGGATCTCCTCCGCCCACATCGTCAGAAGTGCCTTCATAATGTCGGTGCGTTTTGCTACTAATATTTGCTATAACACGAAAATAAACAAGTGATAACATTGTGGTTTTGGCTAATTTTGGTTAGTGTTTTAGATTTCAGTGTTTAGTATTACTAAAATCTAAAACAATTCTTTTGTGTTGAAAATAGCATAACCTCGAAAGAATTTACCTCAAAAACTAACCCTTATTCCCGTTTATCTTTTTTTTTATAGAATAAGGGTGACAAACGAGCACACAGTCCACCTGATGGTAAGTGGCCCATTGACATCTACATCTATCTTCGTTTGCGAATTAAAATGCAAATGCGTTGTCAGCCGTGACGACTAAGAATGTCTCTTTTCCAGTAAAATGGGTCTCCGGTTCTCTATACTCACCATACGAAACACAGCAGCATTAAGCTGCTATTTTACGCTGGTATTCTGTGAGAGCGTGGTCATTCCCCGGTTTAGCCGACCCATTCGTGCTACAACTATACTATTAATATAACTGCATCATGGCTCTGCCAAGTAAAAAAGATAAGCATCAAACACAGTATCGAAAAAATAGTTTTCAGTTATGAAACGCTTAATATTTAGTATTTAGTTTATACGATCTGTGAGTATATCTTTGAATTCGATTTAAAGAACTTAAATAAGAATTCACAGGTGGAAAGAACAAATAGTATGAATATTTTCTACTTCAAGGCGAACTTTAATGAACAGGACACTATAAATGTAGTTATTATAAATATTTTATGTCTCGAATAAACAACTCCTCTTTGGACACGACGTAATATTAAAGAAGAATGAAAATTGAATCTTAATAATATTTTTAGAAATAAATAAGGCTTTGGAACTTTTGATGGCTCCGTGGCGCAGTGCACACGTCCAGACCCGGAACAAGTATTTGTATGGCCTACAAATAATTGTTCCGGGTCTGGATGTTTGTCCTTGTGAAATTTATGTATGTAAACTACAGATACAGGAGAAAATCCTAGGGTGGAGGTAATATTTAAAAAAAAAACTCTTTACCCCATTCAATTAAAAGTGCTTAATACTTAAATTTGTTCCAGAAACATGTTAAAGAACACTATTTGTGTCTATAACCCCTCTCTCTTCCTGATTTTATTTACGGTCATTGACCTACCTAAAGAATGTATAATGTAGGTAGAATCATAATTTGTAATATTTCGTCATTGTGAATTGCAACAGTCACTGCAGTCTCGCATTAAAGGCTTAAGAAGTACGTAGAGTTTGCTTACCTATCTTAATACGTCTAGATTCGACAGAATGTTGTCTTTTTAGTTATTTTTTATTAATTTTCTTCTTCTGCGATGTCAGGAAGAGACAGCTATGTAGCAATGAAACCGCCTTTTGGTTTTCCCTCAATATTTGTGTATGGTTTATTTTGAATACAACTACTTTTACGGATTTTATCACGTTTAATTAACTTATTTTATATTCCCGACGTTTCGGTTGCTTTCCAGCAACCGTGGTCACGGGGGACTGAGGTGATTGACGTCCCGATGTCAGAGTTAACCCGGAGTATCTTCAGCTTTTTTACTCCGTAAATATAAGAAATCTTTATGATTTATTTATTATTCTTATCTTTCTTGTTGTACAATAAAGAGTATTATATTTAATTGTATAGTCATGATCAAATTTACCTTTAATGTATCGACGTTAATGGAGAATGGCCCGATACTGATATACTGTGGTAGACGCAAAATTAGATCTTGCTTGGCATCATAATGAACTTGGACCTCTTCTCTTGTTTCGGACGCTGAATGCTTCTCTTGGCGAAAGTTTCTATTAATGCAATATTAGTATTCAGTATTTCTACGTAATACTGTTTTTTGTTTTTTTGATAACTTTTATTATATTTGTTATCTAAAAGCTTTTAGAAAAATTTACTTCGCAAATATCCGCGTTATAAAATAAAATTATGTGTCTTACCTAGTATGAAGAGCACCTCCCGCCCTCCCTCAATTGCGTGCACTATCCCCGTCACCACTCATCCCAGCACCGCTACTCCCAACACCACTATACTAGGCAAGACACACCACTGACGATAATACGACACGTGTTTCGCCTCTACACGAGGCATCCTCAGGTGATATAGACTCTACGGTGGCTAACCGCTAAGTGAGCGGCGAGCCAAAACAAGTAAATTTTTCTAAAAGCTTTTATATAATGGATTTCCGCAAAGTAACGCCTGATTCTATTAATATTTGTTATCATCTAATCTGATTAGATTTTGCTTTCTTTTAGGCGACAGTAACCTAATGGCCAACATTCGAATACCCTGCTGAACCGCTCCCAACACAAGCATTTTCAACTTACTTGGATTCGTTAAAAGTGGCACTAGCATTTTTTTAAATAAAGTTAATTAGTTACGTCATCATCATCATCATCATTACAGCCCTTCACAAGTCCACTGCTGAACATAGGCCTCCCCCAAAGAATGCCACAAAGCACGGTCCTGAGCCACCTGCATCCATCGACTTCCTGCATGTCTTACCAGGTCGTCACTCCATCTCGTGGGGGGACGCCCTACACTTCGCCTACCGGTACGAGGCTGCCACTCGAGAACCTTTCTTCCCCATCGGTTGTCGGTTCTTCGAGCTATATGGCCGGCCCACTGCCACTTCAGCTTACTAATTCGTTGGGCTATGTCGGTTATTCTGGTTCTACTGCGGATATCCTCATTCCTAAGTTTATCACGCAGAGAAACTCCGAGCATAGCCCTCTCCATAGCTCGCTGAGCGACCTTGAGCTTCCTCATACGGCCAGCAGTGAAGGACCACGTCTCAGTTCCGTAAGTCATCACTGGCAACACGCACTGGTTGTACAATTTCGTTTTAAGGTTTTGAGGTATGTCTGACGAGAAGATGTGTCGTAGCTTCCCGAACGCTGCCCAGCCGAGTTGAAGTTGAAGTTACGTAGCGTAAAGTAAATAAGCGGCAAAGATATTTAAGTAGTGGTAGTAACAGACCGGACATCAGCAACAAAATGGTCATCTGTTACTTTTGTCAAAAAATAATCCATCATCCGATCACATCCAGCGGGTTTTGTGAGAGGCAACTTAGGGAAATACTGGGAACATTTTGTGGCCTCCTTTAGATCATCATCACCATCACAGGTCTTAAGAAGTCCACTGTTGAACATCACCTCAAACGGCACGGCCTCAAACATACGTCAAATTATAACAGTAACAATCGGTAACAATATTATTCACAAAGTTGTCGCTCAAGTAAACTTAAGAGATGAAACTAAACTAAGCTTAAGAAATGTAAACTTAAATCAGTATAATCTTAAAATTGTTGATGTAAATAGAAAAAAAAATATTTACTCGACATACTCCTCGATGCTCAACATGAAAATATCTCGGTAACCTTCGTATTGGCGCATGTACGCCACTAGTGGTATAATCGCTTTCCTGTATGCCTTCAATAGTCTTTCTCTGTATTCCACTACATTCAGTTCCATGAGACCTGTTGTCACCATAATTCTATTACGAAACTTTTAAAAGTAAAAAATCAACCAAGTACAAATTATTTAACAACTGCGTAAATATAATTAAACAACTTTACAAGTCGCGGCACGTAAGTCTAGCGCATAACGAAACGTGGACGGGACACGCATTAATTGAATTGCACGAATGCAACTGGAGAGCCAATCAGCGCGTGCGAACGATACGTAAGAGCCAATCAGCGCGCCTTATGCGCAATAACAGTCACCACTAGACTTTGATGCCGCTACTTATAATTTGCATAAAGGTAATTGGTAAGAGTCACCACGGTGTTCCAAAGAGAATCATAAGACATCTTATTGGCTCTAATATTTATTTTTGTTTCTTAAGACGTTTTCCTTCATCATTAAGAACAAGTGGTGTTAGTTCTTTTATACAGTTTCATATGCAAAAACTGGTGCCGCATTGCATATGGTACGCAAACGTGCTATACACGTAGCTGTCTGTCCTTTATGAGCAACTTGGATCAATTGCTTTATCATACTTTGCGAATAACAGTTTTGGCAATACCAACAAGAATCGAATAATAGTTACTCACATATTAGGATATAAACAGAAACTTTTTATACAATATAGATTATAAATAATACTTATTGAAAGTTACTCTTTTGTTAAATACTACTGGTTCGGAAAAACAACCTCTGTCCTGGGAAGAACCAGCAAGAAACCCAGTGGGGCTTTTTATTTAAATAACAGCTTACAATCATCTATTCTATGTTACACAATTAACCACAAAGAACAAATTAGAAATAGCTTGGTAGCGATCACCTCATTCCCAGAGGTCATTTTCATTTTTTTTTATAGGATAAGGGTGACAAACGAGCACACAGCCCACCTGATGGTAAGTGGTTGCTGCGGCCCATAGACATTTACATCTATCCTCTATTATAAATCAAAATGTAGATGCGTTGTCACCCGTGAGGACTAAGATGGAATGCCTCATTTCCAGTAAAAAGGGCCTTTCATCCATAAATTGCTTAATATTATATTAACCCTTTTTATACAAACTTTGTTTAATAAAGTTTTTGAACTTTGAGCAGGTCAAATTTTGTATATTTCCTGGGATTTTGTTATAAAAGCGTATACATCGCCCCAAAAATGAATTACTGACTCGATGGAGTCGAGTAACTGGTACTACTAGCTTGTGTCTGTTCCTAGTATTTACACAATGAATATCACTTATTTTTGTATAACTTCTTTTATTTTTGTGTACGTACATTACATTTTCATAAATGAATTGAGAGGCCAAAGTTAATATATTAATTTCCTTAAAGTTTTGCACAAGTTTTTTATGTCAGGCTTGTGTAATATGCATGCCATTTTTTTGTCAACTTAAAATAATGTTTTTTAATGAAATGTTAAATGGCATGCAAAATCAAGTCACGGTTTTTTGCATTTTCGTCATGCATGCCACTACTTTACAACTTCCTGTTGTGCATGCCAAATTTGCTAACGTCAATAAATTGTAAAAATTAAGTATTGTTCAAATGGCATGCAGTTTGAAATCACGGAAAATTTGTATTGAATTTTCACAACATTTTCCTAATATTTTCCACCCTTGGTCATACGAGGGGTGCATGCCAATTTTCGTAGAGTATTTTTGAGATAAAAAAAAACTAATTTTTTACAACGGCATGCAATTTGTAAACACGGAAATGTTCTATTTTTTTTTTCATTTTTAAGTAACCCTTTGAGCCCCGTCGGCCGTTGCGAATTGCATGCCATCAATTATTATAGCTTAAATTTGTTCCAACTACGTTATATTACAAAGGCATGCAATATAATGTCACGGAAAAATACTAAAATTCTTTACACAAAGCGAAGCCATTTTCTTTATGACGTGCAAGCGCGCAAGGGCTCGTAACCCCTCTTCATATATCTTTCATATTTTAGGATTAGTTATCAATTTTTAAAAAGGCATGCAGAAGAAAATGAGAGACTATTTTCTGTCACCATCTCCCAGTCTAATACGACATTATGCTATAGAAATAACTAAAGTAAACAAGTCTAGCTGTTTCCACACTGGTAAGATATCTAATCTTTTTTACAACATATGCTGCTGACCTAAGTCTAGTCTGCTTCCTAATTTTGATATATTGAAGCATCGCGTCTAGTGTTATTCCAAGAAAAATGGTGTTATCGACAAGACTCAGTTCCTCTACATTTAAAATTACATTAGTATTTAATTGTTTTACATTTGAAGTAATGAATTTCGTACATTTCGTTTTAGTGCCATTTAAATGCAAGTTATTAATATTAAACCAATTTACTAACTTAGATATGGCATTATTTACTTCGTCATATTTTAATAATTATCATTTTAATATGATAATTAATGAAGTGTCATCAGTTACTAATACTATATTATGGTTATCCCCTACTGTTTAAGGTAAGTCATTAATGTATGTGAAATTTATGTATGTTAACTGCCTCAAAGATACAGGAGAAAATTCTCATGTGCAAGTAAGTTTATTAAATAATTATAATTTAAAAAAAATAAAAACCGACTTCAAATTGCTAAAAAAACAAGTCGTTTGTTTTCAACCTTTAGGGATGGTATTTTTTCCAGATTTATATAGGACCACCCTTGAAGTATAACCTATTTAATAAAAGCATCGTCAAGATTGGTTCACAATCGACGAAACTATCGCGTAACATACATAAAAAACATACACTCGAATTGAGAACCCCTCCTTTTTCAAGTCGGTTAAAAAGAGTATTTTATTAAAACAGTTGCTTAACGATTACCTATAGATGTGAGAAACAACTCCTTATCAAAAACCAGCCCCGTCATTATCATTGGATGCACTTGAGGGATGAAATGACAACGATATAACATCTCACGGAATAAACGCTGAATAACTATCTGCAAAAAGATATAAGTAATTTAGCTACATCAAATCAAAGAGCCGTGGTAGCTTAGGGGCGCTAGGGGGAGCTAAGCGCTCGCAAACCCGAGCCTACATGATCAGCGGCTGTGTTGAGGATAACTAGACCCACGAGGCAGTCAATAATAATAATAATAATCAGTAATATAAATGTTTAGGGTGACAAACGAGCACACAGTCCACCTGATGGTAAGTGGTTGTTGCGGCCCGTAGATATCTACATCTATCCTCGGTTACGAATCAAGATGCGTTGTCACCCATGAGAATTAAGATAGAATGCCTCATTTCAAGGGTCTCCGGTGCTCTACACTCACCGTACGAAACACAGCGTCATTAAGCTGCTATTTTACGTTGTTATTCTGTAAGAGTGTTGTACTTCCCCGGTCGAGCCGACTCATTAGTGCTACTATACTACTAATATAGCTTCATCATGGCTCTACCACGTAAAATGTTAATTTATTAAAAAACTGGCAAGCCTCACCTCAAACTGCTCTGGCGGTGTAGTATAGTAGGGTCCGTCGGCGTTCATCATTAGATGGAAATAAAACAACGTAGGAGACTGGGAACGGAAGGGTGAGTTGATGAGATCCTTCGAGTCCCACTCGTAGTCGTCCTCGCACCAATATGTGCAGAGACACGGCGTCTCGCATAGGTTCACAAACATTGACATCGATTGTTCTATACAATAGCGTAGTGCATACTGCAAATGTGGAAATCACATGATTCAGGATACTGATATCATCGTCATCATTAGTGATGGTAAAACGTATAAATAATAATAAGTTTAATAATAGAGATAAAAAAGTTTGAGTTCCAGTGAAGAATTAAAGATTAAACTGATCTCTAATATATTACCTGCAAACCATAGACATCTATATTTATCCTAAATAAAGAATCAAAAAAATTCAAAATTTTATACGTGGTAGAGCCATGCTGCAGCTATTTTAATAGTATAGTTGTAGCACGAACAGGTCGACTCGACCGTGGAAGGATACCAGTTTTCACAGAATACCAGCGTAAAATAGCAGCTACAAAAATAGCAGTTAACACTGCTGTGTTTCGTATGGTGAGTGTAAGGAACCGGAGGTCCTTTTTATTGAAAAAGAGGCATTCCATCTTAGCCCTCACGAGTGATAACGCATTTACATTTTGATTGTTTATTGAGGATAGATGTAGATGTCTATGGGTCATAGCAACCACTAAGTATCAGGTGGACTAGAAGCTCGTTTGCCAAACTATCCTATAAAAAAAAGATACGTTGTCAACCCTGAGGACTGAGATGGAATGCTTCGTTTCCAGTAACGGTCTCCGGTTCTCTACACTTACCATACGAAACACAACAGCCTTTATCTTTTATTTTACGCTGGTCCTACCCCAGTCGAGCCAATCCATTCGAACCACCACCACAATATAGCTGTAGCGTGGCTCTTCTACCACATAAAGTATGTATGTCCATTTTATTCGTTACTATTCCGATTAGATTGCTGGAACTACACGCAAATGAACGACAAAAAATCACCTGCATTCGAAAACGAACGAGCTGCATGAATCGACACAATTTGCTGACCTCGTAGAACTGCCACTTCTTTTCGTATATATTGAACCAACTGTGGATGACAAAAATAAAGAAGTTAACCTAGAAGATGATGACAAATTAGGTGTAATGTTGGAAGGTGTCAGATGAGACGTTGACTTAGACCAGGTCTTTATAAGACTACTTTAACTTATTCTACTGAGTACGTAAGTTGACCTTCGCTATTTACATAATATATTTCTTCATTTTCGCAGGTACGCTGATCTTCTTTTTTCTTTTCTTTTTCTTTAAAATAATAATATTATGGCCTCTTCACGCATCTCAGTTTTTGGTATTCTTGTCACATCCGGTTTTGTGTCAATTCAGTAAATAGTTATTGAATTATATTTGTTAACACTATTTTTTTTTAATTAAAATCATTTTAGCAGGCCGTGGCGGTGCGTTTGCACTATTGCAGCGCACCGCCTGGCAGGGTCGCCACGTAATGTTGGAAAGCGTTAATGAGAAGGAGACGACGTATTGCTTCTTCTATCTTTAATTATACTACTCTTTATTATAAACCTACCTTTTTTTTTATAGGATCGGGTGACAAACGTGCATACAGTCCACCTGATAGTAAGTGGTTACTGTGGTCCATAGACATCTACATCTATCCTCAATAAAGACTCAAGATGCAGATGCGTTGTCACCCGTGAGGACTAAGATGGAATGCCTCTTTGCCAGTAAAAAGGGTCGCCGGTTCTCTACACTCACCATACGAAACACAGCAGCATTAAACTGCTATTTTACGCTGGTTTTCTGTGAGAGCGTGGTCTTTCCCCGGTCGAGCCGACCCATTCGTGCTACAACCATAATATAGCTGCAGCATGGCTCTACCACGTCTAAAGCTTTAATATATACCTATTATCGTGGGAGCTATACTACACAGGTAACATTATAGAGCATTAACAGAAACGTGTCAAATGTTAATTCGTTTTTTATTACTTTAGATTAGAAAAAATATTAAAATAAAATCGGCCCACTAATCAAATGAACGATCCATCATCCCTGTTATGATATAATGTAACGCGTGAATTATGTAGCTGTGTAAAATATTCATTTTGATATATTTAATTTATCCCAGAGTTGACTGGCAGGGAATGCCATTAGGCTTTTACCTGTTCTAGACATTCCTGATTTACCCATATTTCACACTTCGTTCTCTCTTCGTCCCTTTCAAATACCAGAACCTTAGTTTTATTAGCATTCAAACGGAGACCTTTAATTTCACATTCCTCTTTCATTCACGTGACTAATGCCTGCAGTTCTGCCTCTGATGGTGCAATAAGCACTGCATCATCAGCATACAGCAGACAATTTACTTTTATGTCACCCAATTTCACACCCAAACAGCTATCTTTCAGCTTCTGTAAACAGCTGTCGAGATACAGTATGAACAGCCAGGAAGACATGACACAACCCTGCTTTACGCCCGTTTGGACGTTAAACATGGGTGACAGGTCATGCCCTACCCGCACACAGGCTTTACAGTCACAGTAAAGAGACTGCACAGCCCTTAGCAATCGACCATCCACACCATACCCCGGCAACAGTTCCCACATTTTCTTCCTTACAACCTTATCAAATGCTTTCTCAAGATCCATAAAAGCACAGAAAATCTTCTGGTTAGCAGCCAGAAGCTTTTCCGTAATCATGCGGAGAGAAAACATTTGATCCGTGCATCCTCTTCCAGGTCTAAATCCGCATTGTGCCTCCCATAGAAATCTTTCCGATTTCTCTTGCATCCTACGTGTCAAAACCTTCGAGTAAACTTTACTTGCTAAACTGGTCAAGCTGATCCAAGAAGCCCGATAGCACCCGCAGTCAAAATGTGAACCTTTACCTTTATATAAAGGCACAATGACTGCGGATCGCCAATCATCCGGGACATCCCCCGTCCGCCAGCACAAATTGCACAGCAGATGAAAGCTGTCCCAGACGCGAGGCCCACCATACTTGACCATTTCAGCAGTAACTCTGTCTAGTCCCGCAGCCTTACCACATTTCAAACTTCGAATCAAACGTTCAATCTCTTTCATACTGATGACCTCAGTGTCATCGAGGTCCGGGTCTGGCGTACCAGTCACGGCGTCATCCCCGGATCCCTCACTAAGATCATCACACGCATACATTTCTCTATAAAATTCGCTCCATCGCTGCATGACGTCCGATTTTTCTGAGAGGACGTCATTAGTTCTCGAAAGCACTTTGTTCATTCTTAAGGCCGTCGCCCCACTTCGGGTCCTTCCAAACTCTTTACAGAAGAGTTTGGAGTTCTCCTTAAAGTTGTGCGACAACTTTTCGTCCGCTTCCATTCTACACATTTCACGCACTTCCTCAATCAGTGCTTTCGTGTGAACTTTCTACAGCCTATATCTTTCTTTCATCTCCCTCTCATATCCTTATCATTACTAGAGGCCAAGTAGTCTAACCATGCTTTCTTCTTCTTCTTTACAGCTTCTTTCACTTCATCATTCCACCAGGCATCTCTTCTTTTACTACTGCCTCTTTTTATTGTTCAACACACTTCTTCCGCTGCACTTACCATTCCATCCCTAAGGCTCTGCCATGTTCTTTCTACACATTCTTTTCTGCTATCGATGGTGTCAAGCTTTTCGGCTACCCTCGCATGATATTTGTCCCTAGTATCCGCTTCCTGAAGCTTCCAGCTTCGGATGCGACAGACCGACTGTGATTCTGTTACTGCCGTCCGGTAGCGCCAACCCGCGAACAGACCCCTAAATCTAGTAATCACTAGATGGTGATCCGTTCCCAGGTCAGCACCCCTGAACACTCGCGTATCCATCAAGTGTTTTCGCAGTCGGTCATCCACCAGGAACAAATCGATCATACTTCTCTCATTCTTTCGTTCTCTAGTATACATATGGATTTCCTTGTGATTAAACATAGTGTTTGTCACAAGAAGACCCTTTTCCTTGCACACCGCCAGTATAAGCTTGCCAGCATCATTAACCCTTTTATCGCCAAACTTTCCAAGTACCGACTCGTACCCTGGTCGAGCGGTACCAACCCATCCATTCAAATGACCACATACAATAATTCTTTCGTTTCCCCTAGCCAAATCTAGAACTTCTCTTACATTCTCCCAAAACTCCTCCAGCTCAGCCCTGGACGACGAAGCTACCGGCGCATAAACAGCCAAAAGGAATAACTTCGTCAGCCCCAATTTAAAGCGAACCCAAAGAAGTCTTGAGTTCACAACCTTATATTCAGTCATAACATCGACCAACCGAGAAGACAGCAGTACCCCCACTCCCTGGCAGGCGTTCTCGCTCTCCGGGACTCCGGACCATAGAGCTAACGCCCCGCCAGGGAGCTCTTCAGTACCACTGCCCTTCCGTTTGGTCTCCGACATACACACGACATCTAATTTTCTTTCTTTCATTATTTCGATCAGCTCATTCGTCTTATCTCTCATGCCTCCTCTAACATTCCACGTGCCAACTCTGCACTCTGTCCTCCACCTTCCGCTGTGTCGGGCTGTGCGTGACGGGTGGCGGTCCCCATCGCTGCTTTGCGCGCTGCATTCCACACCAACGGGGACGAGCTGGTGTGCGTCGCCCTGGGGGGACGCCCTAACCCTCGTTGGCATGGGTGCGCAGCTGAGTAGAATTGCAGCCCTGAAAAGGGTTGGCAGGGGTCGCGACGAGCACGCTTCTACAATGACCCCCATAGCATAGTTATATAAATAAAATAAAAAGTAACGGACACGTGAATGAGCCATTATTCAGCTATATTATAATTATAGTACGAATCGGTCAGCACGATTGGGGAAGGACCACACACTCTGTGAGTGTGTGGTCCTTCCCACTTCCTTCACACTAATGTAAAATAGCAGCTAAATGGTATTGCGTGTTTCGTATGGTAGGAACCGGAGAGCAGAACCATTTTTACTGGAAACGAGGTATTCCATCTTAGTCCTCAGGGGTGACAACGCGTCTGCATTTTTAATTGTAATCGAGGATAGACGAAGATGTCTATGGGCTGGAACATCTACTTACTATCAGGTGGACTGTGTGATCGTTTGTCACCCTTATTCCTTTAAAAAAATGTTCTTATTGTTAATCTACCTCATTCAACTTACCCCTTTCCAACGTCCCTAAATGACATTCTAATAGCATGAGCTGTATTGTTTAACCAAGTTATGGTTAGATACTTCAGCATCTGTAATGAAAATTTTTCATTTTAAGGTATCTGACCACTACAGCGGCTCATTCTATGAACGTATCAGACATGAAAAAAAAAACACGACAATTACTACTACGCCTGTACATAACACGTATCACACAACAGCTCTTCACAAGTCCACTGCTGAACATAGTATTCCCTCATAGATTGCTTTAAAGTGCGGTTAGGAGCCACCTGCATCCATCGAATACCTGCGTGTTTCATCAAGCCGTCACTCCATCTAGTGGGGAGTCACCCAAAACTGCGCATGCTAGTACAAGGTTGCCACTCCAACGCTTTCTTTCACATCGGCTATCGGTTCTTTGAGCTATATGTCCGGCCCATTGCCACCTCGGATTACTCGACTGCGGTAACCTCGTTACGAACTTTATTCTGCAGGGAAATTACGAGCACCTTTCTATCGCACGCTGAGTCTGCATCCATCGACTTCCTGCATGTCTTACCTCGTCACTCCATCTCGTGGGGGGTCGTCCTACACTTCGCCTACTGGTACGAGGCTGCCACTCAAGAATCTTTCTTCCCCACCGGTTGTCGGTTCTTCGAGCTATATGGCCGGCCCACTGCCACTTCAGCTTACTAATCCGTTGGGCTATGTCGGTTAATCTGGTTCTACTGCGAATATCCTCATTCCTAAGTTTATCACGCAGAGAAACTCCGAGCGTAGCCCTCTCCATAGCTCGCTGAGCGACCTTGAGCTTCCTCATACGGCCAGCTGTGAAGGACCACGTCTCAGCTCCGTAAGTCATCACTGGCAACACGCACTGGTTCTACAATTTCGTTTTAAGGTTTTGAGGTATGTCTGACGAGAAAATGTGTCGTAGCTTCACGAACGCTGCCCAGCCGAGTTGAATCCGTCGATTGACCTCTCGGTCGAAGTTGGACTTACCTAATCGGACTATTTGTCCCAGGTAAACATACTCGTCAACAACTTCGAGCTTAGTGCTCCCAACAACTACCGGCATAGGTGTGACATGGACATTAAACATAATCTTTGTTTTGTCCATGTTCATCTTAAGACCTATCCGTTGGGAGACACTATTGAGGTCATTGAGCATAGTGTTTAGGTCCTCCAGCGATTCTGCCATAAGGACTATTAGTCGGCAAATCGAAGGTGAGTGATGTACTCGCCATTGATGTTGATACCGTATCCTTTCCAGTCCAGAAGCTTCCCTTTCAATGCAGCGGTGAAGAGTTTCGGGGATATAACGTCTCAGTTACAGTTGGATAGGTTTCGTACTCTGGTTCTGTACTCGGATAGCCATCGTAGCCCTACTGTACAAACATTTCAACGCTTCGATATACCGACAGTCAACTTGGCACCGCTGAAGTGACTGCAGCACCGCCCGAATTTCGACGGAATCAAAGGCTTTCTCATAGTCCACATACGCCAAACATAATGGCAAATTGTACTCTTCGGACTTCTGTACAATTTGCCGAAGGGTATGTATGTGGTCTATGGTGCTAAAGCCCTTTCGGGAACTGGGTTGTTCGGGAGGCTGGAAGTCGTCAAGTCTGCGCGCGAGACATTAGTCATTAGTCATTAGTCATTTATTCCAAAAACAATATACATTGTGTGGGAAAACTTAATTTTAATATAAAATATTAATGATTTCTTATATTTACGCGAACACTACACATTTTTAAATAAAACTAATTTTACGGATTTTATCGCGTATATTAACTTATTTTTTATATTCCCGACGTTTCGGGTGCTTTCCAGCACCCGTGGTCACGGGGGACTGAGTTGTTTGACGTCCTGCTGTCATAGTTGAAGCACCGACGTATCGGGAAGTCTGCAGTTTGTGAACATGTTCAGGATCGTCCCCGTCATTACATTAGATTTGATAGACCACAAATCCTCGCAAAAGAACACCGATTCCTCCCAAGGATGATTCGCGAGGCTATTGAAATTAAAAAACATCCTAATTTCAATAGAGAAGATGGATGGGTGCTGCCATCTGCTTGGGATCCCATAATTAATAAAATCAAATCCAAACCCAAGTATACCACTGCTAGACTTCAAGATACTGTAAGCTCATTCTGCGTAAATCGAACCAAAAATTAATATTAAAAAACTGAAGGTAGCCGGGCTAACTATGACAGCAGGACGTCAAACAACTCAGTCCCCCGTGACCACGGGTGCTGGAAAGCACCCGAAACGTCGGGAATATAAAAAATAAGTTAATATACGCGATAAAATCCGTAAAATTAGTTTTATTTAAAAATAAAATATTAAATTAAATTAAATTAAATTAATTAGCATTATACGTGTTTCCTAAAAATGTCTACAACTTAATTATTAATTAAATAATGCATGCAATATTAATTTTTACCAAACTCAATGTAATCATTCACCGAATAGAAACATTTTTCCAATAAAAAAGACTTTAACCTTTGCTTAAAAATTTTTACATTATTTATGGTTTTTAGGCCATTAGGTAGTCTATTAAAAAGTTTTACAGCTTGATTTCTAACGCTATGCTCAACAACCTGTAGTTTTGTTTTGAAGACATTGGGTATATTCTTTCGTCTCGTGTCGTATCTTCTTGCCATTTCATCATCAGTTTCATATCTATTCGGATGTTTGACAAGATCAGTGAGTAAAGTAAGAATATACAAACAGGGCACAGTAAGGATTTTCAAATTTATAAAATGTTCTCTGCATGATTGCCTCTGGTGTATGCGAGATATTATTCTAATTGCTCTTTTTTGTAGAACAAACGCTTTTTTTACATTATAGGCATAACTATTTCCCCAAAACTTAATACTGTATCTTAAGCGAGATTCTATTAGAGCATAATATACAATTTTTAATTGTTTCGTGGTTAGTTCTTCCCTCAAGCTTCTCAAAGCATAGCATGCAGAGCTGATTTTGCTCTCTATATTATTTAATTCATCTTTCCATGCCAAATACGAGTCTATATAAACACCTAAGAATTTCACCGATTGTACAAGTGGTATGCAGTTTTCATGTAGTTTGATGTTCAAGGTAACTCGCGTTTTCGCTGTGGTTTTGAATAGTATAGCTTTAGTTTTTTCTGCATTCAGCATAAGATTATTTGCATTAAACCACAGAGAAAATGTTAAAAGAGCTCTATTTAGTCTATGGTTGAGATCATTTGTATTCTGTACCGATATTACCGCATTTGTATCATCCGCAAAAGCTACAATATGAACTTCCGGTAGAGAGTTATAGATAAAGGGGATCAAATCATTTATAAATATGATGAAGAAGATTGGTCCCAAAATGGAACCTTGTGGCACTCCTCTATTAATTTTATCTAATTTAGATTTATACGTCTTTTCATACTTATCCTCGATACTCTTCAGTTCAACATATTGTTGTCTGTTTTCTAAATAAGACTTGAATAGCTATAGCACATTTTGCTTTATTCCGTAGTATTGAAGTTTTTTTATTAATATATTATGATCAACCATATCAAAAGCAGAGCTTAAATCCAGAAATAATCCCGCCACTTTCTTTTTATTATTTAAATTTGTGATGACATCATCAATTAATGTATCTATCGCATCGTTGCTTCCTATTTTTGGCTGATATCCAAATTGTGGTGTATTTATTATTTTATTATTCTGTAGATGTTTAGTTAATCTAACTTTAATCAGTTTTTCAAAAATTTTTGAAATTGTTGGTAAAAGCGAGATAGGTCTGTAGTTTTTAGAGTCATTTTTTGAACCTTTCTTATGTACAGGTAATACTTTTGCAATCTTAAATTCATCAGGGAAAATGCCCTTTTCATAACATTTATTGTAAAAACTCGCTAATGGTGATTTTAAAAAGTCTATGTTTTTCTTAAATATTGAAATTGGTATGTCATCCCAATCACATGACTTCTTGTCTTCCATACTTTTTACAACTTTAGATATTTCCGCAGGTGTTATGTGATCCCAACACATATCATTTATGCAAGGTTGTACATTATGCTCAAGAAACTTCATTGGTAGTTCTATGGAACCTCTCGAGGGTGATAGGCAATGATCAAAGTTTTCCGCAAAGATATCCACAACTTTTTGAGTACTTTCGACGATTCGTAATGACTCTCGAAAACAGCACGTAGACGCGGCTCAGAAGGGAAATCGGTCTATAGTTCTTCAAGAGAGCGTTGTCACCTTTCTTGAAGAACAAGACCACCGCACTTCTGCTCCACGCCTCCGGTGTAATGCCACCATGGAGGACGGAATTAAAGAGCTTCTGAAGGACTTCAAGTACCGGTCTTCCACCCGCTTTCAGAAGCTCCGCTGTAATTCCATCCTCGCCTGGGGCCTTACAATTTTTAAGGTGCTGGAGAGCTTATCTCGCTCAGACTGACGTCCGGGAAATCTTCGGAATAGTGTCGGATGAGACTCGCTCTTGGATCGTTACTCACACTTGCGTGTGGCTCCAACGATGACGTGTACAGCTGCCCATAGCACCTCTCAATCTCACTCAAAATCTCAGGTGTCCCGGAAACGATGCTGCCACATTCTGTCTTCAGCTTTGACAGTTGGCTCTTTCTGGCAGACAGATCTCTGGCAAAGACTTTGGAGCCTTGGTTCCGCTCGATCGCTTCTTCAATACGAGGTGTATTGAAGTTGCGTAAGTCCCGCCGCATGCATTTGAAGATCTGTCTGTTCAGTTGCCTGTATGCTGTCAAATCTGTTGAAGAATGTAGCTTCATCTCCCGTCTAACAGCCGTAAGACTGAGAGTGTGATCGGAGAGTTTTTGTGTTATTCTGCGGCGGGTGTTGCAGAAGTTAGCTCCGACCGCATGGACAGTTTCCACGAGCTTGTCATTCATATCGTCCACTTCATTGCAGTCTTCTAGGCACTGTAAACGGTTTTGTAACTCGAGCTGAAAGGTTTCGGGACTTTGGAACAGAGCACGAGGGAGACGGAGCGTTGACTTCATTAGACGAGACCTCTCCAACTTAACGTTTAGGTTCAGTGTGCCTTTAACCATTCGGTGATCGCTACCAGTTTTCACCCTCGCGATCACGGAGACATCACTGAACAGTTGTCGTCTGGTCGTCATAATGAAGTCCATCTCATTTTTTGTCGAACCGTCGGGGCTCGACCAAGTCCACTTCCTGTGGGGCCGCTTCTGGAAGAAAGAGTTCATCATAAAGAGTCCCTTTTTCTCCATGAAGTCGGCCAGCTGCTGGCCCCTTGGGTTTCGTTGATCTATTCCAAATTTCCCTACTTTTAGCTCACCGTTCTCTCTTGTGCCTAGTTTTGCATTGAAACGAACGAGCAATCATTGCTATTATTTTGGGCATCGGAGCACTGAGCTCATTGAGAGCGAACAAATTAATATTCTCGTCGTCGATTCGCTGTCAGCCTGTTGGTCCAGTCATGGCACGCTACAGTGACGAAACTGTCTTGTGTAAAATGGAAGATTTGAGCGTTGTAGTGGGAATGACCTTTTGTGTATAAAAGGAGATTTTAAACTACCATTTGTGTGCAATGCTGCTGAGCCGCATCAAATTCAGCAAGCCCCACATTTCTGCCGTAGTTCGTCGTAAAGAACAACATTGATTCCACCTGTAAAATAAAGCTATTTAAGTAAATATCTGCCAAAAATATTAACCTCAAGACTTAAATATAACAATAAGTGGTCTTACGTGGTAGAGCCATGCTGCAGCTATATTAATAGTATAGTTGTAGCACGAATCGGTCGGCTCGACCGGGGAAGGACCACGCTCTCACAGAATACCAGCGTAAAATAGCAGCTAATTCTAACTAGGTCCTGACGTCATCACAGTGGGTGCGACTTTAGTTAGTATACTGTCAGCGTTCGTCCTGTGCGCATAAGTGTCGAAAATCGCAAATCGGTGTGTTTTCGTAGTATTAAGAAGAAAAGGATGAAGTGTTGTGTATCATATCGTGTAAAAACTACACAGATAGACGCTCTGATGCTATGAATGGCATCACATTTCATTTGTAAATAATTTTATACCTAATTTATTAAAATAGTTCTAGAAAAATCTATACGTCGGCTTTCAAATATAATTAAATATATTCGACACTAGATGGCGACACTTTGTGTCATGGAAACTAAAAATATAAAGATACGTAAAGCTCAGTATTGGTAAAATAATCATAATAAGGTGCTGAAATTCGTTTTGCATTCAGTCCTAAAAAAGTTTTAATCACCAAAATATTATTATTATAGTTTTTATAATCATTTTGTGAACAGGCCGCCATCTATCGCCAAGGTAGCTAAACTACATTGCAACATCGTTATGGAACGATGCGATTGGTTTTACTATTTATCTGTAGATGGAAAATAGTTAAGTGGGCGGGGCTTAACACCCCCTCACCCCGCAAATTGTGATATCTAATAACAACAGCTCCTCTATGTATTTGGTTCGTAGCTCAGACCTTGATCAAATTTATACGGGACCACATGAGCGTCAGCTTTCAAATAAAAAAAACATCAAAATCGGTTCACCTAGAACAAAGTTATGAGGTAACACATATAAAAAACATACAGTCGAATTGAGTATCTACTCCTTTTTGGAGTCGGTTAAAAAATTAAGTAGCGGTGTAATAATACCCAAATTATCTCATATCGTCCCGTGAGTGCCGTAAGAGTATACAGAGGGTAACGGTGCGTACACATTATATAACATAACATGTTATATAACGATGTTATATAACATGTTTCAGTAATGAGGAGGCTGAGTGTTATAAAACGTGTTATATAACGTGACACAAATGTTATATAACTCGAACGGTAAAACGACAAAAAACAATGTCATATAACATTGTTATATTGCATTGTTATTCTAATGTGTACAGTATAGTTATATTTTGGAATGTTGAAAAACAATGTTACATAATGTGGACGTGTTAGAAAACAAAAGTTATACAACATGTTACTTGATCTGTACGCACCCTAATAAACAAGGAGATGGACCGCAGCGTCTTTCTAGTAACAAGTAACCTTTAAAACTTGCCGTTTTCGATTTTCTTTAAAAATGGAGCCTATGCCTTCCTTAAACGACCGATAATACATTTTTATTTTCTTTGGTTTAAGGGTGGCTTCGTTTAATTACCATCAGTTGAACCAAGGGCTATTATTTTTTATAGGATAGAGCAAACGAGCATGCAGCTCACCTGATGGTAAGTGACTACCGCCGCCCATGAACAACCGCAACACCAGGGGAATTGCAGATGCGTTGCCGGCCTTTTAAAAAGGAGTAGGCTCTTTTCTTGAAGGTCCATAAGTCGTATCGGTCCGGAAAAATCGCTGGTGGTAAACTATTCCACAAGGAAGTTGTACGAGGAAGAAAACGTCTTCTAAATCGCACAGGTGGACCGCCAAACATCCAGATGGTGTGGATGGTATCGGGAGTTCTGCCGCGATGTGCGTTCATGAAATTTGGCGGCTGGGATTAATCCGAACAATTCCTCCTCCCCATGGTAAATGCGAAAGAAAATGCAAAGAGATGCAACATCTCTTCGCAGTGCCAATGAGTCGAGCCGATCGGAAAGGACTCGGTGGTCGACGATTCGCGCCACTCTGCGCTGGATGCGATCAAGTGGAAGGAGCTGGCACTGGGGAGCCCCAGCCCAGAGATGGGAACAGTATTCCATGTGAGGCCGAACCTGCGCCTTGTAAAGTTGCAGGCGTTGAGCTGGCATGAAATACTGTCTCGCTCTGCTGAGCACACCAAGCTTTTTAGAGGCCAATTTGGCCTTTACTTCCAAGTGACCACGAAACTGCACGACACTCGATATGTCGACGCCGAGGATTCCGATACTGGCTGAGGTAACAAGGGGAGTACCTTGAAACTGAGGAAATACGACAAAGGGGTTCTTTCTAGCGGAAAACGCGCAAACTTGTGTCTTCTGAGGATTAAACTGGACTAGATTTAGTCGCCCCAAATCCGAAACTTTGTCCAGCAAAGACTCGACTTCAGACAGAAGTTTGTTCCGGTACTCGGTGACGTTTTCCCGAGAAATATTGGCACGGCCGGTGTATAGAGCATCACCAGTGCTGTCATCCGCATAGCAATGAATGCTACCGGCTTGCAACATATCATTGATATGCAGAAGAAACAGCGTTGGTGATAGCACGCAGCCTTGTGGAACTTGTGGAACTTGGACTCTACTGCCAACGCCCATCTATGAGTTAAGTAGACCAGAAGATCACCAGCTGATCGACCCCGACGAAAACCGTACTAGCGGTCACTAATCAGCTGGTGATCCTCAAGGTACCGCATGAGGTGGCAGTTTATAACGGATTCCATTATTTTGGAGAACAAGGGTGTGATAGCGATAGGCCTGTAGTTGGACGGGTCTGAGCGGTCGCCTTTTTTAGGGATCGGGTGGACAAAAGCTGTCTTCCATGAATTCGGGACTACACCTTGGGAGTAGGAGTACCGAAAAAGACGCGTTAGGACCGGTGCCAACTCCGGAGCACATGTCCTCAGCACAATTGGGGGGATTCCGTCAGGCCCACTCGACTTCTGGATGTCCAGGGAGAGCAGTGCTTTGCGAACCGAGCGCTGTGAGAACAGCACATCCGGCATGGAGCACTCACACCGCGGGATGGTCGGCGGTGTTTTCCCCCCGTCATAAGAGTCGAGTTGGACGCAAAAAGGGAGCCTAAAAGGTCGGCTTTCTTTTTTGCGTCGTGGGCCAGTGAGTCGTCTTCCCTGTGCAGAGATGGTAGTGATGGCTTACAGAAATTCCCTTCGACAGCCTTGGCGAGAGACCAGAATGCACGGGTTCCCGAAGGAAGGCGAACTAGTTTCTCGCCAATTCTGCCTATGTGCTCTGACTTTGCCTTGGCAATAACTCTTTTGAAGGACCTGGAGGCGAAGTTATACTTCTTTTTAAGTATGCTGGTGTTTACATCCCGAGTCGTCGAAGCCGCAGCCCAGGCTTGATATCACTCCTGCTTACTGCGTAAAGCAGTCTTACAGGAGCGACCAAACCAAGGCTGAGATCTGCCTCCGATGGGTACCACAGATGATGGAATAAATAGTTCCATTCCCTGTAGCACCACATTAGTGACAGAGTCAGCAACAGCGCTGGGATCATCCGGCGAGAAGCAAACCCGCCCCCATGGGTAGGAAGTAAAGAAAGACCGCATTCCGTCCCAATCCGCCGACCTGTAATGCCAAACACGGCGGCAACCTGCAGAACGCAACCGCGAGGGGAGCGTGAGTGGCACCACACTCCGGATCAGACAATGGTCCGAAGAGTCAAGAGGGGCATCGAAGGAAACCTGATATTCGTCCGGATAAGAGGTCAGCAGAAGGTCCAAAAGAGAAGGTGTATGATCCTCAACATCTGGAATCCGCGTAGGCGATGTAACCAGTTGTGTCAGACCATATGCCAAGGCAAAGTAATAAACAGATCTCCCCGCATGATCGGTTAAACGTGAACCGAGCCATTCGGCGTGGTGGGCGTTAAAATCGCCAAGCATCACGATCTCTGCAGATGGGACATGTTGTTTCGGCATTACCGCTATGGGACCTATAGACGCACACGTAGACGCGTGGATGGTCGTCGCTGTCTACGCGTAGCCAAAGGATGGACAGGTCCGAACCTTCAAAACTGCCGAGGCGTCGACATCAAATGTCCTCTCTGACATACACGCAAACTCCAGCCCGAGGCACAAAGGATTGCTCCAATTTGTACCCCGGGTAGGAGGGATACGAAGTATCAGCTGGAGAGGACACCTGCGTCTCGGTCAGAAAGAGCAAGGCCGGCTTCGCCGTCTCGAGATGGTAGTGGACGGCGTTTAGGTTCGAGTGAAGTCCCCTGATGTTGCAGAAATTCACGGATAGCGTGGCAGGGGTCGCTTGTTGCTCAGTTTGCCCCGAGCAGTTATTGTGTTGAGCGGAATTTTGCCCCCCCCCCCTCCCCAGAATACGCGGGGCAGCCTGAGCACCCACGCTCAGGAGTTGAATAGCATGGTCGTGGATGCTCAGCGAGGGATTCTCCAGGGGTACTGGCACCCTCCTGGGGTAGGTTATGATGTAATTCCGCTACCATGTTGATGGGGGGGGGGGGAGAATTGGGCCTCCGTTCACCTGCACTCACCAGACGAAACGCGGAAGCAGAGCTTCCACTTCACGCCGGTATTCTGTGAGGTCGTGGTACTAACCCGGCTCGAGCCGGCCCTTACGTGCAACAACAAAAGCTGCTGCGTGGTTCTACCACCGTTGTTTCCATTTCAAAAAAAAATCTTATCTAGCATGTGAAAAAGAGAAATTCAGAAAAAAATTAAAGAAATGTTTAAATTAATAACCATCCAAGTACGAGTTGGACTCACGCATGAAGGATTCCGTAAAATCGTAAAAAAACCTTTCTAGTAGAGGAGCCCCCTTTAATTTTTAATTTATTATTATTTTTATTATTTTTTGTTATAGCGGCAACAGAAATACACATTCTGTGAAATTTCCAACCACCTGTCTATTACGGATCATGAGATAAGCCCGCTGACGGACGGATGGATGGATGAATGGACGGACGGACAGACAGCGGAGGCTTAGTAATAGGGTCCCGTTAGTTACTCGTCGGGTACGGAACCCTAAAGAAAAAATATAATGCTTTGGAAATTGGAAAATATTTCGTAACACCTTAATTGTGTATTAATTTTGTGTCGTTCACTAAATAACCGTATGAGGCGCCAGTGGGAAACTTAAACATGATATGGGAAGCTGCATCTTCCTGATACAACAACTGACAACTCAACGTAATAAAAAAACTGTCATGTGCCAAGCGAAGTAACTATAGCACATATCTCCCCTATAAGCAATCTATGTTTAGCAGTGGACTTTAATATTCCGTGATGATGATGATCATATATACGAGTACAGAATCCTTAGTGCATCTGTTAGTGATTTGTACCAGATGGTAATATATAAATACGCACCTTGAGACACTCTTCAACGACCATGTGTATGCATGAAACGGACTCGGTGAGGACGTACAAAGAGTACCACTGGTTATATTTTAGACGACCGAGGAAGTCCTCCATGACACATTGCAGTCGTCCTGAGGAAAATAGCAACAAGTTCGTTACTTAAAAATAAAATACCAAGATTTGACCATTTCACTGTAGACTTCAACCACTTTTATATCTACATATATCTATAAATATATACAGATAAATAAATTAAGGTTAGTAGTTAATTGAAGTTTATAACGTGAAAATAACATCTTTTATACGGAACTTTTAACAAAAACATTTTAAATTATTTTTTGTCTCTATCTGTCTGTCGGTCTGTCTGTCTGTTTGTTTGTTCTGGCTAATCTCCGAAATGGCTCGACCGATTTGGACGGGTCTTTCACTGACAAATAGCTGATATTATAATGAGTAACTTAGGCTACCAATTACGCTTCGCACAAAAAAAACAAACCGCAATAAATTCAACGCGGACGGAGTCACGGGAAACAATTAGTATGCGAATAATACATTAGGGTGCGTACAGATTAAGTAACATGTTATGTAACTTTTGTTTTATAACACGTCCACATTATGTTACATTGTTTTTCAACATTGCAACATATAACATTACTGTACACATTAGAACACCAATTTCTTTTATAGGATAGGGTGACAAACGAGCACACAGTCCACCTGATGGTAAGTGGTTGCTGTGGCCCATAGACATCTACATTTCTATCCTCGTTTGCGAATCCAAATGCAGATAGCTGATATTATAATGAGCTGTCACCCGTGAGGACTAAGATGGAATGCCTCTTGTCCAGTAAAAAGGGTCTCCGGTTCTCTACACTCACCATACGAAACAGAGCAGCATTAAGCTGCTATTTTACGTTGGTATTCTGTGAGAGCGTGGTCCTTCCCCGGTCGAGCTGACCTATTCGTGTTACAACTATACCGGAAATATAGCTGCAGCATGGCTCTACCACGTATAAATTGAGACTTGCGTATGTTACTTAAATATTATTCAAAATTAAAGAATGGATATAATTATATTACCATCTCGTTACATCGCCCGCTTTTTTAGCTAGACATATATGCGGCAGCAGTAACTTGTGTTGCTTCTCCTATCACTAGTCTATAAAACTTGGGTTCAAGGCTTAGGACAGCTTTACCGTCGTAAATTTTCCTTTTCCGAATAAATCCTTTTGCAGATGCGTTGTCGCCCCTGAGGATTACGATGGAATACCTTGTTTCCAGTCAAAAGATCCTCCGGATTTCTACACTCACTATACGAAGAAAAGCTGCATTAATCTGGTATTTTACGCTGATATTATCTGATAGCGTGGTCCTTCCCCAGTCAAGCCGACGCATTTGTGATATAACCATAATATTGCTGCAGCATGGCTCTACCACTTATTAACCCATTCGCTATCCCATGCACTACATATAGTTCATTGCTATTGTCTTACCATCAAGTGAACTGTAAGTTTGTTTCTCACTTCAGTTTTATAAATAGACCGTCAGAAGTAGAATCAGCAGATTGCACTTGCACCTTGTGTAGTCTGTAAGATGACACTAAATAATGTTACCGTATTCGGGCACCGGGGGCTCGTACTGTTTGAACGGCGGTCGAATAAAGTTATACATTTCAGGGTATTTCCTTATCATAAAAATCATCTTCAACTTTCCTTCCATTTTTCTGTATAACAGCTCCGCCTGAACGCAAAGAAAGATCCATTTAATCGCTGTCCAAGAGCTGCATTGAACTTAACAACCAAAGCAAAGCTCACCATTTTCTCTTTTTCATTAGCCTGTAACAGTCCACAGTTGGGCATGGGCCTCTTCCAGAGAGAGAGAATTTGCCTTAATCGTCACGCTGGGCAGATGGATTTCCGAACTCAGTACCAAACGTGAGCAACTTAGATGCTGCTGCCCATCGCCGGTCTGGTTATTATACGCCAAGCGTTAGCGAGACGGATACCGCTGTCTAACGGGAGTTAGATCGCACAAGGAGTTGCGGAAAGAATGGGCCCCTGAGTGAGAAACAGAAGAAGAACAAAAGAAGAGAACAATATTAAGAAGTGACTGTGTCACAGGCACAGGATTACAGTGTCCGAGTGAATGCGCAAACACAACTGAACTCTCTATTCCCTTACTCTCATAGTCCAGTGGGACAGCTGTCCGACATGATCGGAGAGAGATTAGGCGCAATACCAACGGTTTTACGTGCTTTTCCGTCGTTTACGACTACTAGATCAACGAAGCAGCCACCTCTTACGACACCCACGGGGCGAAATGGGGTGATTTATTTTCTTCCGCCATCACTGTATGGCTGATCAAATCACTGTTGTATTCAAAAATTATTAAACTGTTAGTAAATTTTTATCATCATAACATTCGCACCTCGTTCTTAAGTTTATTCAAATGATCTTGATCCACTTCTTTCGCCTGCCTGTGTATCCAAACCATCTCCAATATCTTGGGCAAATAATGCAGTGGTATACGCGGTAGCCCGTGAAGGATCATACAATCCAAATATAAGTAGAACCTGTCACGAAATTAAATTATATAACATGATATGCGCTTTGTAGAAGTACCGCTTAGTAAAATTGATACAGGAATATCGTAATATGAAAAGTAGAGCACACCCACACCGGATGACATATTTAAGTTTGGCGATTTTTATGGCTGCAGCTCCAATAGACTGTCGTTGTGAAAGAACCACGGTGACACAGAATATCAGCATTAAATAGAAACGTAATTCTATATTATATACGATACGATACTAGAAACGAAAACCGGTAACCCTTTTTGCTGTTAACAAGGTATTCCTTTGTGGTGACAACGTATCTACAGATTGATCTACATGGTACTTTCATCCATGATTGACATAGGAGTCTAAAGGCCACAGTATCCACTCATCAGGTGGACTGTGTGCTCGTTTATTACCATTACTTCTATCAAATTCCGCATATTTTGTTTTATTCTTTTGTTGTTGGTCGACTCATGCTGCAGCTATATTTATTGGTTGTAGACACAAATAGATAGGCTCAATCAGGCAAGAACCACACTCTCAAAGAAGATCGGCTTCAAATAGCGGCTTAACCCTGCTGTGTTTCGTATGATGTGCGTAAAGAACCAAATACCCTTTTTACTGGATACGATGCATTCGGCGTTTTGATACTTATTCGAGGATGGATGTAGATGTTTACGGGCCAGAGTATACACTTAACATTAGGTGGACAGTGTGCTCGTTTCTGAACTTTGTTCTATTAAAAAAAAATGTGTAGTATTCGCTTAAATATAACAAATCATTAGGTCAACCTTAAATTGTTTTCGACCTCGTTGCGTAGATCGACAGCGAACTTGACTCGCTGAGCAAAGTTCTCCGGGTCGTCCGCTTTGAACATCAACCGCACACGTGAGATGCTAGTGTTTAAAAAATTATGATCACCTTAACATTTGTGTTTATACGTGGTAGAGCCACGCTGCAACTATATTATGGTTGCAGCATGAATGGGTCGGCTCAAACCAGAGAATACCAGCGTAAAATAGCAGCTTAACGTTGCTGTGTTTCGTTGGGTGAGTGTAGAGAACCGGTGACTCTTTTTACTGGAAAGGAGACATTAAATCCTCAGGGGTGTTGCACTGGAAAAGAGGCATTCCATCTTAGATCTCACGGGTGACAACGCATCTGCATTTTGATTCTTTATTGGGGATAGATGTAAATTTAAATATGCTACAGCATCCACTTACCATCGGTTGGACTGTGTGCCCATTTTTCACCCTTATTCTATAAAAAAAAAACATAAATATACTAATACGTTTAATGGATAACTTTACTGATAAAATTGATGGTTTGTGGCATTCGTTTGGGGAAGCCTATGATCAGCAACGAACTTGTGAAGGGCTGTAATGATAATTATGGGGAACGGATTACAATCGCGTGTTTTTCGTCATTCATCATCATCATTCAGCCCTTCACAAGTCCACTGAAGAACATAGGCCTTCTCCAAAGAAAGCTACAAAGCACGATCTTGAGCCACCTGCATCCATCGACTTCCTGCATATCTTACCAGGTCGTCACTCCATCTAGTGGGGGTCGCCCTACATTTCGTCTACTGGTACGAGGCTGCCACTCGAGAACCATGTGGCGACGCTGTCGTCGCGCCACAAGCGAAATACATCGAAGCGTAAATCGCGCCAACAAAGTTCCGAAATTAAAGCAGCATAATATATAGAATAGCTCCAAACTACCAACTGGAGCGTTGCTCGCTCCCCGGGCAGAACACCTTGCCCGACGGGAGATCTCCCCTTTTCCTTCCACCCGCCACAACCATTTTTCCCCACCGGTTTGTCGGTTTTTCGAGCTATGTGGCTGGCCCATTGCCACTTCAGCTTACTAATCCTTTGACCTTTGTCGTTCACTCTAGTCCTACTGCGGATATTCTCATTTCTAAGTTTATCACGCAAGGAAACCGCGAGCATAGCCCTCTCCATAGCTCACTGAACAACCATGAGCGTCCTCATATAGCCAGCAGTGAAGGACCACGTCCCAAATCCATAAGCCCTCATTTGCAACACGTATTGGTTGTATAATCTCGTTTTCAGGTTTTGAGATATACCTTGTGTACCTCCCACAGCGGAGGGTATTCATGAGGATTTGCCCATGATAAAAAGACCAGCAATTGATTAAAACGGTGGTAGACAAATAGGCAAATCTAAGCTGAGCTCATTAGTATTTAAAGAGACTAGTAAACATGAAGAATAAATTTCATGAACTGTTACCGATAATAAAAATGTAACCGACATTTAAATGATGATACTTTATGCCCATAGTAACGGGAGGAGTGGACTGTGGATTGGTTGTGACAGTGTTCGGAACTTCGGGAATTCGCGATAAAATCCGTAAAAACTACTTTCGTTTAAATGTGTAGTATTCGTGTAATTATAAGAAATCATAATGCAACTTCACTTGAAGCGCCGCTTTGAGCCATCCAACGCCATCACTTCCCATTTTTCAGTCTTCTTGTCATAACTGAAGATGGCCACGTTGATCCACTAAAGCATTACAAACAGAACAAAAATAATTTTATGAGGATAACGTAACGTAAATTTCAAATTGCAATTAATTAAATTCTATACTTGTTAGCGCCAACAAAATTACGTTTATACGAACGTGTTTACGTGGTAGTCATTCTGTAGATATATTATTTGTATAGTTGTAGCACGAATAGGTCGGCTCGACCGGGGAAGGACGACGCTCTTACAGAACCAGCGTAAAATAGCAGCAGCTTATCGCTGCTGTGTTTCGTACGGTGAGTGTAGAGAACCGGAGACCCTTTACTGGAAACGACGCATTCTATCTTAGTCCTCACGGGTGACAACGCATTTACATTATTATGATTCATATTTGAGGATGGATGTAGATGTCTATGGGCCACAGCAACTACTTACCAGCAGGTGGACTGTGTGCTCGTTTGTCACCTTTATCGTATAAAAACAAAATATCCACGGGTTCAAGGTGGCCCTGAAATGTGCTTTCGTATTTTTGAACAAATTTAATAATACGCCTCAGTTTATTGACCAACCGCTGCATATCTAACCGCACTTTTACGTTTAGTCGTAACATATCCCCAACATTACTTTGAAGTCCATAAAGTAAAAGTAATGCAGATGATTATGATTCGTAGTCGAGGATAGATGTAGATGTCTATGAGTCACAGCAAGTACTTACCATCAGGTGGACTGTGTGCTCGTCTGTCACCCTATCCTATAAAAAAAATGCGTCTCAGTGTGAGATAATGGATCTTGTCAGCTGTAATTTATAAAAGTTAAAAATTAAACACAATAAAATCCGTAAAAGTAGTTTTATTTAATGTGTAGTGTTTACATAAGTACAAGAAAGTATTATTTGTTTTAATAGGAATTTTAACCAGTGATTAACTGGGCAGTAGTCGAGGATAGATGTAGATGTCTATGAGCCACAACTACTACTTACCATCAGGTGGACTGTGTGCTCGTTTATTCTTATCCTATAAAAAATATATCTCATAAAATATACTCGTATAACGAAGTTCGTAATTATTCTATTCATAATTCGTATATGAGTTAGTCATTTGAATTTTCAGGGTATATGTAGCCTGTTCCGCCAAGCGATGAAAAACCTGTAGCCAACCTTGCTCACCACTAATTCACCTGTTGAAGGAACAGCCTGTGAACCCTGTTAACAACCCACACTAATGTAATAAATAGAAAAATATAGTATTCACCTCGTACAAATTGTTCAACATGTGTATAACGTCGCCTGATCCTCTGTTGGAGCCATCTTCTTTAGGGATAAATGCTAAACCGGGACATGGATACTGTTCTCCTTCAATGTTCCCCAACGACAACCACTCCTCAGGGGTCCTAGCAATTTATTTCAAATAATATAATATTACATATACATACTTATTAAATTATTGAAACTTTTACAATTTCAAAATGATACATTAGTTATTTTTTTCAGTTACTAACTGTTCCCTGAAACTTCGCGCGCGTGGAATTTATTGCGAATGAATTTCATGCGTTTTAATTATTTTTTTGCACGGAACCATAATTCTTAACCTTAAATAAAACTGAGGCTACCAGTTACTTCTTATAACATCAACTATCTGCCAGTGAAAGTCCCATCCAAAGCAGTTCATAGGTTTTTGCGTGATACGTGTTCAGACAGACGTCGTGTTAGAGTGTTAGATTTTTATTATAGTGACAGATAGATGTCTGATCTTACGTGGTAGAGCCATGCTGTAGCTATATTAGTAGTATAGTTGTAGCACGAATGGGTCGGCTCGACCGGGGAAGGACCACGCTCTCACGGAATACCAGCGTAAAGTAGCAGCTTAACACTGCTGTGTTTCGTATGGTGAGTGTAGAGAACCGGAGACCCTTTTTACTGGAAAAGAGGCATTCCATCTTAGTCCTCATGGGTGACAACGCATCTGCATTTTGATTCGCAAACGAGGATAAATGTAGATGTCTATGGGCCACAGCAACCACTTACCATCAGGTGAACAGCTCGTTGTCACCTTATCCTATAAAAAAAAAAAGATAGATAGAAGTTTTATACAAACGACGTTAAAAAAACAATCAGCTAAGATCCGCGTAATAAAATAAAATGATGTCTTACGTAGTTTGAAGAGCACCTCCCGCCCTCCCTCAATTGCGTCAACTATCCCCGTCACCACTAATTTCAGTACCACTAATCCCAACACCTATACACTTGGAAAGACACACCGCCGTCGATAAATTCGATATTACGACACGTTCACCTTTACACGAGGCATAGGACGGGAGGTGCTCTTCAAACTAGGTAAGACACATAATTTTATTTTATCACGCCGATCTTAGCTACATAATTTTTAATATCTTTAATCAAGATGGTAAACAATTAAATAAAACTAGTTTTACGCATTTTATCGCGTATACTAACTTATTTTATACTAGCTGTTCCCCGCGACTTCGCCCGCGTGGAGTAATTTTTTGCGAAATCTTGTAGTATATTGACAGATAATTGACATTAATATTTATACGATACTAACGTCACTCAATTGTTCGTACCTTCCCGGAACCATAAAGTTCAAATTGACTTTTAAGTATTATTACGAATCTTTTGTATGGGAACATAGAAAAGTGTTATTTTAAGACATTTTCAGGCATTTTTTTAAGAGTCTTTTCCGTCTTCTCTTCTCCGTAAGAGCCATCTTCGTACTTCAAGGAATATTACCAAAAAGAATTAGCGAAATCGGTTCAGCTGCTCTCGAGATTTGCGCTTAGCAACACATTCAGCGATTAATTATTATATTATAGATTCCCGACGTTTCGAGTAATTTACAGCACCCATGGTCAAGAGGCGGACTGAGTTTGACGTTCCAATGTCATAGTTAACCACGGCTACCTCCAGATTAAAAATAATAAATTTTTGTTCCAATCTACGCAGTATGAACTTACAGTATCTTGAATTCAAGCAGTTGCATGCTTGGGTTGGGATTTAATTTTATTAATTATGGGATCCCAAGCAGATGGTAGCACCATCAGCAGATGGAGAGCCATCTTCTCTATTGAAATTAGGATGTTTTTTTGATTTCAATAGCCTCGCGAATCATCCTCGGAAGGAATCGGTGTTCTTTAGCGAGGATTTGTGGTTTATAAAATCTAATGTAGTGACGGGGGCGATCCTGTACGTGTTCACAGACTGCAGACTACCCGGAGCGTCGATTCTTCACATCAGCTATGTGTTGTTGTAAAACTAGTTCTATTTAAATGTGTAGTGTCCGCGTAAATATGAGAAATCAAGATGGCAAACAGTTGTCGCTTCTATCACTCTATCGATTTAGATTGATAGTGATGTGTCTGGTGTTGATTTTGGCTGGAAGCTATAAGCTGCTGTAATACCTAAAGAAATTTAGTATATAACGAAAAAAAGATTTGCTTGCATTGTCAAAGTTAGCGGGACATAACACTCGATATAATCTGGATCAGGACTACCACTATTGGTGCATATCATTTTGATCCAATACTAACTCACCTACAATCGAAATCCGTGTTATCGAAGATCTCCAAGTCTAGCTTTGGATAGGGACTGTACAGTCCGTATCGCACTTGATCCGTGATCGGATATTCCGATGGCGGTACAAGCCAGTACGGCTGTATTTCGAGTTCTCTTAACATTTTCTGAAAAACATTTATTTCGCTTAATCAGAAAGAATAATTGTGATTAGTAGTAAAATATATATTTATTATTAATAATAAATTTAATAATAATAATAAATTTATTTATTGAATAAAACCATATTGACACTACAAAGTTGAAGCCCTGACTCCCGAACTAGCAATAGCTGTGTGTCGGGATTCAGTTCCTTCCCATATCCACAAAGTTACAATTACAAAATGGCTTTTCAGCTTATCACAAATCAGAAAATCAGAACAACGTAACAAAATACATTAGGATTTTACAAATTAAAGAAAAATATTTTTTTTTAAATATTAATGTGTATATGTGTTGCACCTATGATGCGTATATGTTGTGCGTGCGTAACAAGGTAACAAAAAAAAAAATACAAATTAAAGGAAAATAAAAAACAAAAAAAAATATGCATGCGTATGTGTGTTACATCTATGATGCATACATGTTATGCGTACGTAACAAGGTAACAAAGTAAATAAAATTTTTACAAATTAAAATTAAATATGCATCCGTACGTTTCTTGTATTTATGATGCGTACGTGTTTTGCGTGTGTTTGTGTACATATGTGTGTGTATTGTTTCTGAAAATACAATAAATTGATAGCTGTATTAATTATATATTTTTTATAGCATAGGGTGACAAACGAGTACACAGTCCACCTGATGGTAAGTGGTTGCTTTGGCCCATAGACATCTAATTAAAATGCCGATGCATCGTCACTCGTGAAGATTAAGATGGAATGCCTCTTTTCCAGTAAAATGGGTCTCCGGTTCTCTACACTCACCATACGAAACACAGCAGCGTTAAGCTGCCATTTTACGCTGGTATTCTGTAAGAGCGTGGTCGTTCACCGGTCGAGCCGACCCATTCGTGCTACTAATATGGCTGCAGCATGGTTCCACCACGTATAATAATTTTTAGATACCCGTTTACTATTTTAGATACCCGTTATTAAACCGTGAAGTAATAGTGTAAGAATATCCACTACCCCATATCGTCCCGTGTCCCGACAGACGATGAGATGGGCGGCAACATCTTCAGCAACTCTTTAATAATAAAAGCAACTGCGGTTGCCAATCCGCTTGCCAAGCGTGGCAACTGTGGCAAAATGCCCCAGATAAGGCAATCCATGGGGAAAGCCTATGTTTAGTGGTGGACTTTTTAGCTGTAATATATGGATGGCTTGATCATAGATATGAGTTCAAAAATTCAGTTGTATGTATTATCTACTTAGTAGAACGTTTTCCTACCTCCCATAATCGGGCGCGCAATCACTACCATCACTAAATCTAACACCATGACATCCAATATCACTCAAACCTTTATACCAAGAAATACACACCACCGTCGAATATACGACACTTGTTTCACCCCTAAACGGCATCATAAGTAGTAGTTCTCTACGATAGCTAACAGTTAAGTATAATTGATAGGATGTGTATATCCTAATCCGTCTCTTTGCAATCACGTGGTAGAGCTATGACGCAGCTGTATTGTGGTTGCAGCACGAACGGGTCGACTCGCCTGGGGTGGAACCACGCTCTTACAGAATACCAGCTTGAAATAGCGGCTTAGTGCTGCTATGTTTCGTATGGTGCGTGTAGAGAACCGGAGACCCATCTTAGTCCATCTTAGTCCTTGCGGGTGAGTCTATGGGCTGTAGCATCCACTTGCCATCGGGTGGATTGTGTGCTCGTTTTTCACCCTTATTCTTTAAAAAACAAATATGTTTTTATAGAAGTCTTATGTTTGTTTGCAGTGTTATGTTTATTTGAAAAGTTTGTTGAAATATCTTGCTGCATAACCACTTTATAAAAACAAATGCCTTAGGGTATATGAACACATAACATATATAAAATATAATAAATGATACAAGTGTGAGTACAGGTGTTCACCTGTACTCACACTTGTATCATTTATTATATTTTATTCTATGAACTTACCTTTATATTAGCCGCAAGAAATTTCCTTCTCAATCGTTCAATTTTCACCAACCTTGGAAGCTCCTTCGGGAGTACAACGCTCAGAAACTGTAGCTTTGGTACAAATGTTTCGAAAGGAAATTGCTGAAAAAATGAATCAATCATTTATTAATTCATAAGCATGGGTATTACAGAATGTCACATACAAAATTATTATTAGATGCAGCCATGTTTCACTTTAGAGGCATATGAACATAATTGAAGTAATTTTTACACTTTGTCATCAAAAAATATTCTTATGTCGAAGGAAATTGCTGGAAAAACAGTATAGTGTTATAAATATTAACTTATGGCTAAGCATGAGTAGAAAGTGGCCATAAAGAAATCGGGCGCCCGTCATTCTTTTTACCCGACTACCCCAGAAGGAAGATAATGTTTTCCGCGAGTATGTCTATTTCTTTGGCATGCTCTGTAGCCTAATTGGCTTGATATATTTAAACATATTGGGTGTCGTTATATTCGTCTTAGTATTAGAAGTGACATAAAAAAGACCTCACCGAAGAAACTTTGCGATTTCGGACGACGCGCTTCTATTTTGTATCAGTGTGTGTGGACGTATACATCCATTTCTCATCCTAATCAGGAGTTTACTCACCCCTAACGTAACAATAAAATAACAAACATACAACGCTATCGTCCTCCCTGTAAGTGGTCCAACGTCCCGGCGGCATCAACACCTTCGGCTTCTGCGGTTTCGGCAGGGACACCAACATTGGAGCTAGCTTGTCTGTCTTTGCCTACAGGTAAAATAAAAGTTACATTAATGTAAGTAAATAGGTAATTTGAGTCGTATGTCCTAAAGTGACCTTATCGCTACATAATTTAAAATTAAAAATTTTGTACAACCGACTTCAATATAAATTATTGAGAATAACTCAAAAACTATTGGACACACATTAATCAAATTTATATGGAACAACATGAGAAGTACCAGCTTTCAAATAAAAAAAAGAATCATCGAAATCGGCTCACCCAGAAGAAACTTATGAGGTAACATACATAAAAAACCATACAGTCGAATTGAGTACCTCCTCCTTTTTGAAGTCGGTATAAAATGGAATTTACGAAAAACATTCTAAGTTTTAGAAGAGACGCCCCCATGTAGTAGCGGGTAAGAATACCCACTACCCCATATCTTCCCGTGGGTCTCGTAAAAGGCGACAGAGGGAAACTGAGGCAGAAGATGGGCAGCAGCATCTTTCTGATAATAGCAAAAAGCCAACCCGCTCACTAAACGTGGCAACTAAGGCAATATACCCCCCATGAGCAACGACGAATAAACGGCCCCCAATCCCCGGCGGTATCGGCGGGGCAGGGGGTGCTAAGAATCTCCGGTAAAGGTTCGGTTGCCACCTAAGACGACTCGACTTGGCAACTTATAACGCACGCTCCCTGAGGACTGATGAGAAGATCCTGGAGCTGGAAGAAGAGATAGAATAGAGCGCTGGAATATTATAGGATTATTCGAGGTCCGTAGATAGGGGGAGGACACGGTAATCCTCGAATTTGGCAACTTGTTCTATCACAGGAAGGACAACCATCTGTCCTAAGGAGGTGTCGGATTTATCGTCCACAAGTCTCTCGTTAACAACGTTGTAAAGATTGAGAGTGTGTCGACGAGGGTTGCTTACCTTATACTCAGAATCACCAAACGGTATTCGCTGAAGGTTATACAGGTTTACGCACCAACCTCGGCACACCCCGATCAGGAGGTGGAGGAAATGTATGAGGATATCTCTAGAGCCATGCATTCCTCCAAAACCCACTATACGGTGTTAATGGGAGACTTCAATGCAAACCTAGGCACAAGAGAGAACGGTGAGCTGCAATTAGGGAAATTTGGAATAGAGCAACGGAACCCAAGGGGCCAGCAGCTGGCCGACTTCATGGAGAAAGAGGGACTCTTTATGAAGAACTCTTTCTTCCAGACGCGGCTCCACAGCAAGTGAACCTGGTTGAGTCCCGACGGTTCTACAAAAAATGAGATTGACTTCATTATGACGACCAGACGACAACTGTTCAGTGATGTCTCAGTGATCGCGAGGGTGAAAACTGGTAGCGATTACCGAATGGTTAGAGGCATACTTAACCTAAACGTTAAGTTGGAGAGGTAACGTCTAATGAAGTCAACGCTCCGTCTCCCTCTTGCTCTAATCCAAAGTCCCGAAACCTTTCAACTTGAGTTACAAACCGTTTTCAGTATCTAGAAGATTGCAATACACTGGGTAGAAGAAGAAATATCCAACTGTCGAAGCTGAAGACCGAATGTGGCAGCATCGTTTCCGAGACACCTAGATTTTGAGTGAGATTGAGAGGTTCTATGGTCAGATGTACACATCATAGTTGGAGCCATACGCAAGTGTGAGTAACGATCCAAGAGCGAGTCTTATCCGACACTATTCCGATGATATAGGACGTCAGACTGAGTGAGATTAGAATGGCTCTCCAGTATCTTATAAACGGCAAGGCCCCAGGCGAGGATAAAATTACAGCGGAGCTTCTGAAAACGGGTGGAAAACCGGTGCTTGAAGTCCTTAAGAAGCTCTTTAATTTCGTCTTCTATGGTGGGATTACTCCGGAGGCATGGAGCAGAAGTGCGGTGGTCTTGTTCTTCAAGAAAGGCGACAACGCTTTCTTGAAGAACTATAGACCGATTTTCCTTCTGAGCCGTGTCTACGTACTGATTTCGAGAGTCATTACGAATCGTCTCGCACGCAGACTCTACGACTTCCAACCTCCTGAACATGCCGGTTTCCGAAGAGGTTTTAGTACCATGGACCACATACACACCCTTCGGCATTTTTTACAGAAAACAGAAGAGTACAATCTGCCACTTTCCCTTGCGTATGTGGACTATGAGCAGGCCTTTGATTCCGTCAAAATTTGAGCGGTGCTACAGTCTCTTCAACGGTGCCAAATTGACTGTCGGTATATCGAAGTGCTAAAGTATTTGCACAGTAGGGCTACGATGGCTATCCGAGTTCAGAATCAGAGTACGCTACCTATCCAACTACAAAGTGACGTTATATCCCCGAAACTCTTCACCGCTGCATGGGAAGACGTTTTCAAGCTACTGGACTGGAAATATATAAATATAGTCTTCATGGTAGAATCGCTGGAGGACGAACAGTTATTAAGATGAATATGGACAAAACAAAAATCATGTTTAACGTCCATGTCACACCTATGCCGGTAATTGTTGGGAGCACTAAGCTCGAAGTTATTGACGAGTATGTTTACTTGGGACAAATAGTCTGACTAGGTAAGTCCAACTTCGACCGAGAGGTCAGTCGACGGAATCAACTCGGCTGGGCAGCGTTCGGGAGATTACGATAAGTCTTCTCGTCAGACATACCTCATAACTTCAAAACTAGATTATACAACTAGTGCGTGTTGCCAGTGATGACCTATGGAGCTGAGACGTGGACCTTCACTGCTGGCCGTATGAGGAAGCTCAAAGTCGCTCAGCAAGCTATGGAAAGGGCTATGCTTGGCATTTCTTTGCGTGATAGACTTAAATACGAGGATATCCACAGTAGAACCAGAGTAACCGACATAGCCCAAAGAATTAGTATGCTGAAGTGGCAATGGGCTGGCCATATAGCACTAAGAACCGACAAACGATGGGCAAGAAAGGTTCTCGAGTGGCAGCCTCATACCGGCAGGCGAAGTGTAGGGTGTCTCCCCACTAGATCGAGTGACGACCTGGTAAGACATGCAGGAAGTCAATGGATGCAGGTTGCTCGGGCCCGTGCTTTGTGCCATTCTTTTATGAAGGGCTGTAATGATAATGATGATTATGATGATGAGAAGAGACGCCGCGAATTGGTCTTTGTGACACGCATTGGAACCCATGAGCTCAAACTTATTTAGTCTATGCGGTATTATCATGCGGTGCGCTGTGCTTCATTCCACGCGGCCCGCGTTGACGCACAGATTTTGTTCTCAGGATCTATTCTAGCACTTAGTACATATCACTTAAAAGAAATGTAAAAAGCGTCAAGAAATTTATAAATTTACTTACGGAGATATGCTTTATAATTTTCTATACGATTCTTCTGAAAATTTTAGTACATTAAACGTGATACGTTATAAACAAACAGACAGACAGACAATTCCAAAAATGATAAAAAATGTCGATTGAAGATATTGAAAAATTGAATAATCACTTAATTTAATCCTTCTTAATCTGCCTTAGTCAATCTATTTATTTAAAACATAAAAGATTTTTAATATTGATATGGTCACTATAAGATGTTGTTAGGTTAGCTAATTACGTAATAATTTAAGACAGAAGATATCTTAAGTAGGGACTGAATAAATTAACCGACTTGGTATTACATGGATCTCACAACGTTTTACGGTAGAAGAACTGAGTTGCGAGACTTGATTTTTTTTTATAGGTTAAGGGTGACAAACGAGCGCACAGTCCACCTAATGGTAAGAAGTGGTTGCTTTGGCGCATAGACATCTACATCTATCCTCTATTACAAATCAAAATGTAGATGCGTTGTTACCCGTGAGGACTAAGATGGAATGCCTAATTTCCAGTAAAAAGGGCCTCCGGCCACCTGCACTCACCAAGCGAAACGCAGAGGTAAACGGCTACTTCACGCTGGTTTTCTGTGAGGTCGTGGTACCACCCCGGTTCGAGCCGACCCATCCGTGCGACAGCAAAAGCTGCCGCGTGGCTCTACCACTGTTATTTTTTTACGAGTTACATATGTTATGATGGCATAATTTTTACCATAAAAATATACAACGTACAGACACACGTGCAATTTCCATTTTTATTAAAAACAATATGTATAGATATGACATCTTTTTATCGAATAAAAAGTTCTTATATTCTCTCAAATAATACGATACAATAAACACATGTAATTTTACCGATATTTTCATGTTCACAGTTCGTGACTCATCGTCATCATTATCATTACAACCCATCAAAGTCGACTGCTAATCGTAGGCCACCCTCATGGATTGCCTCAAGGGGGGGTTGATATTTGCCATAGTAGCCATTTTATATTATTTTGAGTTATTAACGGGAACATTCTGCTCCCGGTTGATGGTTTCAGTTTTTCTCTGTCATCTCTCATGACCGGCATCATTAGGGGATGTGAATTCTTTTATACCGCTACTGCACGGCTAAGTGATAACTACCTCCAAAATAAATAAATAAATCCATTTAAGGCTGACCCGAGTGAAACATAATTTCTATAAAAACTTCAAAAACTCCGTCATAAGGTCTAAAATTGCGTAGCGCCCGTGAAGATTAAGACCAGTTAGAAATCGCTTAAAATCTTAAAATATTTTTAAAAAAATTTATTGAGTTTAGTAATCAAAATAATGAGCAAGCAAATTACCAATATTGATGTTACGAATGTATTTGAGTGGTTCCCAAGCATATAGATTAAGTAATTTCGTTGTAATTTCAACTATAGTGATTTTTTAGAGGAGTTTTCGCAAATAATTATGATCGAGGGAAAATTTTATAATCGTGTTTTTGAACAAGCAAATTCAAGATAAAGACATGAATTTACCTATATCAAAATTCTAGTTTCGTTAGTCGTGTCATACTCCTATACTATTCGATGAAAGGAGGTGCATTTTTTCGCGGTGTCGCCTTAATGCGAGAAAATTCTTTTTATTTTAGCTATTTTCTAAAAGTTTAGTTTCGCTATACCACAACACATAGAGCTAATTAAAAAGGACAACCGCTAATGAATAAAGACATTGATAAATATATTATCTATTTACTACAATTATTACCTTTAATGTGAGTATATGAGGTGATTATGGAATGTGCTAGAATTATCCCATGGGCTCTAAATGGCGGGTTAATCAATCCGTTTTTTTATAGAATAAGGGTGACATTTCACCTGACAGTTCACCTGATGGTAAGTGGTTGCTGTGGCGCATATACATCTACATCTATCCTCGTTTACGAATCAAAATGCAGATGCGTTGTCAGCCGTGAGGACTAAGATGGAACCGCTCATTTCCAATAAAAAAGGTTCTAAGGTTCTCTACACTCACCATACGAAACACAGTAGTGTTAAGCTGCTATTTTACGCTGGTATTCTGTAAGAGCATGGTACTACATCGGTCGAGCCAACCCAGTCGTGCTACAACCATAATATAGCTGCAGCATGGCTCTACCACGTTAAACTCTTCATCTGTAACACCCAACTATAACTACCATATATAAAGGTAGGGACTAACACAGCATTGTTAATTGCCATAACCTTCCACAATAGAATGAAGAGAACACAGTGGTTAAACACTTACTTGTAATATTAACTTCATTCTTTTCTTTGCGCACATTTCTCTGGAAGGATTTTCTTTAGTCATGTTCGCTACGAGTTCTGAATAGTACCCTCTCTTCGGTATAGCGTCTCTTGTGGTATTATCGTATACCACATCGTGGTATTTAATCTTTTTCTTTTTGCTATGCATCACTACAAATTATAACTTAAATAATTGTCCTTCTTTAACGTTAATATTAAATATTAGAGTTTAATTCGGCTCAGTATTATATTCATTAAATGACATTTAATATCGCATAATGTTACATGTCAATGGAATATTGACACATTTACTTTTTTAAACGGGTTTTGGAAAGTACCAAAAGACTTTTACCATGAAGTTCAATTTGTCGTAGTTTACGCAAAAAGAATTCAACCCGCAAAAACCTATTCCAGGAAAAATTGTCGTTTACTGTATAATGTTGTGTAGAATTATATACTACCCCATCTCGTATCGTGGGTGTCGTCAGTGGTGGCAAAGGGAAACAGAAACAGGAGTTGGTCAGATAATAACTCAAAATCAAACTCAAATTCGGTTACCTACGCGCCTGCCAAACGTGTCAACTATGGCGAAATCCCCCTGTGAGGCAATCTATGGGGGAGGTCTATGTTCAGCGGTTGACTCTTATAGGCTGTAATGGATGGATGACGTTCGAACGTTTCAACAGTACTATACTTCTTCTTCTTTAAGCTGCTGCCCCTCGCCGCTCTGAGTATTATAAAGTATTTTCTTTTTTATACTAAGAAATACTTATGCAAACTTGACTCGTGGTGGTTTTGTCGAATTATATTATTATGTCAGATTTTATTATGTGTAGTTATGTCAGACTCAGCCCCCTCCTAAAAAGAGGAAAAAAAACTGTAAAGTTTTACATTTGTCGACCCAAGCCTATTAAATGGAGTGCCAAAGCGTATCAATGACAAACAAAAGAAAACTATTGGTCAATCTAATTGCGCATGCCCTAAGCGCATTAAAAAAATTACGTATAACATGATTATATGGAAATTATTTAAAGTGGTTTAAATACACACAACTTTTCACTAATAACCTTATTCAATTAATTAATTAATTAATTTTTAATTATTAAATTAATTAACCTTCTAATTTACCAATAATTTTATGTCAAACTTCAATTTTTAAAAAAAGTTTGGAAATCCAAGTGCACGACTTATAATGCCCATATAATCATTATATCATCATTCAGGTTACTCCATAAAGTCCAAAACGTAATTAAATATTAATATATACATCCTACTTATATTTATTAACGGTGGTAGAGCCCCGCAGCAGTTTTTGTTGTTGCACGTATGGGCCGGCTCGAGCCGGGTTGGTACCACGACCTCACAGAATACCGGCGTGAAGTAGAGGCTCTGCTTCTGCGTTTCGTCTGGTGAGTGCACGTGGCCGGAGGCCCAGTTCCACCCCCCCCCCCCCCCATCAACATGGTAGCGGAATTAGACAATAGACTACCCCAGGAGGGTACCAGTACCCCTGGAGAATCCCTCGCTGAGCATCCACCACCATGTTATTCCAATCCTGAGCGTGGGTGCTCAGGCTGCCCCGCGTATTCTGGGGGGGGGCAAAATTCCGCTCAAAAACAAAACTGCTCGGGGCAAACTGAGCAACAATACCAAGGCGACCCCTGCCACGCTATCCGTGAATTTCTGCAACATCAGGGGATTTCACTCTAACCTAAACGCCGTCCACTACTACCTCGAGACGGCGAAGCCGGCCTTGCTCTTTCTGACCGAGACGCAGGTTTCCTCTCCGGCTGATATTTCGTATCTCTCTTACCCGGGGTACAAATTGGAGCACTCCTTTGTGCCTCGGGCTGGAGTTTGCGTGTATGTCAGAGAGGACATCTGTTCTCGACGCCTCGGCAGTCTTGAAGGTTCGGACCTGTCCATCCTTTGGCTACGCGTAGACAGCGACGACCATCCGCGCGTCTACGGGTGCCTCTATAGGTCCCATAGCGGTAATGCCGAAACAGACCGACTCATCGACCACGTCCAAATGGCTACAGATTCCTTGCTACAACAGGTCTCATCCGCAGAGATCGTGATCCTTGGCGATTTTAACGCCCACCATGCCGAATGGTTCGGTTCACGTTTAACCGATCATGCGGGGAGATCTGTTTATGACTTTGCCTTGGCATATGGTCTGACACAACTGGTTACTTCGCCTACGCGGATTCCAGATGTGGAGGATCATACACCTTCCCTGTTGGACCTTCTGCTGACCTCTCATCCGGACGGATATCAGGTTTCCGTCGATGCCCCTCTCAGCTCTTCGGACCATTGTCTGATCCGGAGTATGGTGCCACTCACGCTCCCTTCGCGGTTGCGTTCTGCAGGTTGCCGCCGTGTTTGGCATTACAGGTCGGCGAATTGGGACGGAATACGGTCTTTCTTTGCATCCTACCCATGGGGGCGGGTTTGCTTCTCGCCGGATGATCCCAGCTGACTCTGTCACTGATGTGGCGCTACAGGGAATGGAACTATTTATTCCATCATCTGTGGTACCCATCGGAGGCAGATCTCAGCCTTGGTTTGGTCGCTCCTGTAAGACTGCATTGCGTAGTAAGCAGGAGTGTTATCAAGCCTGGGCTGCGGCTTCGGTGACTCGGGATGTAAACACCAGCACACTTAAAAAGAAGTATAACTTCGCCTCCAGGTCCTTCAAAAGAGTTATTGCCAAGGCAAAGTCAGAGCACATAGGCAGAATTGGCGAGAAACTAGTTCGCCTTCCTTCGAGAACCCGTGCATTCTGGTCTCTCACCAAGGCTGTCCAAGGGAATTTCTGTAAGCCATCACTACCATCTCTGCACAGGGAGGACGACTCACTGGCCCACGACGCAAAAGACAAAGCCGACCTTTTAGGCTCCCTTTTTGCGTCCAACTCGACTCTTGATGAAGGGGGGAAAATACCGCCGACTATCCCGCGGTGTGAGTGCTCCATGCCGGATGTGCTATTCTCACAGCGCTCAGTTCGCAAAGCACTTCTCTCCCTGGACATCCAGAAGTCGAGTGGGCCTGACGGAATCCCCCCAATTGTGCTGAGGACGTGTGCTCCGGAGTTGGCATCGGTCCTAACGCGTCTTTTCCAGTACTCCTACTCCCAAGGCGTAGTCCCGAATTCATGGAAGACAGCTTTTGTCCACCCGATCCCTAAAAAAGGCGACCGCTCAGACCCGTCCAACTATAGGCCTATCGCCATTACCCCCTTGTTCTCCAAAATAATGGAATCCGTTGTAAACTGCCACCTCATGCGGTACCTTGAGGATTACCAGCTGATTAGTGACCGCCAATACGGTTTTCGTCGGTGTCGATCAGCTGGTGATCTTCTGGTCTACCTGACCCATAGATGGGCGGAGGCAGTTGAGTCCAAGGGGGAGGCGTTGGCCGTTAGTCTGGACATTGCGAAGGCCTTCGATCGGGTTTGGCACAAAGCGCTTCTTTCGAAGCTCCCTTCCTATGGGCTTCCCGAGAAATTGTGCAATTGGATCACCAGCTTCCTTGCAGATCGGAGCATCAAGGTCGTTGTAGACGGTGCATGTTCTGACTACAAGCCTATTAACGCTGGTGTTCCACAAGACTGTGTGCTATCACCAACGCTGTTTCTTCTGCATATCAATGATATGTTGCTAACTGGTAACATTCATTGCTATGCGGATGACAGCACTGGTGATGCTCTATACACCGGCGGTGCCAATATTTCTCGGGAAAACGTCGCCGAGTACCGGAACAAACTTGTGTTTGAAGTCGAGTCTTTGCTGGACAAAGTCTCGGATTGGGGGCGACTAAATCTAGTCCAGTTTAATCCTCAGAAGACACAAGCTTGCGCGTTTACCGCTAAAAAGAACCCCTTTGTCGTATCTCCTCAGTTTCAAGGCACTCCCCTTCTTGCCTCAGCCAGTATCGGTATCCTCGGAGTCGACATATTGAGTGATGTGCAGTTTCATGGTCACTTGGAAGAGAAGGCCAAATTGGCCTCTAAAAAGCTTGGCGTGCTCAGCAGAGCGGGACAGTATTTCATGCCGACACACCGCCTGCAACTTTACAAGGCGCAGGTTCGGCCTCACATGGAATACTGTTCCCATCTCTGGGCAGGGGCTCCCCAGTGCCAGCTCCTTCCACTTGACCGCATCCAGCGCAGAGCGGCTCGAATCGTCGACGACCGAGCCCTTTCCGATCGGCTCGATTCATTGGCACTGCGAAGAGATGTTGCATCTCTTTGCATTTTCTTTCGCATTTTTCGTTTTGCGAGTGCTCTGAGGAATTGTTCGGATTAATCCCAGCCGCAAAATTTCATGAACGCACATCGCGGCAGAACTCCCAATACTATCCACATCATCTGGATAATTGGCGGTCCACCACTGTGCGATTTAGAAGATGTTTTCTTCCTCGCACGACTTCCTTGTGGAATCGATTACCATCAGCGATTTTTCCGGACCGATATGACTTACGGACCTTCAAGAAAAGAGCCTACTCCTTTTTAAAAGGCCGGCAACGCATCTGCAATTCCCCTGGTGTTGCGGTTGTTCATGGGCGACGGTAGTTACTTACCATCAGGTGAGCCGCATGCTCGTTTGCCCCCTCTCCTATATAAAAAAAAAACTTACTTTTAGTACATACTACTATTATTTATTCGGTGCTTTTAAAATATTGTAATAAACATCTCTGATTATTATAATAATCAAGTATGTATGAAATTTGGTTTTTCGAATATTTTGTATTTATACAGCGATCTTTTTGAGCCGCTGCAAACAACCGATACAGTACTCACGACGGCGGTTGACGCCGAAGTGAATAAGTGAGGCAGTCTATTTAGTAAAATAAATTTATACGAGGCTGCTAAAACACAGAAAATATAGACATTTCAGAGCCGCAAGAAATTAATTATAACTAAACAAAACAAAATTAAATTGTCACTTACATTCCATGGCTTCCCAAGTGGTAGATGAAGAGGTTAAAAAATAGATTGAGTTAAACAATTAATATTTTCAAAAGTTTTTGTGTTTATCATTCCATGCGGACTTGATAAATCTACACCATGAGTCACTAAAACCACTTTTTTATGTAAAACTAGCAATTAATCGATTTAAAAAAATATTAATAAGTTCAACAATCATTTATCTTTCTTACAATGTG